CGTTCGTGTGTTGTTCCCGCTTTCGTTTCCGCGTCGTCCGCCGTACCCGCGCCTTGCCCGTTCAGGCGTTGCGTCACGTTTTCCGCCCCCGCGCTGCCTTCCGCCATCGCGCTGTCTTCCGCCACTCCCGATCGCTCCAGCTCCTTGTCGTGTCCGCCCGTTGCTTTTCCAGTTCGCGGTCCCCTTCTGCGCTGCTTTCCGCCTTCGCGCAAATTCGTTCCGCCGGTGCGGACTCCGCAGCCGACGCCAGCGGGGACGCCAGCAAGCCGCTTGGTCCCCTCGTCGCGGTGGGTTCGGATGCCACGTCAACATGCGCCTCGGCTGCCGCCTCGTCGGCATGCTGCGCGCGCCGTTCGTTTTCCGCAACGCTGTTGCGCTGTTTCTTTCCCGCGGACTTCTTACCCGCCTTCTTCCCCCGAGCCTTCCGCGCATTCTTCCGCGTGCGCTTGGTCGGAGCATCAGCAGCGGCCGCAACGGAAACGGTTCCTGGTGCGTTCGAGTTTCAAATCCTGGAGCCATCAGCACAATCAGCAGGTTCGGAACAGTCAACGCAGTCAACGGAGTCATCGAGGAAGCGACGGAGCCGCGTCTCCTTTGTCTCCGTGTCAGTCTCCGCGTCTCGTTGCGCAATCGTTACCTCCGCCATTTCTTCTGCCGTTTCTTCTGACGCGTCTTCCGCCGTCAGCTCCCCCTCCTTCCGCGCGCTCACCGGCCCTTCCGCATCCGACTCCTCCTCGTCCGCCAAAACCAGTCTAAGCCTTTGATCCTCTATCTGTTCACGCTGAACCGCTTTAGCGTTTATCTCCTCTTTCATAGATGGGTTCATCTTGTGCTGAAGCATAACTAATTCATCTTCGCAATCGAAGTAACCGCCTGTACGAAGCGTTTTCGGGAAAGATTCGCCTTCCCCGATAAATTTCTCTTCCCTAATTTCTGTCGATTTCACAGCTGCCCCAGCCGCCACTTCCCCCGAAGTTCCTTTCCCCGCGCCTGCCCGTCCAGTCAGCTTCGGCTTCTCCGCGGAGGCTCCCGCTCTGCCGCGCACGACCTTGGGCGGCGGATTGCGCGCATCCGTGTTCGACGGCAGCGAGCCGAGGTCAAGAGATGGAATGGCGTTGCGCGGAAACGGCGATGGCCGCGCAGACGAGGAGAGGCTCGAAGCGGGGGAGTATGCGGCGAATCCGAGTTCCTCGCGCTCTCGGTGTACAAATTCCCCGTCGATCCTCCGTTCCCGTTTCCCCGCCGGGATTCCCGACAGGACATCCGCCTGGACTTGCGCCGTGGCATACGCCATGGAAGCCGACACGAGCATCTCAGGAACGTTGTGGACGCGGCGCGAGGCGGACCGCGGGGAGAAGAAGCTTCGGCGAAAGCCGAGGAGTTTGGGCGCGGAGCCATCGGGATGCGCGGAGGGGGACTTGGGGGCAGGTTTGGATTTGGATGCGCCGAAAGGGTTGAATCGCGGCGTGTGGGGACTGGACGGTCGGGATCGTACGGATGGTACGGATGTGCGTCTGTCTGTTCTTCCCGCCTCGGAGGATACAAAGTGCGACATCGTCTTCGCCTGGTTTCCCCGCACGTGAGAGGTACTTTACCAGGATTTGTGGATTCAGGCGGCCATTGGTGCCAGGCGAAGCTAAGGAAGCTATGGGAGTTATTGAACAGCGAAGTAGCAGTGCCTTCAATTCTCTGTTGTGCATTACACAGGGCGAGGACAAAGGGAATGAAAGGCGAACCTCGGCTCGAGCAAGGTTGACTGCTTTTCACTGGAGTGTGTCGAGAAGACGCTTCGGATGGATGGAGGGAAAGCTTGCAATCGATGGGGGCCAAAATTTCTGTATAGAATGTGGCACGAAGGGAGGAGGAACGGCGATGGGGTGCAAGTACGGTCTCGATAAACTGTCTGCCATGTTCCCCGGTGGGGCCATCCTGAATCAATTCGTGTGAAGCAGAATGTAGAATAGTTATCGCGCCGCATGTTGGCCGAATGTTGGGCGACTCGATGTTGTGGAAGCCCAGAGAGGAGAGTGGCGTGTGCTTGGGTTGGATATCGACGTGGCGCGTTTGGGGGAGGAGTGAAGGTGCCGCGTCGTGCGGGGCGAGGGGGAGAACGTGCGGTTGCCCTGGGCGGGATTTCCCGCATGCGGCAAAGACTCGCACGACTGACTCTAGCGGAACTCGTTGCGTACACCCTGTTTCTCAACGTTCGGACAATCGGGAGCCCCGGCTACAGTGCGAACGTGTGCTTGGATTTTGCGGGCTGGTGCTTACAACCAAACCCCAGGTAGGTGGCGGTCCAGGAGAACGATACACAACGGTTTATGAAAGAAACAATGCTATCGCGTACGGTTGATTGCGGCGAATTGTGCTTATATGCTATGTTCTGGGACCGTTTTGGACGCGTTGATGTCGGAATAAGCGGCATGTCGATACAGCGAATGTCAGTGTGGCGCGAAACAGGGTGTATACAATTCGCAAATCGAACAACGCAGCGAATGCGGATATACCTCCTCCTTGACTGCTTCGCAAGTAAATGAACTGGTACTGTATGTTAGCCAGGTCGAGCGTGCATACAGAACGGTTATTTTCTAGCTTTACCTTTTATTTACTAATTTATCTGTATAGCTATACTAATAAGAATTAAACATCATAATAAGTTTTATCACTCATTTCATTCAAAAACCTCCTTCATCTTAAAGGAGCTTGTTAATTCAATAGCCAGAAGAGCAACTCCCATTCTTTTAGAGTGCAATCTTAGCAGGATCATCACTTCTGATTCTGACTTTCGTGCAACCTTGAACCTTAGCGGAGCAAGCTACAGCAGCAGCGAGTCCTGCCACTTCCGGAAATCCCAAGGGAGCTCCAACCAACCCCAAAGTCAAGCAAACCAGCTACACTCCGCTGGAAGCTCCAGCGGTTGTTTGGCTGCTGCCGATGACCACCCACCCACCGCAGCCGCCTGCTCCACGTGCCAGACAGAAGGCTGCCCCTTTAATCCAGTCTTGAATTCAATACGTTTCCAAGCCGCCTAGCAGTCTGTGATCCGGCGCGCGGGAAGCACGCGTGGCTCTTAGTCTCATTAGGCGGTGGTACTTCCAGTGACTTAATCCAATGCTTCCCGCTCGCATGAAATCATGGAGCTGTTCGCGCAAGCGTGCTTTCGGGTTCGCCGTGCTCCCAGCAGCGCACGTGGCGCTTGTGATGGCGGCGCTGTTGAGTCATTCCGGAGCGTGGATTGCGGTCGCGAGGGGTCAGACCATCGCTCAATCTCAAGGCATGTCGTTTCGTCGCTCTCCGTGCTCCGTGCTTCGCTTTCGCGATTTCTGTCAATGAATTGTGCTGTTAGTTCCAGGTTTCCTCAGCATTTATCAGCGATTGTTGTCTTCAGAGTTCAGCCTTTCACTAATTTAGTTTGCCGGTATCGAGTCTGGTTTTCAAAGTAGTAAAAGGTGGCTTTATTTTCTCTTCATCCTCGTTCCAAATCCCATTGCTTGACTGTCAGGATCCACATTAAGCCGTTCCCCCTGTCAGTACCTTTCAATTCCAATTTAAGTCGTTCTCTTTCCTCTTTCCAGTTCCCGGGTTGGTAGTTAGTGGCGTTCAATTTGGCTCAGAAGTTTTTACCTCTTCCTCTGTCCAGTTCCTGGGTTGCTTGACTGTCAGGCCGCATGGGGAGTCACGTTCAACCAATGGCAGGAGGGGGGTGACTGTAGCCAGGCGGATGGCCTCACATGTGACAGTAACGGAATGATTACCAGCATGTGAGGCACACAACCTTCGCTTCAATGAGTTCTTGATAGTCTGCGTTAATTATTACACGCTTTTGTTTTTTAGTCTACGACTAAGAAATTCATTGTGTCGTTCCAACATACGCTGGTATTGTAGGGGTAATGCGGTGCGGTGCAGTGCGGTCACCACCTACCTACCTATATCATCCACCATAGGGGGTAACGGAATCACCTCATGCACCATCCATGCATGATGTGTCGATGCAGGGTGTTGGATGAGATGGGGCTATCAGGCTCGCTACCTACATCCCTCGGATCATTTATAAATCTCTCCTACCTGTACGACAATCCTTCCCTGACTGTACGATACGATCATCCCCCCCTCCTTCCTTCACTCATCTCCTATCAGTCTTTTAAGCTTCCCCCTCAGCTGACTCTCATTTGACGCATGCCTGCAAATCAAACTTATTTCGTCCTTACCTTCTCCTCCCTCCCTCCATGCTCCAGTGTTTTTTTTACCTCTCCATCCTCCCTGCTTTCGCTCGCTTCACAACCTTCCAATCGTCCCGTCACAGAATTCAAAATTAGTTTCAAAAGATCAGAGTGTACCTTGTGAACTTTCTCTTATAGAGTTTGTATCTCCTTCAATTCAACAGCTCGCTCTCCTTGCTGTGTATCCCCTTCCTCTGTTTCTGTGCCCTTGACTTGCAACTTCCCTCCGCCCCATAATTGCATACAACACACATGCATCCCCCATCATCCCCATCATCCCAAACTGTGTTTGTGCACGCCACATCCCACCTGCCTGCACGCCTCCCCACCGCACTGCACCGCTCTGTGAGAGCAGTAGTCTGTGGAGCAACTCGCTTACGGGGGAACTGCCTTCCACCATCACTGCTCTCACCGCTCTCAGTGACATGTGAGTGAGTGTGTTCACGCCACACCCCACCTGCTTGCACGCCACCTCACCGCACTGCACCGCACCGCACCGCTCTGTGAGAGCAGTAGTCTGTGGAGCAAGCAACTCGCTTACGGGGGAACTGCCTTCCACCATCACTGCTCTCACCGCTCTCAGTGACATGTGAGTGTGTGTGATTGTGAATGTGAGTGTGTGTGATTGTGAATGTGAGTGTGTGTGATTGTGAATGGGAGTGAGTGTGTACACCGCTCTAACATACCTGCACGGCATTCCAATCTACCTCCCCACTCGCGTCCATGTGTGTGTCTGCGTTGTCGTCACGCTAACATCACCCCTTTCACCCTCTCCCCACCATGCAGCTCTCGCTTCTAACCAACTCACCAGGTCACTGCCTCACTCTAACCCCTTTACTCTCCCCATATCCCCCCTCTCCCCCTCTCCCCCTCTCCACCTCTCCACCTCTCCATCTCTCCCCCTCTCCCCCTCTTCACCTCTCCATCTCTCCCCCTCTCCTTCCATCCCACCACAGTGTGCTCGACTTCAACCAACTCACCGAATCACTGCCGCAAGGCCTCTCCACACTCACCAGGTCACTGCCTCACACTAACCCCTTACCTCCCCCCCCCCCCCCTCCTCTCCCCCTCTATCCCCATCACAGTGTTCTCAACTTCAACCAGCTCACTGGGTCACTGCCGCAAGGGCTCTCCACGCTGTCTCGTCTCTCCAGGCTGTAAGCACCTCAATCCTCAATCCTGCTACTACGTCACAGCTGATGCTTCACTCTCACTCCTGTCGCACACCTTATTCGCTCATTCATCTCCCGGACTACTTGTGAGGCGTTGGGAAAGCCCCCTCCGCCTTCCTCGCCCCTCTCAACTATAAGCTGCTCTATCCTGCTGCTACCCTGCAGCTGATGCTTCACTCTCACTCTTGCTACACACGTTATTTGCGCATTCATCTCCTCTGCCTCCCCACCCCCACCTTCCACCCATCCTGGTTTCGCCTTCCTTCCTTTCCGCAGTGCACTGGGCAATAACCGTTTCGCCAGCTCTCTCCCGGACTGGATCGGCGGCCTGTCCCTCCTGGAAACGCTGTGAGATGCCAGTCACTTTTGGGGGCCTTGGGGGCCTTGGGAGATGGCCCGTTACTCATAAGTGCAGAGCACAGCGGGCACAATGAAACTGCCTTCAGTTCAGATATCGCACCTTTGAGAGAGCGCGCATCAGGATTCAGCCGGCGCCCTTTGTGCATGATTCCTGAGCCTCCAAAAAAACAAAACGAGCAAGCCTCAAGCAGAACATGCTTCTCTCAGGCTCGCTTCGAAAGTATCCTAGGAGGACACTAGCTTGCTGTTGCGATGAGCTAGCTGAGAGTCGTCTGAACTGAATCGGGGCCTTGTCTCGTCTCGTCTCCGCTCTCTTCATCCCTTCTTCCCCCACGCCACGCCACCTACGAAACAGTCAAAACGATTAGCTTATGGGCCCCCCCATTACTCCCTTGTGGGGTGGGTGGGACGTCTTCTTTCTCTCCTGCTTTCCTTCTCCCACCTTCCCTTGAACCCCAACAGGGACGTCGGCAAAAATAACCTGATCGACAATCATTCCTTCCCTTGTGGAATCGCTCTCCTCTCCTCTCCCCTGTCCTCTTCCATCCCCTCTCTCCTTTCCATGCACACAGCGACGTCAGCAGGAATAACTTATCCGGCCCCATCCCTTCCTCCATTGGCAATCTCCGCAACCTCACCTTCCTGTCAGTCTCTCATCTCGTCCCTTTTTCTTTCAACTCATCCCTTCACTTTCTTCTTTCTAGGCACCTCAAAGCTAACCTCCATTGGCACTCTCCTCAACCTCACCTCACCTTCCTGTCAAGCTCCCATTTGTATCGTTTCTGCTCAAGTCCCCTGCACCTCACATTAGTTTCAACTCTCTTTCAAGCAGAAAAACTCCCTCAAAACTAATGTGAGGCTCCCTCAGTCGTAACGTTTCTGCTCAAGTCCCCTGCACCTCTCTTTCAAGCAGAAAAACTCCCTCAAAACGTCCTCTTTACAGAGCATGGGTTTGCACTATCCCATCCTTCCTCCTAACCCCCTCTACCCCATCCTTGCTCCTCCTCTCTAACTTGCCCCTCTCTCAATCTCGCCTTTCTCTATACCAACCATCACCGCCCCCAGCTGTCACGTCCATGCAGGAGCCTTGAGTACAACGCCTTCAACGGCCCTCTACCCGCCACCCTTCCCTCACCCCCCTACTCTTCTTCATCCTTTGCCTCCCCTCCCTGTCTCGCCCTTCTCTATCCCAACCATCTCTGCTCCCAACCATCACCGCCCCCAGCTTTCACGTCCATGCAGGAGCCTTGAGTACAACGCCTTCAACGGCCTTCTTCCCGCCACCCTTGTGCAGCCCTCTCTTTTCGTCACCCTCGTTTCCCCTCTCTATCTCGCCCCTCTCTACCCCATCTATCAATCACACGCCCAACCATCTCTGCTCCCAACCATTACTGCCCCCAACTGTCACGTCCATGCCACGGCCATGCAGGAGCCTGGAATACAACGCCTTCACCGGTCCTCTTCCCGCCACCCTTGGCTCCCTCACCACCCTCGCGTACCTGTGAGTTGCCACCTGCATAGATGAAACACACCTCGACTCGTCCTCAAAAGTGGTGCAAACGTTGCTTCTCCTCAGTCAAAACTTCCCCGCTTCCCTCGGTTCTCTCACCACACGCCTCGTGTCTCGTCTCTGAGAGTTCCAGGCTCCAGGTGTACACATCTTTTTTTTCTGCCCTAAAACGTGCATACTCACTGTGTTTACTGCGCATACACCTTCGTGACTTCTTTGTTGCCCTCCCTCATCCTGCGTGCAGTATCGTAGACAACACATCGCTCACCTGCCCCTCCACCCCAGCCTCCTGTGAGGTGCCTCAGGACCCTCTATCCGTCTTCTGTGTCGACTGCCCCACCTTCTACTTGAATTCCACCATCCCCCGCCCTTGTTTCCCTCCCTCATTCCCCTACCACGCAGTAACCTCGACAACACATCGCTCACCTGCCCCACCACCCCAGCCTCCTGTGAGGTGCCTCAGGACCCTCTATCCGTCTTCTGTGTCGACTGCCCCACCTTCTGCTCCCAGTGCTCTGCTGCTGGTAAGCCTCTCTGATTCCTGCCGCAGCTCATGTCTCACCTACCTGTCTTGAAAAGTTTCAAGAACGCATACAACCTTACTCCTTCGGCTTTTGACCATCTAGATCTGTAAACGTGCAGTCTGATCCCTGCCTCTCTCTTCAAATTTTTGAGAATTCTCAAAAATCAAACCAACGGGCAGTCAAATCCCTGGCTCTCTCTTCAAATTGACTTTTGAGTCGACTCAAAAGTCACCTCGTTTTGAGTCAACTCAAAATTCATCTGTAGACGGGCAGTCAGATCCCTGGCGCTCTCTTCAAATTGTAAATCCCCCACATGCCATGTCACCTGCTCTGCCACTTGTCAGCCTTTCCCGCCCACCTGCACTCCCTCCTACTCCTCCTTCAACTTCTCCTGCTGCTACCAAACCCTTGTCCCTTGGCCCCTTTCATTCACTCTTCTTCCATTCCCTTGACTGACACCTAGCCCCACAGTCCCTTCGCTTCCGTATCTTTTTGAATCAGTTGCATAATCCTGTCCTTAGCTCCGTGGTTTATTTTATCGTATGACTGGTACGGTATTTGTCATTCCTATTCCCTCTTTCCCCATGCCTTCTATGCTAACCTCAAAGCTCCACAAGCCCCGCCGATCCAGCCACCAGCAGCAGCACCACCAGCAGCAGCACCACCAGCGGCACCATCAGCATCAGCACCAGTACCTTCGCCAGTCCCTCCTCCACCATCCCAACCACCAGCTGCAGCACCAACAGCAGCACCACCCGCAGGGCCACCATCACCAGCGCCGACGTCTCCATCACCTCTATCTCCTTCCATCAGCCCATCCACCCCATCCCCACCATCCCCACCACCAACAACAACAACACCACCATCACCATCACCATCACCATCACCACCAGCAGCAGCAGCAGCACCACCACCAACACCACCAGCACCGAAACCTGCCTCGCCAGTGGCTGTGAGAGCCCTCCACGCCAATGCAATGACGGCTTTTGTGCTAGCCCTCCTGATTGCTGCCTTTTAATGCGAGCGTTCATGTCAATATCAACATGATTTTGTGAAGAGTATGACTGTATGATGAGCTATATTCATTGTTGTCCATTTCTTAGCATAATTAAAGGTGAACATAGGAGGGAGGATCTGCGCATGGTGGGTTTTCTGCTAGAAGCTATGCACACATTGCACCTGCATTAGTCATTATCAGTTTGTATTGCCATTTTATTTGAGCTTCTACGTTCATCACGTCTGTCATAGAACAGTGTATTGTTGCACATCGGGCGAGGTTGTTTGATAATATGGTGTATGTGCCACATCAGAATTTTCTCTGCCGTGATTTCTGTTCGTGCCAGGTTGAATTTGCGAGGTTGTCTCCGACCAAGCGAGGTTGGTCATGCGGGTCGTATGAGTGTGTGGGACTTCGCGATTCGGGTCCTCCTCCCCTTTTCGCTCCAGGAGTTTTCCCCACCACTTTGGCATGGAAACTTCCAGCAACCTCCAATGTTCGTCGTGACGTGACAGCCACGGAAGTTGAGGCGTAGGTCAACGCAGGGTCAACGAGTTGAGTCGGGCTCTGCATCCCCTGCCGAGCTCTCCCGGTTGCATATCGAGTATGAAACAGTCGAAGCTGTCTCCATGCTGCCAACACAGACCAATTCGATCACGTATTCCCCTCTCTCACATCACCGACACAAATTGTACTTCATCGTTCAACGATCACTTTATCTTCGTGTCGAAAGCTCTATCTTGTGCCGCACAAGATCGTCTAAACCTATCTTGTGTCGGCGGCCGACACGTCTTGCGAGTAGCCTCTTCAAGACCCCTGGGTCTGCCTTTCCGCCACTCGCTCGCGTGATTTTTACAGCCTTGACTCACTGAGTTAGCATGGGTCCAAAGATGGGTGTATTTCCCACAAAAGTGGCACTTACCTTTCGCGCTCATGACAATGCTTCCGGCGGTTTCCCGCGCCCTAGGAAGCAGCGAACCTGTCTCCGCCGCACGAAAAGCGTCGCCTGAAAGCGTGGCGACGAGTGGTAGTAAGGATGCGCAGGGATTTAGTTTCCCTCGGCGGGCAATACGGCGTCTAATGGGGGGACCCAGCGACCAGATCTCCGTATCGCCCGCATTGCAGCCGAACAGCGCTTCTGCAACTCCGGCGGGGGTCCAGCAACCCTCCGCTCTCCCTTCCGCCGCTTCCGGCGCCTCCCCTCCGAGGGCAAGCTTGAGGCTCATTCCCCTTCGTGGCGCGAGATCTGCGCGAGCCGCCGAGTCGCCATACGCAATAGTACCGAATTCCACTGTAACGGCCCAAAGCGCGTCCGCGACGCGGTTCGTCCCTCTCAGGCTGCGCCTCGGGAAGATTCAGCACCAGCAGCAGCGGCGCGAGGTGGAGGGCGAGACGGACATAGCGAACCAGGGCGACCCGATACTGGTCTATTCGAAGGAGTACTTAATCTACTATGGAAACTGGCCCGAGGGTTCGGGTCAGGATGTGATTGAGAATTTCAAAAATTCGTTGGGCGGAGACACGGGGAACCGGGGCGACCCGGCGGGGGAGAACAGTGTGCGTAGTAATTGGGACATCTCGACCAACTACTACCAGAATAACGACGACGGCTCTCAGACGTTCGTCAGTCCCGAGGTGGGTGTGTATGATAACGCCCTAAGCCCCGTGTCCCTTGTCCCGTGTCCCTAGTAGTCGACGCGTCACGTGTCGCTTCATTTTTTGTCGCCACCAACTGCCTCTCGCCTCACATCGTTTCGCTCCATTCAGTTCACTTCACTTCCCATTCTCTCTGCTTTCACCCTACACACCCCTCACCCGAATTGTTTTAACACAACACACCCCTCACCCCAACACACCCCTCACCCCAACACACCCCTCACCCCAACACACCCCTCACCCCAACACACCCCTCACCCCAACACACCCCTCACCCCAACACACCCCTCACCCCAACACACCCCTCACCCCAACACACCCCTCACCCCAACACACCCCTCACCCCAACACACCCCTCACCCCAACACACCCCTCACCCCAACACACCCCTCACCCCAACACACCCCTCACCCCAACACACCCCTCACCCCAACACACCCCTCACCCCAACACACCCCTCACCCCAACACACCCCTCACCCCAACACACCCCTCACCCCAACACACCCCTCACCCCAACACACCCCTCACCCCAACACACCCCTCACCCCAACACACCCCTCACCCGAATTCGAGACAGGTCATGTTGGACGGCACCGTGCCGGTCACGGACGACTGTTTTAACGGCTGGGAATCCATCGACGGCACTTTCACGGACGACGGATCTGACGGCTGGGAATCCATCGACGGCACTTTCACGGACGACGGATCTGACGGCTGGGAATCCTCCGACCATAGGAGTGAGTCATGCGCGTGATTTTACTGTTGGGAATGTGTATGTCACTGGAGATGATCCTTAAAGTGGATCCAATGGCTGCAAACTCATCTGAACAGGGATGAGTGAGTCATGTGAGTGAGTGAGTGATTTTGCTGCTGGAACTTACAGCAAAACAGGACCGAACCGCGCTTGGTTGACTTTTGAGTCGACTCAAAAGTCAACTCTGTGAGTGAGTGAGTGATTTTGCTGCTGGAAATTACTGCAAAACAGGACCGAACCGCGCTTGGTTGACTTTTGAGTCGACTCAAAAGTCAACTCTGTGAGTGAGTGAGTGATTTTGCTGCTGGAACTTGCAGCAAAACAGGACCGAACCGAGGTGACTTTTGAGTCGACTCAAAAGTCACCTTGCTGCTGGAACTTACACCAAAACAGGACCGAACCGCGCTTGACTTCGACTCATGCTGGTCTCTCCTGCCGTGATTGCCTGCTGTGATTGCCTGCTGAACTAACGTCTGTCGTGATTGCCTGCTGAACTAACGTCTGTCGTGATTGCCTGCTGAACTAACGTCTGTCGTGATTGCCTGCTGAACTAACGTCTGTCGTGATTGCCTGCTGAACTAACGTCTGCCGTGATTGCCTGCTTCCTGCTGTCCCTCGCCCGCCATTGTTCTCCAGTCTACACGCAAGACACTTACGGAATCTACCTCGTGCTCGCGATCGCTTGTTGGCTACTAATAGCCCTTAGTTCACTCTACGCGTACTACTTAAAACCCGCGGGCCAAGAAGTTCAACGTTAGGAAGCTTCTACCTCACGCAATGAGTTCTCCACCTGACCACTTGCAAGGGTCCACAGTTCTATAGAGATCCTCCAAGTGAATACGCACTAGAGTAGTCCCATACTGCGTAGCGTCTCGTTGATCAATTGTCTCGTCTCAAGACGTCAATACGTTAATATAGGAACCTTCTCCCATGAAAGATGTATTCATAAAGGCTGTTCACAAACAAAGACAAGAGAAGAGAAATGTGCTCACCCACCAAAAGCAAACGCAAAGACTCATAAAGGTGCGAGTTGTTTTTTTTTCTAGTCGACTCTTCCCGCCACCCTCGGTTCCCTCACCACACTCGCTTACCTGTGAGTAGCCACCTGAGCAGTGCCAGTAGCTTCTGAGAATTCTTTGAGGTCAAATCTACCGGCCACTCTCGGTTCCCTCACCACCCTCGCCTACCTGTGAGTTGCCATGCCACCTGCACACAGAGAAAACAAATCTCGACTCGACCTGTGACTCTCCAGCGATTTTGTGTGCGAGTTGCTTTTCCATAGGCGACTCTTCCCGCCACTCTCGGTTCCCTCACCACCCTCGCCTACCTGTGAGTTGCCATGCCACCTGCACACAGAGGAAACGAAGCTATACCTGTGACTCCTCTCTTCAGCAACTGGAGAGACATTTGTGATAAAGGAAGTGTTTTGAGATGTCTCGAAACACTTCTCCACATTCTACTCTTCGCGTCACCCCCCCTCCCCTCCCCCCCCACACCATGATGCTGCAGGGTGTTTTTGAAAATTCTCAAATACACCCTGCAGCATCTGAGACGCTTCTGACAAAGGAAGTGTTTCGGAATGTTTCGAAACACTTCTCCACATTCTACTCTTCGCGTGAACAAGTTATTACCATTTCACCCCCCCTCCCCCCCCCCACAGCATACTCTCGTCTTCCCTGCCATACACTCTGCTTAAAATTTCCCTCCCTTTATCCATCTTCACTCCCTCAACCCACCGCAGTAACGTAGACAACTCATTGCTCACCTGCCCTACCACTCCAGCGTCCTGTGAGGTGCCTCACGCCCGATTTTAGGCTTCTGTGTTGTTCACTCACATACATTCGTGATTCCTTGTTTCCCTCCCTCATCCTCCCACCAGTAACGTAGACAACACATCCCTCACATGCCCCACCACCCCAGCCTCCTGTGAGGTGCCTCAGGACCCCCTAACTGTCTTCTGTGTCGACTGCTCCGCCTTCTGTTCTCAGTGCTCTGCTGCCGGTAAGCCTCTCTGCTTCTTGCCGCAGCTCATTTCTCGTTTCTGCTGCCTCTCATGTTGGAGTCACTTTTGAGAATCCTCAAAGGTCGCCCTCTGTCTTCTGTGTCGACTGCCCCACCTTCTGCTCCCAGTGCTCTGCTGCCTCTTTATTCAAACTCTAAATTTCCTGTTTGCTACGTCAGCTGCTCTGCTGCTTGTCAGCCTTTCCCTCCCCCCCCCCCTCTACCACCTCACTCTTCCTCTTTCGCCTTCTCCTGCTGCTATCACAAAAATGTCCCTTGTCTCCTCTCATTTACCCTTCTTTCATTCGTTCGATGTCATCTAGTTCTGCGATTCCTTCGTTTCCGTTTTTTTCCCGGGCGGTTGCAAACTCTTGTATCCTTTGCTCCGTGGCCTGTCGCATGACTGAAACCTGTCATCCCCTTTCCCTCCTTCCCATGCCTTCTATGCTAACCTCAAAGCTCCTCAAGCCCCACCGATCCAGCCACCAGCAGCAGCACCATTGGCAGCATCACCACAACCAGCAGCACCCTCACCAGCAGCACCAGTACCATCAGCGCCATCACCCTCAGCACCAGTACCTTCACCAGTGCCGCTTCCACCATCCCAACCACCAGCTGCAGCACCAGCAGCACCGCCATCCGCAGCTCCACCATCACCAGTGCCACCATCACCATCACCTTCCATCAGCCCATCCACCCCATCCCCACCATCCCCACCCTCCACACCATCCCCACCACCTACAACACCACCATCGCCATCACCGCCACCACCTTCACCCAAACCTGCCTCGCCAGTGCTTGTGAGAGCCCTCTCCACCAATGCAATGATAGTTTTCGTGCTAGCCGTCATGATTTTTGCCTTTTAATGAGTGATAAATCCTCACGGTTGTTGTTTATATCTGCACTGCACCACGAAGGTTTCGCGATGGGGCATGAGCTCTACCGGTGTGTTGGACGTATGGCATCGGTGTTATTTATCTGCACCTTGCAGAAGTTTTGCGAACCCCTTGTTCCAACACATCTACCATATCTGAGATCATGCTTGTTGTGAACCTGTAACGATCCTGAATTTTATCTCAGGACAGTTTAGTGTACATATCACGTCCGAATAATTCTAACCCGGAAAACCGGTCAATGTTTGTGGTATTGAAATTCGTGAGGAAAACCGGTTTCGCGATTCGTAACCCGGAAGGCTTGCTTCGCGAACAATTCTCTCACTAAGCGAAGAAAATTATTTACCAGTTTTTTCTGGCGAAGCTCGAACGAAATTGAGGTGGTGCACCAAGCGAGTCGCATGCGTGCGCAAAATCCGCGATTCGGACAGTCGTTCTCGTCAACAGAGAATTACCAAAATATTTTCCCCTCCCACACAGTCCAGAAATTTCCTCAGGAGTTCGGCAACAGAACAAACAGCCACCTCTCCCACCACTCGGCAAGGTAAAGTCCAACAACACGGCAGCTAGTACCTCCAATAATTGTGACTTCCAAGCAACCTCCAATAATCGTGAGTAGAGATCGAGCCGCCGCCAAAACTGCGACGTCAGTCCGACGATCTTGAAATAGCGAGCCCGCAGGGAAGATTCCTGTGCCGGACAAGCGGTCCGAGAATCGGGATTGCATCACTGACCAGTTAGCATCCGTGCAGTCCTGGTGACGTCGCGTGGGTTGCGCGTCTCGGCAATACGTTTCGTCCAAGCTGGGATGAGCTATAGGCCGCGAAACAGTCGATTCGGGCTCTGCATCCTCAGAGCTCTCCAGATTCCGTATCGAGTATAAAATAACAATGGTATCTCCAGGTTATACGTCGATAGCGCATCCGTCTCGCGCATTGTCTGATTTCTAAGCCACTGCTAATCGCGTTTCGTCGTCGGACAGACATTTTGTCGTCGCAGCGGCGCGCTATCTCTTTGCCTTCCCGCCGCCACCGGTCTTGGAAAGAGCTTCTTCAAGTCTTACCGTCTTGGTCTGTCATTCCACCAGTCACAAACTCTCCGGTTCGCTTTACTCACTGCATTGACTCATGGGACCGAAGATGGGTGCATTTTCCACAAGATCGACCCTTACCTTTCTGGTCGCACTCGTAACGACGCTAGCAGCGGTTTCCCACGCCCTCGGCAGCAGCGAATCAGGCGCAGGGTCACTTACAACGTCCGGGCTAAAAAAGGGTATCCCTCGGCGGGCAATGAGGCGTGTGATGCGGGGACCCAGCGATCAGATGTCTGTATCTCCCTCTGAGACGCCCGCATTGCGGCCGAACAGCGCTTCTGCTCCTCCGGCGGAGGACCACCAACCTTCCCCTCTTCCTTCCGCCGCCGCTTCCGCCGCTCCTCCGGGGGCAAGGCTCATTCCCCTGCGTGGCGCGAGATCTGCGCGAACCGCCGAGTCGCCATACGCAAAAGTGCCAAATTCCACTGTAACGACCCAGAGCCCGTCCGCGACGCGGTTCGTCCCTCTCAGGCTGCGCCTCGGGAAGCTGCAGCACCAGCAGCAGCGGCGCGAGATGGAGGGTGCGACGGACATTGCGAACCAGGGCGGCCCGATACTGGCCTACCCGAAGGTGTACTTAATCTACTATGGGACCTGGCCTGAGGGGGCCGGGCAGGATGCGATTGAGAATTTCATAAACTCGCTGGGCGGGGATGCGGGGAACCAGGGGGACCCGACGGGGGAGAGCAGCGTGCGACGGTGGTGGGACATTTCGACCAACTACTACCAGAATAACGACGACGGCTCTCAGACGTTCGTCAGCCCCGAGGTGAGTGTGTTGGTGCCCCGTGCCCCCGTGCCCCGTGCATTTGCTTTTCTCGGGGAAACATGATGTTTGTTGTACACTTACAAACACGAAGATGCGGTCGTGTTTTAAAATATGTTTCGAGTCTTTTTGTCGTCGCCTGCTATTCCTCTCACCTCGCATCATTTTCGCTTCATGTTCTTATACTATTCGGGCTCACTACTTTTACACCCGACACCCTCACCCGAATCCGAGTCAGATCGTGTTTGGCGACACGGTGACAGACGAGGGATCCAACGGCTGGGAATCCATCGATTTGGGGACGAGTGAGTCATGCGTGTGTTTTTTCTGCTGGAACCGCGCTGCTCGCTTCGTTGTCATGCCATGCCATCATTGCCTGATGCCTCTCGTATTTCAATCGTACTTCCTCAACCCCACCTTTTCACTCACCCCACCCATTTGCTTCCACCCACCCATCCACTCCCCCCCAACCCTTTCCTCCCCCCCTACCCTTTCATCTCAAACCCCTCCCTTTTCCCCCGCCGCTCCGTCCCCCAACCCCTTTCCTCGCCAGTCGTCAGCGCGCACGTCGGAACGGAGCTGCCCGTAGACACTGACGGAATCTACCTCGTGCTCACGAGTGCTGACGTCAAGGTTGACGGATTCTGTGACGAATTCTGCGGATTCCACACCTCTCATACTCTGGATTCGGGAGAAAATGTCGCTATTGGTTTCATTGGGCATCACGACCTCTGCTGCAAATACGGCGAGTGAGTGTCGACTCCGTGTTGTACAAGAATGAGAGTGAGGGAGTGAGTGGTACTCCGTGCTATGTTGTAGTCGACTGAAAATTCACCATGTTTGCATTCATCGGGCACCACGACCTGTGCTGCAAATACGGCGAGTGAGTGTCGGCTTCGTGATTTACGAGAATTGCAAACTTGAGGGTGGGTGAGAGATTGTGCAGGAACACCATTTTCCTTACCAATTCTCAACTACTATTCCACCAAGTAGACTACTTGTTTCAGCACCACAGCCCAAATCCATCACTTACCAACCGTATTCCACATCCCCAAACCCATCCAGCGTCACGCCCAATGGCATGCCTGGAATAGACGGCATGATTTCCACCATTGCTCACGAGATTACCGAGGCTGCTACCAACCCTGACGTCTCGTCCGGGTGGATGGCCTCTGACGGCGAAGAGAATGCCGATATGTGCGCGTGGCAGTATGGCGACGTTTCGCAGGATACTGATGGAGATGGAAACACTTATGATTATAACATGGTGGGGAACGATGGGATGCGGTTCATGGTTGAAGGTAACTGGGACCTCATTACCAATTCATGCCAGATTCAAGCACAGGATGATGGGTACTAGAATTGGAATGATGAATCCTTGGCATGTTGGGTCCTGGTCCAACTCCTTGTTGGGAGTGTTTTCAATGCCTGGGTATGCAAGCTAGAAGTCACGTTGTGGCTTGATGGCTATCAAGAATAAAGGGGCTAGTTGTGTCCTCCTATATCTGCATGTGGTCTACTGGATTTACCCTGTGCTTCTGGTATTTATGATAGTAATTGCTTGATTTGCGTGCCAGTGTTTTTATCCATGAACTTTACTCTGATTGGTTTTGGTGAACCCTATGTGTGTTTGGCACGGCAATTCCTAAGATACCCGAAACTATAACGGCTCAGGTAAAAACGAGAAATCCAACCCCATTCCAACACTCCATCTAAGATCACTATTTGCCATTTCCGACAGTATCCGTGTTTCCCGCGTAGTTGCTTTGCATAGCAGCCTCGCTAGAGTGCGCGCTTTAGACACCACCTGCTTCCTCGGCTACTGCTCCAAGTTCCTCTGTGCTTTAGTTCCTTACGCGTGGTTATATTTGGAGCCGCTCTCGTTGTAGCTCACATAGTGGCCTGATAGCAGTTCGCGGGATTTATCGTTTATGTTCACTGAGATTGCGATTCATCGGGAATTCCGCGGTCCGCCGCGAGTGACGGCGAATGCGGTTTGCGTGTAAGGCAAGGAGCTAACCGATGAATGATTGCCCAAGCGACGGTTTAAAACGTCGTCGCGATTCGTCCAGCCTCGCGAATCGACCGTCGAAGCTTGCCAAGGTCCATTCTTGGCAACTTTTCGTTGATCGTCTCGACTGCTGACCGTTGATCGTCGATCGTCGATCGTCGATCGTAGATCGTCGCGATGCACGGTCGGCCGCGAGTGACGGTGAAGGCGGAGGGCAGCGCCGCGGGCCAGCAGAAGGCGGCGGAGTCGAACAAAAAGGCGCTTCGGCTGCGCGCCTTGCAGGAGAAGGTGCTGACGTGGCACCAGCAGAACGTGTGAGTGGCCGAGGGGGGTCGTTAAATATGCCACTAGTAGAGGCAATTTGTTTCAGTTCAGTGGCATTTTGCAGGGGTCGGACTTGAAGAGTGCTTTAGGTTCGACTAAAAAGTCATCAGGATTCGCGGAGAGAGTGCAGTGCAGTGCAGTGCAGTGCAGTGCAGTGCAGTGCAGTGCAGTGCAGTGCAGTGCAGTGCAGTGCATCGTAACTCTCCGCATCGCATTTTCATAAATATAATCTACCGCAATAAGGCTTTTCTCCCCTCCCTCCGCCCGCCAGCGCTGCTCTCCTAGAGCAGAACCCTGACGAGTACGTGGCATGGAACTACCACAAACATGCCTTTTCCATCTTCCCTGCTCCCCTTCCCTTCCCCCCCCCGTCTCCTCCTCCCCCCCTTCCTCTCTCCCCACCCCCACCGCCCACCCTCTGCCTGTTCTGTTCCGACCAGTTACTCGCCCGAAGCACTTGCCGCCAGCGCTGCTCTTTTGGAGCAGAATCCTGATGTGTACGCTGCACAAACAGGCGTCCTCCCCCTCCCCTCCCTCCTGCCATACCACTTTCCATCAGTTACTCGCCCGAAGCACTTGCCGCCAGCGCTGCTCTTTTGGAGCAGAATCCTGACGTGTACGTATGCGACGTGGAACTAGCGCAAGAAGGCCTTCCTCCTCCTCTTCCTTCTCCCCCTTCCCCTTGCTTTTCAGCTATTCGGCCGAGGCACTAGCTGCCAGTGCTGCTCTTTTGGAGCAGAACCATGATGTGTACGCGACGTGAAACTACCGCAATCCCTTTTTCCCGCACCTTTTCCCCTTCCTCTTGCCTTTCAGTTATTCGCCCGAGGCACTAGCTGCCAGCGCTGCTCTCCTAGAACAAAACCCTGACGTGTATGTGACGTGGAACTACCGCAAGAAGGCCTCCTTTCCCCTCCTTCTCCCCTTCCATCTTACTTTCAGCTATTCGCCCGAAGCACTAGCCGCCAGCGCTGCTCTTTTGGAACAAAATCCCGATGTGTATGTGACGTGGAACTACCGCAAAAGGGCTTTTGTGCACCGATGCGGCGCCCTGGAGGCAGGGGCGGATGGGAGCAGGGAGGGGAAAGCGGTGCAGAGGGGTGCGGAGGTGAAAGAGGGGGAGAAAGAGGCGCAGGGGAAAGAGGCGCAGGGGGAGGGGGTATCAGAGAAGGGAAAGGTTGGGACGGATGGGGCAATGGGGGAGGTGGAGAGTGCGGGAGGGAGGGATGGCAATGGGGAGGAGAGTGAAGTTGGGGGAGAGAATGATGGGAAGCAGGGAGAGGAGCAGGAGAGGGTAGAACGGGAGCGAGAGGAGCGGGTGAGGAGGGAGGAGGAGAGGAGGGAAGAGGAGAGGAGGGAAGAGGAGAGGAGGGAAGAGGAGAGGAAGATAGAGGAAGCTAAGGGTAAATTGGCTGACGAAGAGCTGAAACTGGTGAGTAGTGGGAGTGTGACTGACAGTATTAATGGCGCAACATATGTGAGTCTGACATACATGAGTCTCGAAAACCGACGAAAAGCACAAACTGGCAAATAGTGGGAGTGAGTGACTGATGGTGTGATTGGCTTGGCACAATGTGTGAGCCTGCACCATGGGGTTTGTTTCTGTGTCCTAAAACAGCAAGAGTTGATGGAAATAAGGCCTCCGCAGCCCACCTGTTTTCTTTCGACAGCTCCTGCACAATGTGCGAGCCTGCACAAGAAGACTTCTGAGACGTCTCAAAAGTTGACTGATGGTGTGATTGGCACAATGTGCGAGCCTGCACGAGAAGGTCACTAAGCGTGTTTTTCTCTCTTGAGACTTGAGTGTCCTTTCTTGAGTGCTCGATAGAAGAAGCGCTATGAAGCGAACCCAAGAGCCTTTTGAGTCGATCCAAAAGTCTAACCCACTCGTCATCTCCCTCCATCCCGTTCCCCCCTTTCCAACTCTCCCCCCATACACACACACGCACATCAGATAGAAGCAGCCCTACGAACCAACCCCAAGTGCTACGGCGCCTGGCACCACCGCAAGTGGCTACGTGCCCTCTTAACCACGGTTCCTCGGCACATCTGTGATGTAGGGAGGGGTGGTTACCGCTCGACCTCCCTTAACAACCCCTCCTCCTATTTCGCCCCTGACTTTCCCCAACTCTCCCTCCAACCCAACCCCACCCACACGCACAACAGATAGAAGCAGCGCTACGGACCAACCCCAAGTGCTACGGCGCCTGGCACCACCGCAAGTGGCTCTTTCCCCCTCCCCATATTCTGATATTCCTCCCATCACGCACACTCACATCAGATAGAAGCAGCGCTACGGATTAATCCAAAGTGCTATGGCGCCTGGCACCACCGCAAGTGGCTCTTCGCCCTCTCTCCCCCCTCCCCACACCCTGTTATTCCTCCCGTCCCCCACACTCACAACAGATAGAAGCAGCCCTACGAACCAACCCCAAGTGCTACGGCGCCTGGCACCACCGCAGGTGGCTCTTCGCCCTCTCCTCCACCGAGCCTCTCCCGAGCCTTGGAGCCAGCCTCGGGCCGAGCCTGCAGCAGGTTCGGATCAACCTGCGGTCGGAGGCTCGGATTGCCCGGGAGCAGAAGCTGCTGGGGATGATGCTGAGTGCAGATGATCGGAATTTCCATGCCTGGGACTACTGGAGGTAACGGTGGAGAGGGATTGAGAGCGGTGATGATGGGTGGATGTGGTAGTGATGCAGAAGCTGCTGGGGTTGATGCTGAGTGCAGATGATCGGAACTTCCATGCCTGGGACTACTGGAGGTGAGATAGGGATTGAGAGCGATGATGATGGGTATGTGCGGTGGTAATGCAGGTGCTGTGCTGTGAGTAAACTTATGCTGACTGCAGATGACCGGAACTTCCACGCCTGGGACTTCTGGCGGTAACAGTGGAGAGGGATTGAGAGCGGTGATGCTGGGTGTGTGTGGTTGTAATGCAGGTGCTTCTGTTGGTTACAATTATGTGAGTGCAGATGATCGGAACTTCCACGCCTGGGACTACTGGAGGTAATGGTGGATATCGGTTGAGAGCGGTGATGATGGGTGTGTGTGGTGGTGATGCAGGTTCTCTGGGTTAAGATGATGTTGAGTGCGGATGATCGAAACTTCCACGGAGGTAATGATGGAGAAGGGTTGAGAGCGGTGACAACAATCGGTATGTGTCGTATTAATGCAGGTTCTGTGGGTTGCAATGATGCTGAGTGATGATCAGAACTTCCATCCCTCTCTTATTGGAGTTGGTGGCAATGGGTGTGTGTCGTTAGTTTGCAGTTTCTGTGGTTACCAATGGGCATCATCTCTCCTTTTGCCATCCCTATGACACTATTCTCCCCTCACTCTCTTTTTTCTCGTTTGCCACCTCTGTATGTTGCTCTCTCTCTTCTGCAACCCGCTTGCGTATGCCCATCCCAACCCATCCCAACCATGCATGCAGGTTTATCTCCCATGTGGCCCACATATCACCATCCACGGACCTGGCGTTCACCATGGGTCGAATTAATTCCAACTTCAGCAACTACAGCGCGTGGCACAGCAGGAGGTGAGACGAGTGAGAGGGGTCGAGGCGTTCAGCTAGGACACCGCTACTCAGTGGGCGCTAGGAGGTGCCAACTTCTATCTACTGTGACCATCCAAGGACCTGGCGTTCACCATGGGTCGAATTAATTCCAACTTCAGCAACTACAGCGCGTGGCACAGCAGGAGGTGAGACGAGTGAGAGGGGTTGAGGCGTTCAGCTAGGACACCGCTACTCAGTGGGCGCTAGGAGGTGCCAACTTCTATCTACTGTGACCATCCAAGGACCTGGCGTTCACCATGGGTCGAATTAATTCCAACTTCAGCAACTACAGCGCGTGGCACAGCAGGAGGTGAGACGAGTGAGAGGGGTTGAGGCGTTCAGCTAGGACACCGCTACTCAGTGGGCGCTAGGAGGTGCAAACTTCTATCTACTGTGACCATCCAAGGACCTGGCGTTCACCATGGATCGAATTAATTCCAACTTCAGCAACTACAGCGCGTGGCACAGCCGCAGGTGAGGCATTCAGCGAGGACACTGCTATTCAATCCAAGGGTGCTAGGAGGTGCCAACTTCTATCTACCGTGGCCATCTGAGCACCTGACAATTAGAAAGGGAAGTTTTGAGACTTCCCAGGTGCCTGCCAGGTTTTGAGACGGCCCAAAACTTCACTTTCTACACGTGGCTTCTATCTACTGTGGCCATCTCAGCACCTGGCGTTCCACATGGATCGAGTTGATTCCAACTTTAGCAACTACAGCGCACGGCTTAGTCAGAGCGGGTGGATGCACATACCAGCTCTGGCTGCTCCCCTCCCCTCCCCCCAGCCTTCTCTCAACTCTCCCTTCCCCCTGGGTTCTTCCCCCCCACTCCATCTCTGCGTTCCCTCTCCCCTCTTCCTCCCCACAGCAAGCTGCTGCCAAAGCTACACTCACACCAAGCACCCGTAGACGCAGGAGGGCTACCGCAGAAAGCTCTGGAGGAGGAGTGTGAGTTGGTGCGCCAGGCCTTCTTCACCGAGCCAGACGACCAGAGCGGGTGGATGTACCACCAACCACTGGCTGCTCCCACTGCCATCTCTCAACCTTCCCTGCTCCACTTGTCTGGCTCTCCCCCTCTCTTTCTTCCTTCTCCCCTCCCATCCACTTCCCTTCCCGCAGCAAGCTGTTGCCAAAGCTTCACTCATGCCAAGCATCCTTGGAGGTAAAAGCAGGACGAGCCACACCCTCTGCATCAGAGACACGAGGCCTGCCCCAGGAAGCATTGGAGGAGGAGTGTGAGCTGGTCCGCCAGGCCTTTTTCACCGAGCCTGACGATCAGAGTGGGTGGATGTATCAGCACTGGCTGCTGCAGCAGATCCTGCCTCCCCTGCCGCCCCACCTCCTCGCCTCCTGGCCTTCTCCTGGAAGCACCGTCTGTTTCAGCTTACCTGAAAATTCACCTGAGAAGTCTCCTGGAGGCGATTCTGCAGCTGTGGAGGGCGTTTCCGATGCTTCTGCCGGAGCTGCGGGCCAGGTTCGGATGTCGGCGGTGCTGGTGTTCTCCGAACCTGTAGTGGGGGTGACAAGAGAGAGTGTGTCTCTAACGGGGGCTGGGTTGGAGGTGGGTGAATGGAGGGCCGTGGGGGGGGAAGAGGCGTGGCTTTCCGGGCGGCTGGCTGGATGTGGGCGGGAAACGGGCGGCAATATGGGGTCGGAGAGAGCGTCTGTATGGACGGCGCAAGTCATTTGCTCCACATCTCATGAAGTTAAAGCAGCTGCTGCTACTACTGCAGCTACTGATGCTCTACTTCTGCTGTGGGTGGGAGGGAAACAGGCACGGGTGCCTCGTCGCCCACCATCTTGATCTCATGGGTGTTTGCCCGTCCATCCACTATCCGCGCCGCTGCCACTGGTCAGTCTCTCCTGCATCCCCACACGGACAGCAACAGCAGCGATGGCAGAGAGGGCAGCAGCAGTAGCAGCACCACCAATGGCAGCAGCAGCATCAGTGGCAATAGCTTCACGTTACAGCTGCAAGCAAACACTTTGAGTCCGCCTCAGACCCATGGTTCTGAGACTGATGCCAGTCACTCGCATGCGACTGTGCCGCCCATGAGCCTCCCCACTCACGACTGGTCCAACTTCCTCTGGCCATCATCCCCCTCACCTTCCCCCCCGGCTTCCGCTCCTGCTGCTGCTGATGGTGCTGCTGACGGCGATGCTGCTAGTGCTGGTGGTGTTACGAGAGGGCGCGAGCAGTGGCGGGTGGACGTGGTCCAACGGGAGATTGACATGTGTCGCGAGCTCATTGACCTGGAGCCAGATAGGTGCGTCTGTGGACCCAAGGAGCACCACTTAGTGGTGGGAGGGAGACATTACGAGGCTGCGGTGCGGCTTCTGTAGTTAGCGAAATCTGTTTAGAACTCTCAGGCTTGCGAGCTCATTGACCTGGAGCCAGATAGGTGCGTGGACCCAAGGAGCACCACTCTCAGGCTCGCGAGCTCATTGACCCGGAGCCAGATAGGTGCGTCTGTGCTGTGTGTGTGGTATCTCACCTCACCTCATCCCTTCCGTTCACCTTATGTGTCAAGCAACTCAGTAATTCCGCATGGCCCTTTTCCCGCATTTGTCCCCCACTTGTCTCCTAAACGCCCCCCCTCCTTGCAGCAAGTGGGCCCTCCTTTCGCTGTCTTGCCTCCTATCCACTCACTGAGTCACAAGTCCGCTTCCTCTTCCCCCTCCCCCCACCACCCTTGTTCCTCCCCTCCTTGCAGCAAATGGGCTCTCCTCTCTCTCGCTCGCCTCCTCTCCACACGCCGCCAGCTCCACCACCTCTTGCCGATCCTGCCCGTGCAGGCTCGGCAGGATGCCGAGGCTCGCGAGGAGGTTCGGTCGTTGCTTCGGCGGCTGGTGGGGATCGATCCGTACCGCAAGGAGTATTACCGGGACCTGCTAGAAGCGCTGGAGGGAGAGGAGGTGAGAAGGGTGTGTGTAAGGAGTGTGTGTTAATGAGGCAAGGGTGTGTGCAAGAAGAGGGGTTGCGAATTAGGTGAGGAACAGCAGCAGCATTGGCTGGTGGGGATCGATTCGTACCACAAGGAGTATTACCGGGACCTGCTAGAAGCTCTGAAGGGAGAAGAGGTACAGTTGGTGTGCAAGTGAGAAGGGCGTGTGAATGATGTGAGGGTGTGTGTAAGAAGCAGCGTTGGCTGGTGGGGATCGATCCGTACCACAAGGAGTATTACCAGGACCTGCTAGAAGCACTGGAGGGGGAAGAGGTACAGTGGGTTTGTGAATGAGGAGGTGTGTGAATGAGGAGGTGTGTGAATGAGGAGGGTGTGTGAATGAGGAGGGTGTGTGAATAAAGAGGGTGCATGTGTAACAGGAGTGCGTTTGAACAAGGTGAGGAGTTGAGCACAAGGAGGGAGCACCACACATTGCTAGTGGATCTGTTTGAAGCTTTGGAGGGAGAAGAGGTGTGGATGTAGTGTTTGGGTCGAGGGTGTGCGTTTACATCCGCACTGGACGACATGTAGTGCCCCATGTTCAACACTATGGGTCTAGGGAAGAGAGGGCAGGGGTTTGTTGTCCAGCGTGGGTGTGTGTCTGTACCATGGGGGCTGGTCTCAAGTACCGTGGGCCGGCTTGGCATGGGGGCTGGTCTCAAGTACCGTGGGCCGGCTTGGCATGGGGCTGGTTGCGTGGCAAACCGGACCTCGTGGTATCAAGTTTTGTTCCCTCGTTTGTCTTTCCCATGGTCACTTTCCTCTGTACATAACTCAGTTATACCGATTCTTCTCTTCAAAACAAATGTTCCTCTCAACTGCACTTCATACCTCTCAACCGAACCTCATACCTCTCAAGTGTTGCCCATACTTCTCACAGCTCTCCTTTCACCACAACTCCTCGTTCCCCCTCATTTCTCCCCCATTCCCTCCTCCCTTCTTTTCCCCCCTTCATTCGCCTTCTCCCCGTCTGTCTCAGGAAATGATGAACCAACACTCCCGTTCCTTCTCCTTTTCTTTCTCCTCCCTTGATGCTTTCTCTCTAATCACCCTCAGCCGACAGCCACTAGCAGTGTGTGATGCCCCTGAAAGCCATAAGCGAGTTCTCAGTCCAAAAGACGTGTTGAACCTCCTTGCTTTCACCATGATGCTGCAGGGTGTTTTTGAGAATTCTGCCCTTCTTGCTGAACACCCTGCAGCATCAAAGACGTGTTGAACCTCCTTGCTTTCACCCGTTGCCATTCTGCCCTTCTCCTGCATCCTTCTCCCATTCAACCCGTCAGGAAACACCCACCACGATGACGACCACCAGCAGCACCGCCACCACAGTGTGTCTGTCCCATCGGAACCTCTCCTGCCTGCCAGCGCCCCACCGCTTACTGCCACTCTCCACTCTACTGCCTTCACAAATTGGCACTCTGATTCGCATTGTGACTTAGATTCGTGTCAGTGCAAGGCCTTGAATGCTAGGTCTCAAGCACATGAGTGCAACAGTTTCTGTTGCCACCGGTAAGTGTTTAATCTTTTGGCGAGCAACTACCGTATGGTGTATAACCATTACTGATGGATGGAACATTACAAAAGCATTCTCCTTCCTAGCCTACTCTTCAGTACCTAGCTGCACGTATTTACTAGTGTAGTAGCTGCATGCTTGAGTGGTGCTTCTGCAATGTTCCCCCATCACCCTCATCATCTTCCACTGTCTTTTACAAGCTGAGGTAGAAAGTAAATCACACCCTCCCACCGATCACTCTCCCTGAAAGCGTTGCCCCGTCAGCACCGGAGAATCCGAGGAACAGGTCATCATTGGTGATCCCTTGGATCGATGCCAGCACATCTGCCACGTCAGCAGCTGACGCCCTGACGACATTGGCCAGCGACCAGGACACAGGGCTCATGGGCACCCACGTGCCAGGCAGGGCGAGGGCTGCTGAAGCAGCAGCGGTGCTGCAGGCGTTGCCCTTGAAAATGGCCTGCGAGTCCGGGGCCTTGGTCACTCCTGCTGCATACAGGTAGTACGTGACCAGATAGTCAGAACCACTGCATGGGGGGAAAGGAAAGGTAGCAGAGAGGAGGAATTGGAGCAGAGGGCGTCATGAGATATGGACCAACGTTCACAGCACTTTCTAAGAAACAGCGTATAGAAAAAACAAGTTAGAAAGCGTGGTGGGGGAGGGTACCTGCTGGACGGTGGGTCAACAAGAGTCAACACGAGTCAACTTACATCTTGAGGATCTGAATGTCAGCAGCGCCGGCTTGGAGAGACAGCAGGCCGTTGCATGACGTCAGCACGGCACGCAGCATGCCCGCCTGCTGGGGCAGAAGATTCGCGAGATTCGCCACCACGCTGCTATTGACACCAGCGCCGTTCAGAGCGGCATTCAAGGCGTTCAGCATCCCGGCGAGCGCGGACACGTTCCCGTTGAGCCCCGCGACTCGCTGCGTCACGGCCGCCAGCCGCTGCCTCACTGCCGCGCGGATCGCCGCACTCCGACTCGCCGAAGCCGCTGCGGTGGCTGCACTCGACACGCCCGCCGAGCCTACGCGCGAGCCTGCGCCCGAACGGATTATCCCCGCCAGGTCCTTGTTCAAAGCGTCAATGTTGCTGCTTATGGAGGAGATGTTGGACCGAATCCCGGAAACCTGAGAAAGCAGATCCGTGATGTTCAATGATGACGCCGAGATGTTCAGCGCGCTCAGATTGGCGAGGCTACTGTTCAAAGCAGCGAGGTTGGATTTTAGCGCGGATATCTGCGCCTGGAGCGCGGCGTCTGCGGATGCGTTGCTGCTGAGGGCCGCCGAGATCTGATCGAGCGATTTCTTGAGAAGCGCGTCGAGAGACGCGATCTGGCCGTTGAGGGACGACTGGAGGCCGGAGAGCGTCGAGTTGAGCGCCGCTGCGGGGTTGATGCTGCTGGCTGCTGCGGTTGCCGCGGCGACGGCTGAATTCAAGCCGGGTGGAAGACGGTTGGTGGGTAGACTGCCGACGCCGGGGAGAAACCGGCCAGCTTCGACTCGTTGTGTTGCCAAAAGCACTGGATTGAATGAAAAAACGAGGAGAGATGAGTTTCCGAGGAAGAAATGCAACTGAAAGTTCGTGACAGATGTGTTTTTCATTTGTAGCGCGTGAAGAGGTGCTCTCTGGCGCTGAAAAGCACGGCTTCAACTCGCCAAGTTGGCGAAGTGGCTCACCTGTGAGGACCAGAGCGACAAGCCCGAGTAGCGTGGAAGGAGCTGCTGTGCGTGCCATGATGATGGTCGAGCTACTATTTGTCGAGTTGAAAATTGAGCTACTACTATCTGGTTGAAGAGAGCTCAGGCAGGCGCTCGAAACGAAAATCGCTGTGATCTGTGAGTGTTTGAGATAGCGTGGTGCTGGAATGCTGATTTGGGTGCGTTCTGAGAGTTGATGCCCAAATCCTTTATGGTGTTCAATATATATGTTCGTGGGAGACTGCATGGAGACTTGGATTTGCAAGGTTTTGGTGCGGTGGAGCTAGAAATTTCGGAAATTTCAGTTCGGACCGCGGATTGCGTGCGTCTGATTGGTTTATCTCCTCTCATCGAGGCGCACGCGGAGTGGCTGGGAGCGGTGCTGTGAGCGAGGGAGGTTGGTCGGTCGGTCGGAGGCTGGTGCTGGCAGAACGGAACGAGTGTGAATGCAGTTGAATGGACGGGGGCAATTGCACCGAAAATGACAAGGCAATTGCATTGATAAGGCGCGGTTCTTCTATTGAAACTCGTACACTTTCATCTTTAGAACCATATTCCTAGGTTGTGTCAAAATCCTTTTTCTGGACTCTGGCCCAACTCACAAGTCTCACAAGTCGGTTGCACTCACAAGTATGAAATGCTCATAGTAAACAATCCAAGATACATACAGCATACTCTAGCTTCCTTCAGTGTAGAGTCAACTCAACACTACAACATCCAAAAGCCCCAGCTTCTACCAAACTAATTTCAGGTGCTTGTGGGACTATGCCCCAAAGCACTTGGCTGGCCCTTCCTAAATGAGCAATAGTACTGATGCCATTGTACATGCCAAGTCAAACTGTATTTGTTACACCAGGCTGGTATATTTGGTAGCCTAGGTTTATACCCATCTTCCTCATGCAGTGCACATATTATGTTTCTCACATGGTATCAGTTAGGTTAAGTCCGTGCTTCTGCTCAACTTCATCTAGCCTAGCCCGCCACCTACCTCGCCCCTAGGCCGCATGCCAGCCCTAGCGCCAGCATGCCAGACAGCCCTAACGCGCCCGTGAGAAGCCCGCCAGCGCGCACGCCAACAGCACGAGCGCCAACAGTGCGCAAGCCAACAGCGCGCCATCAGCGCCTTTTACTTACAGCCATTCATACTGTCGTTCCTAGCGCCGTTCTTAGCGCCGTTTCTAGCGCCGTTCCGACGCCGTTCCTAGCACCGTTCCTTGCGCCGTTCCCACCGCCATTCCTAGCGCAGTTCCTACCGTCGTTTCATTTGTCTTTCCTAGCGCCGTTCCTAGCACCGTTCCTAGCCCGCTACTCAGCACAGCTGTCGACTAGACCCCGCTAGCCATCGTCATGGCGTCCGACGGAGTCCTGCGCTTCGACGCCGATCTATTTTAGCACGTTGCTGCCGCACGCCACACTTCACCTCCAGAGCCAGCGTCAGGACGTTGACAAATCGGGTGAGCTGCTTGTTCCCCCCCCCCCCCCCCCCCCCCCGTCCCACCCCTCTTACTCCAGAGGCCACTGCGGCAGACCAGGAGACCTTTACTGTGCAGCGCAATACGTACTCGGTGTGGCAGTTACGCGATGCTGCTGCTCGCCTCGCTCTTAGTCGCCTCCCCCTGACCGCCTCTCGTCTGCAAGCCGCCTTGGTGCAACACTGGCAGGTCGCCGACTTGCAAGCCGCCTTCGAGCTGCGTTGGCGGTCATCCTGCCTTTGTGCTAGATTGTTAGGCCACTGATGTAGTCATGGTTGCCTTTGCCATTGTGCATCATTGTATCCAACCTTTACTAGTGAAACTCTTGCCAATCTGCCCTGTGAATGCGCAAGTAGAGAGAACACGAGCAAACGCTACAATCACACATACCACCCGTGCTTTCCCCTGTAGTCCAACTCCCGGTGCAGAGTGACTTCCGCATGGTGAGCGTTGACGGCCCCGCAAAATACCTTCAGATAGTAGCCATCTTACCACTTACGTAAGTCGTTGTTAGACCGGCAGCTGTCTTAGTCGCCATGGTAGGCCACGAGGCCGAAGCAGGCGTAGAGGATATCTTGCTAGCGAGAGAGGCTAGTATTCGGGCACGCCACACGGCTGGCGAGTTCGGCGAGGCTCCCTTGGAGGTGATGCTCCTTGACACTCGTGCGCAGTGGGCGCGCGAGCACCCTCCCCGACCTGAAGCAGACGGTGCGTCCGCCTCTTCCCGACCCGTGCACAATGAAGGCGGCGACGACGAGCCGACGTCGGTGGCCAAGCTGGCAACAAGGGCACGAGGGTGACTCGTGGAGTAATCACTACCGCCGACGGCAGGCGCGAGGGCTGCGGTCGACGGCGGCTGCAGGCAGCTCCCAAGGCGACGTCGGTGGACGAAGTCGCTCACCCTGCAGAGTGGAGTCGGGCCGACGTCGGCGACCCACTTTTCGGCTGGTCGGGACGGAGGGATTGCGCCGGCGTACGGCTACTTCAAGTTTTCGCCGGACAAAATCACCGTGCCAAGCTGCTGGAAGGTCGACATGACCTCTTGACATGGACGGGGTCGATTGAGCCCCACCTGGAGATTGCCGGACTGAAGAAGTTCGTCGACGACGACGTGCTGGCGCCTGACGAGGAGGACGCCGAGCTCTGGTCAGAGTTCCGCGCTGCTCACCTGCTGACCTTCATGGTCATTTTGCTGTGCTTCACGCCAATGATGCAGGTCGCCTCGAAGCCGTGCCGACTTCGGGTGGACGCCAGCCACCAAGCATGGCAATCCATAATGAGGACGTACAAGTCGACCGACGACTTGTACATCGGCCAACTGGAGCAGCGCCTAATCAACATCAGGATGGGAGCGCAGGAGCCAGAGACCGAGTACGGCGGATTTTGGTCGACCTACGGATGGTCGGCGTCGACTACTCGGTGGCGTCCTACGTCACGAATGTCGTCAAGGGTCTCTCGATAAGCTACAACCTGATGCGCCGGCTGCTGGCGATGCCCGGCGTGCGTGAGTCACTCAACGAGGACTCGTTGTCGAGCCACATCATCAACGACGAGTTCATGCAGGAGTCAGAGCGGCCCACAGAGCTCCTTCCGCAGGCGAATTACGTCGCCCCGACGAAGCAAGGACGTCAGCAGGGGCAACGTGGGAAGTCGGGCGGAGGTGGTAGCGGAGGTGGGAAGTCGACGTCAAGGACACTGACCACCTCTCCTACGACTGTCCCAACCGCGAGGAATCCGACGACAACGACCACGTCAACATCAGGACAACAAGCTGCGCAAGGAGAAGGATGCGTCGAAGCAGACGTCGACGGCGAAGGACGCCGACTCCTCCAGCGGCAACGCACGGGGCGATGGAGCGGCCTCGTGCTCGATGGTCGGCGTGGTGGAGCCGACGATCTCGCTGGCGCCGGAGGCCGGCGAGGACTTCAAGGCGGTCGCCGCCGGTGTGCACGCAAACCCGACGGTGGTGCTGCTCGACAGCGGCTGCTCCCATCATCTGATGGGAACGAAGGAGGCCTTTGTAGACATGCAGCCGAGCGGCGACGTGTCGGATGCCATAGGCCTCTACCTCCTTTGCTGCCCTTTCTCCATGTGAGAGGGTGACCTCCCACCCTTTTGCTCCTTAGTTCCCTCTTCTTCACTCTCTTGTAACCTTTCCTTCTGTCCCTCCCTTCTGCTCCTCTGTTCCCCTCCCTAGGCCCGTGCTCCTCCAGTCGTATTACCCACTCGAAAAATCCCCTGATCTAACGACAGTCTCCTCTTTCTCTGGCTGGCTCTGCTAGGAAGATAGCACCCACCATTCCACTATGTTGAGAAAACAAACAAACAAACAAGCAAGGAGTTCAGAGCAGGCTAGCTACCTATGTACAGTGCAAATCTGGGCTAGCTACTGACTTCTTGCAGAGGGCGTGGGGTGAGGCGAGGACCTGCACACACACGCCAACATCAAGCACATCCAGCAGGCAAACACACACCATCCGACATGCACTTCATCTCAACCGCGCAATCAGCCCACATATGTACAAACATGATCTGCACCGTCCGTGCTTCTTGGCTTGTGACCTCCCTTGTCAATCATCTCCACGGTCACCTTGCTTCACGTGAAACCCCCATCCTGACTGCCATCATTGTACACGCGGGGCGTCTGCATTCCTTCCCGCACCAGCTCGATTACCCCCACGCTGCATTTCTCCAGCAGTCACTCCCGAATGCCCGTCGCTACTTCGCTGCACGCCTTCCCGATATCGTACTTCGTGCTACACCGTCTACACCTCATGTCATGCGGAAAAGAAACTATACTCTTTCTTGTTTCGTGTGACAGCTGTCGGATGCCATAGGCCTCTACCTCCTTTGCTGCCCTTTCTCCATATGAGAGGGTGACTTCCCACCCTTTTGCTCCTTAGTTCCCTCTTCTTCACTCTCTTGTAACCTTTCCTTCTGTCCCTCCCTTCTGCTCCCGTGTTCCCCTCCCTAGGCCCGTGCTCCTCCAGTCGTATTACCCACTTGCCCCCTTCCGGGACCTGCCTGGCTCCTGCTGCTGGTCGTGAGGAACACCTTGCATCTTGCTCCCTGTCGCTCGCGCCACATTTGTCACGTGATCATCACGCTGCTCGCCCTCCTCCGACTCCAGCACCAGCACCCCTGAGGGCTTCACCTCCTTCACCACCCAGCGTTCGGCTGATAGCCCTATGTCCAGTGTGTCTTTCCTCGTCTTCCGGATGTACACTTCGGTACCGCTCTCCACCGGCTTCCCCTTTCCCTTCCCTGTCTGCAGAAGCCTTTGCTGGTACCGTTTTGCGTCCCTCAGCTATGCCGTATGCAGATTTTCAAGCGCTGCTGGCATGATCTTCTTCAAATACCTGGCCCTGCAGTCCGCCAGAGCTGCCCACTTCTCGGGGGATCCAGCCCTGACCACTTCGGTTAGCACCTTAGGAGCTCCCACAGGCAGCAGCAGCTCCTTCCCGTACAGCAGGTAGTATGGCGAGTAGTCCCGTAGCGCAGCTTGCTTACTGAACCGATACCCTGCTACGACCCAGTGCAGCTCCTGGTCCCAATCCCTCTTGTGCCCTTCTCCATGGGCGCGTAATCCCTTCTTGACCGTCTGCACCATCCGTTCTGTTAACCCGTCAGCCTGCGGGTGGTACCTTGACGTCCGTCGGTGCGTGATGCCCACTCTATTCAGCAGCTGATCAAATGCCCCTTTGAATTCCGTGCCCTGGTCTGTCAGGACCTCCCCGCACGCCCCGAAGCGCGTGAGCACCTGGTCTGTGAATGCCTCGGCAACCAGTTCTGAGCTTTTGCTGCTGAGCGCCCGCACCTCCACCCACTTAGATACGTGCTCGATCATCACTAGCACGTACCGCTTGTTCTTGCGACTCAGCGGCAATTCCCCAGCCAGGTCAAGAGACCACTGATATCCCAGCCCGCGGATGGGCAGTGACTGCAGTTCCTGCTGCTCTCTCTCCAGGTTCGCCTTGTTCCGGCTGCACAGCTCACAGTCTGCCACTACCTCTTTCACGTCTCGCTGTAGCCCGGCCCACCACCACCCTGTGGTGAGCAGCTGCGCTGTCCGCACATGCCCGTAGTGCCCCAGCTGGCCATGCACTTTCTCGATCAGTGCCCGCCTCTGTTCTGGCGCTGGCACCAGCTTCCATCCGTCCTTGGTGGTCACCTGCAGTTGATTCTGGTACCACCGATAGTGCCTGCCTCGCGCCCGCGCTCTCTCGCCCACGTCCTCCTCCGCCTCTGTCTCTCCTTTGACCCACTGCAGCACCGTTGCGTCCTCCCAGACATCCTCCGGCCCCTTGCCTCGGTGCTTCGTCTCTTCCGTCTCTCGCAGTCCGCTGGCCAGCGCCACGAGGCAGGCTGATGGCGAGCCTTCTTCAGGTGGCGGCGGGTTCCTTGAGAGCCCGTCCATGTGCTGGAGTGTCTTCCCCGGTCGATGCCGTATCTTGAACTCGTACTCTTGCAGCCGCATTGCCCACCTCGCATTTCTTCCGGTGAGCGTATGGTTTGTCATCAGCCACGTCAGGGGCTGATGGTCGGTCACCAGAGTGAATGGGCTGCCATGTAGATATACTCGGAAATGGTCCACGGCCCAAACCGCGGCCGGCCCTTCGCCTTCGTAGGAGCTGTAGTTGGCCTCGGTGGGGCTGCAGCTCCTGCTGGCGAATGCCACGACCCTCTCTCCCCGTTCCGTCTCTTGGCACAGCACGGCTCCCATGCCCAAGCTGCTCCAGTCCGTGTAGAGGACAAATGGCTGATCTCTCCTGGGCAGGACCAGCACTGGCCCCGTCTTGACAGCCCCGAGCAGGTCCTGCAGCGCCGCATCCTCCTGCTCTCCCCATTTCCACGCATTGCTCTCCTTCAGGAGCTGATTCAGCAGGCTGGCCCTCTTGCTGAAATTTGGCACGAACCGCCGGTAGTAGTTGAGAAACCCCAGTATCGCCCTCAGCCTGCTGCGGTCCGTCGGTACTGCCACTTTGTCCAACACCGCCACCTTGGCCTCCTGGATGGACAGCGTCCCGTCGGAGACCTCGAAGCCCAGGTACTTCACGGTTTCCTCCCCGAACTCACACTTGTTCGGGTGACAGGTCAGCCCCGCGTTCATGATCGCCCCCAGCACTCTCTCCACGTCCGCCACGTGCGATGCTGCGTCTTTGCTGAAGATGACGACGTCATCGATATAGCAGGCCGCGCAGTCGATTCCCCTCAGGATGGTATCCATCGCTTGTTGGAAGATCGCGGAGGAATTCCGCATTCCAAACGGCATCCCGTTCCATTCCCAGAGCCCATCCACTCCGTGAAACTCCGTCTTGGCACGATCTTCTTCCCGGATCTGGATCTGGTTGAAGCCTTGCCTCAGGTCCAGCGTGCTGAACACGGTTGCGCCCACCAGTTTATCGAATATTTCTTCTGGCGTTGGCATGGGGTACCGATTTGCCTTCGTGATCTTGTTCAGGTCTCGGAAATCCCCGCACATGCGCCTGGAGAGGATCTCCCCCGTTGCGTCCTTTCGTGCGGCGACCACTGTTGCTGCGGCATACTCCGACGTGGAGCGCCGTATCAGGCCGGCCTCATACAGCTCCTTGCACTTCTCCTTACACACCTCCTCGTCCGCCCTGGTCATCCGCCGCTTCCGCTGGAAAGTGGGAGTGTCTGACGTCAGCTCTATCTTCATTTCTCCAATCCTGCTCCTGCCCAACTCCTTCAACGTATAGGCGAAGGCCCTCCGGTGCCGCCTCAACATCTGCCTCATACGATCGGCTTCCTCTGCTGCCAGCGCCGTACCCACTGTCCATGACTCCTCTTCGCTTCCCGATCCCGCGGCAGCATGCTCTGTGGGGGCATCCCGTTTTGTTGCTTCCAGCGCCATGAAGAACTGCATGCAGCTCCGCTTCGCCAGGCGGCTGCGGATCGCGACACGCTCCTCATCTCCAGGGGGGCACCCATTCTTTCTGGCCTCCTCCTCACTGTCCAGTAATGCTTCCAGCTTTCGCGTCTCCGCGTTCAGCCTATCCTGAGCTTCGCTGTTCTCTCCGCTCCCCTCGGCCCACCATTCCTTTTCTTCCACCCTCGTGTCCATGTCCCACAGCAGCAGTTGCACCTCCACGGTGTGTAGCAGCCACTCCATGGCTTGCACGTCCATCCCTTGTCCCAATTCCCGCCGTCGCTCCCACTCTCTGACTCCTGGTGCTGCCGTTGCCCCCGGCAGGAAGCCCATGGCTAGCTCCCGCTCCAGCGCCGTCGGTTCTTCCCATTCTCTGGTCCTCAGGTTCTTGACCATGCCAGGCCCTGGCACCCCTCCCTTCTTCTGGAACGCATGCGAGCCGTAGTGTGACACCAGGGTGGGCCATGCCTGCCTTGGCTGCCCAGGCTCGTTGCACGGGTAGTGCGCGGGGTGGTCTGGGTACTGCACTGGCGCCTCTTCCCGGTTCGGTTCAAGGATGTCTCTCACCAACCGCCCTGCCGGCCTCTCCAGCTTGGACAACTCCAGCCTCGACCTTCCTTCTGAAATGCCGTTCTGCCAATACCTCCGGTCTCGATGCCCCCGGGACCCTGCCTGCGCAGCATCCAGAGCCACTCCTGCCCCCAACACTGAGGTCACGCGCCGATGCATTGCTCGCACCCGCTCCCTTGGGTCCGCCGCGAAGTTGAGGTTCTCCAGCACGTACAGATACTCTCCATGCTGCCGGTGAACCATCTTCACGATCCGCACCAAGTGCTCGAATAGGGCCGTCCTCTCATCGTCCATGCCCATTCCCAGTCCAGCCCAGGACACTCCCTGACACTCCCACCCGGCGATAAACACGTCCACTCTTCCCCATGCTTCCACTCGGACCTCGGTTATCTCCTGCACCTCATGCACTGCGCCTTCCCAGTTTCCCTCCGTGGAACCGTCCAGGATTTGCCCCGAGTATGTCCGCCTGAGCAACTCCACGTGGTGCCTCACCATATCTTGCACTCTTGGATTCGCTTCCACGTAGGTCCATTTTTCGATTGTCCACCCCTTAGTGCCGCTGCTAGCCCCGTCCCCAGTCCTCCGAAGAGTTCTAGCATACGGATTGGTTTCAGCAGGATCCGCTTGTCCAATACTTCTCCGGGTATGACCTCCTTCCTTTCCGCCCACACTTCCCTTTGCCTGCGCACTTGCAGCTCCTCCTCCGCCTCGTACCAGCTCATTTCCCCAAGCTGGTTTTCCAGGTCCACCATGCGAACCTGGTATGCGGCCTTGGGTTCTTGGTACATGAAACGTATGGGCAGCGTACCCCTTGGTCCCCTCGGGTCCCAGAATTGCGGGCGATACAATGTCAAACTTATATGTTGCATGTTGTGTAGGCTGTAGTGGGGTAGCCCAAATTGGGTACAACCCAATTAGGGTTAGTACTTGTACCCATCTTGCTGCTAGTTCATTCATTCCTGCTCGTTGGTTTCTAACATGGATTCAGAGCAGGTCCTCTCCTAGGACCGATTTTTTTTAGGGCCCATCGAATCGCGCTACCCCACACGTCGCGCTGCCCTGTTAGCGCCGTGCTGCCCTGCCCTGCCCTGCATCGCGCTGCCCCGCGCACGCCCTGCCTTGCGTTGCGCCGCCCGCGCACGCCCTGCCCTGCGTCGCGCTGCCCGCGCACGCCCTGCCCTGCGTCGCACCGCCCGCGCACGCCCTGCCCGCGCGCCGCTTGCCGCCGCGCCGCGCCGCCCTGCCCGCGCGCTGCTCGCCGCCGCGCGCCCTGTCCTGCCCGCGCGCTACTCGCCGCCGCGCACCCTACCCTGCCCGCGCGCCGCTCGCCGCCACGCCGCCCTGCCCGCGCGCTGCCCGCCGCCGCGCCGCCGCCCTGCCCGTGCGCCGCTCGCCGCAGCGCCGCCGCCCTGCCCGCTCGCTGCTCGCCGCCGCGCGCTCTGCCCTGCCCACGCGCCGCTCGCCGCCGCGCCGCCCTGCCTGCGCGCCGCCCTGCCCTGCCCGCACGCCGCTCGCCGCCGCGCCGCTAGCCGCCGCGCCGCCCTGCCTGAGCGCCGCTCACCGCCGCGCCGCCCTGCCCTGCCCACGTGCCACCCTGCTGGCTGCTGCCCTGCTCTGATCTGCCTGTGCGCTGCCCTGCTGGCCGCTGCCCTGCCTTGCCCTGCCTGCATACTGCCCTGCTGCTAGCGCGCCCGCCTGCCCTGCCCGCTATGGCAAATCTCAGCGTCCTCACCTTCGATCCTAAGGGCCGCCCCATAGAGTTCGATGCGTGGCTCGATGACTTACAGCTGTTCCTACTGAGCGATTCTAGGGACGGCGTTTCGCTGTTTGACCTCACGTCTGGAGCCTCTCTCGCCCCTCCTGCCACAGCTGACAGTGCGACTCGCTCACAGTGGCTTACCCGTGACGTTGCTGCTCGCCCAGCCGTTCGCAACCACCTGCCGTTAGCCGAACGCGCCCACTTCGGACAGCACAAGACTGCTAGAACCCTGTACGATGATGTACTCGCTCGTTACTCCTCCCCGGCCACTGCTTCTTTAGGCCGTCTTCTGCTGCCCTACCTGTTTCCCGAGCTGTCCGCCTTTGCCACAGTTGCCGACCTAGTCACTCACCTTCGCACTAGTGACACTCGCTATCGCGCCGCGCTTCCCGCCGAGTTCCTCGCCAAGAACCCCCCTCCCATGTACATCACTCTCTACTGCATCGTCACCCGCCTTCCTGACTCTCTTAGCGCAGTCAGGGACCTCTTTCTCGCCCTTGACCCCACAGACCTCACTGTCGACCTGCTCGAGAAGCACCTCCTTGCAGCTGAGACTAGAATAGTCGCTGTAGGCACTTCTCGTGGCACTCCTCGCACTCCCTTCTTTGAGGGGTGTTCGCCCTCCCCCCTTATCCCCTCAGTCGCTTCTGCTGCAGCTGTTGACTACCTTCGTGCTGAGGAGGTAGGAGCTGCGTCTGCTCCTAGTGGGAGGCGCCGCAGCGGTAGGGGCAAGGGAGGCAGGGGTGGTGGGGGTGGCAGCGGTGGAGGCGGTGGTGGTGGGGGCGCTGGAGGCGGTGGAGGTGGCGGTGGTGGCGGAGGGAGTGGTGGTGGGGGTGGAGGTGGTGGTGGCAGCAGTGGGAGTGGTGGTGGCGGCAGTGGTGGCGGCAGTGGGAGTGGCGGCGGTGGCAGTGGTGGCGGCAGGGGTGGTACCGGTCAGAGGGGAGGCTTTGGCGGTGGTCAGAGGCAGCAGCAGCAGAGTCAGAGTGAGACCCCTTCGCCCCAGGAGCTTCGTGCTCAGCGTGGGGCGTCTGGTGGTAGTGTTCACTGCCAGTACGTCATTCGCACAGGTGACCGCACTAGTCAGACATGCGGGAAGGTTGGTCACACACAGTCCCGCTGCTTCTCCCATCTTAACGATGCCTTTCGCGCAGAGTTTCCCGACGCGACTGAGCTCCCCCGCTGGGCGGAGCTGCTAAGGCGGGGCGTGGATATCTTTGCTCTTTACTATGATGCCATCCTTGCTGCCATGTATGCATTGACTGTTAGTGCTGAGGGTGACTGTTACCTGTATATGCCGCCTGACCCAGGTATAGAGGGTATATGCCGCCTGCCATGTATGCATTGACTGTTAGTGCTGAGGGTGACTTTACTAGGTGCTAGTGAGTCTGCTCTCTCTGGTACTGCGCCTGCTGAGGCCTTGCACACCTTCACGCTTGACTCAGGTGCTTCCCGCTGTTTCTTTCGCGACAGTACCACAGTCACACCGCTCCCTGCACCTGTTGCTGTCTCTTTGGCTGACCCCTCTGGGGGCCCAGTCCTTGCACGTTCCTCCACTGTTCTCCCGTGTCCGGCGGTTCCGTCTGGCTCACTATCAGGTCTTCACCTCCCCTCGTTCTCTACGAACTTGGTGAGCAACGCCGTCCTTCAGGATGTATGGGCTGACACCTTTACTCCAGGAGGACGGCGTGTGGCGATCTGTACATGCTCCCGGACTGGCCGGCACCTGGCCACGTTCACTCGTCGGCCTGGGTCGAGTCTGTACACACTGACTACTGAGCCTCCTCAGGTAGTTGCGTCAGGTCAGGTCAGCTAGCGGCCCCCTGCTCGTGTCGCGCCCTGACGCACCAGACCCTCCTTTGGCACCACCGCCTTGGTCACCCCTCAGTGCAGCGCCTTCGTGGCATGCACTCCCGTCTCTTTGTCTCTGGTCTTCTCAGGTTTCTGCCTCCCCTCTCACCCTCGCCTGCCCCTCTCTGCCTTCCCTATGTCAAGGGGCGGCAGCGTGCCACTCCTCACTCCTCCTCGTTTCCCCCGACGACTGCTCCCCTGCAGACTCTCCACATGGACGTGTGGGGCCCAGCCCGCGTCCGTGGACAGGGCCGCGAGCGCTATGGAGTCTCCTTGCGAACGGCACGTGGGAGCTGATTGAGCGTTAGCGCGGAGTGAACATGATGAAGAACCACTGAGTGCTGATAATCAAGTATGCGTCGACGACACGGTCGCTTGGGAGAAGGCGCGCTTGGTCGTGAAGGGCTTCACTCAGGCTATGGCGCCGACTACGACGAGACGCACGCGCCGGTTGGGAGCTATGTCACGCTGAGGATCTTCCTCAACATCGTCGCCGTCCTCGACCTACACCTGATGCAGCTTGACATGAAGAACGCCGGACTAATACGAGGACGGGATCGGCCGCATATGCAAACGGTTGAAGAGCATGCACGGGCTGAAGCAGTCGCCGTTGCTGTGGTACTCAGCACCGACGCCGTTTTGACTGGCGCCGGCGGGAGCAAGAGCCAAGTCGATGATTATCTCTACTTCAAGGTCGCCGACGTCGGAGTGGCGTGCTGGGTGCTCGTCTACGTCTACGACCTGCTCGCCGCCTGCAGCAGCACCGCGATGCTGAAGGAGCTGCGCGAGCTTCTGGAGGCCGCCTTCGAGCTGCGCGAGATTAGCCTGGTCGAGAAGTATCTCGGGCTGGAGATTGTGCGCGACCGACCTGCGCGGAAGTTGTGGCTCCACCATCAGGCCTACGTCGACAAGCTGCGCAGGCGCTTCATCGACGAAGAGCACACCGGGCGAGTTCCGAAGACGCCAGTCTCCGTCGATGCCTACGCCGAGCAGACGTAAGATGACAGGGAGTTTCAGTCGCGCGAGGAAGAGGAGTACCAGCAGAAGGTCGGCTCGCTCCAGTTCGCCGCCACGACGACAAGGCCCAACATCGCCTTCGCGTGTAGCAAGCTGGGGTCCGGCCTGACCGTGCGGAGCGACCAGCACTGGCGTGAGGTCGACCGCTGCCTAGCCTACCTCGCCGACACCCGTGACGCCGCCCTAGAGTTCGGCGGCGGACCTACGTCGCAATGCCTTGTCGGCTTCGCGGACGACGACGACGCCGGCGACAAGAAGACGCGCAGTAGCACAAACGGCTACGTTTTCGTCTTCGGCGGCGCAGCAGTCTCCTGGACGCGCTGTCGTTGACCGAGCCAGAGTACATCGCAGCCACTGAAGCCGGGAAGGAAGCAAGAGGACTTCGCTTCCTCCTTGCCAAGTTCCAGCTGCTTGACTCAGGGACGCCAGCCGTCTTGAACGTGGACAATTAGTCGGCCATCGCGGTTGTTGAAGGCTTGGGGCTCAAGGGAAACCTCAAGCACATAGAGCGACGCTACGTCTGGCTCCAGTAGATGGTGAAGCGCGGGAAGATTGCGCTGAAATACATCCCGACCACCGAGCAGCCGACTGACTTCCTGAGGAAGGCGCTGCACTTCCTGGCCTTCAACCGGTGCTCCGTCGCAGTCAGCCAAGTCCGTCTGGCCGACGTCTGCGACTTTGATGACGACGTGCAGTAGTAGTTGCCGTGTCCTTCTACACGGCTTGTGCAGTGACCGACATGCTGGTGTGCACGCCGAATTTATCCCATTGTACTCTATCCCTTTGGGTTCTGGGTGGACCTAGTGTGTGGGTGCCCAATCTTGAGCTGAGCATGGGAGTGTTGACGAGAGAAGGCCCTGTCAAACATAAGTTATAGCCTGTTTAGGCTGTAGTGGGTTAGACAATAGGGGGTACAGCATTTCTAGGTTTCCCTATTTGTACCCAACTCATTTCTAGTTCATTCATTCCTCGTGTTATTCTCACATGGTATAGAGCGGGTTCCCTAGTGGGACCGGTTTTTTTTTTTAAGGGCCCACCACTGCGATTTATTTTTTTCCTTACCTGCCCGAAGCGCGCTTCGCGCTTGCCTTATCTGCGCCCCGTGCGCCCGCCCTCCCGTCGCGCACTCTGCCCTTAGCGGCCCGCCCTTAGCGGCCCTGCCCTTAGTGGCCCGTCGCGCCCTTTCACGGCCCCTTCACGGCCCCTTCGAGGCCCTTCGCGGCCCCCTCGCGGCCCTTCGCGGCCCCTTCGCGGCCCCTCGCGGCCCCTTCGCGGCCCTTCGCGGCCCCCCTCGCGGCCCTTCGCGGCCCCCTCGCGGCCCTTCGCGGCCCCCTCGCAGCGGGCGGCCTTATTGAGATACCCACACGCATGAATGACCGCCCTAAGATTGATTCAAATCCACGCACACACTCGTATGCGATACACACCCTGAGCTGACCTTGCTGGAAGACACGAGGGCCGAGGTGATTGAGGGCTTCGAGGCACCTCCTCTGCTCCGCTATAAGCAGGAGAAGCATGTGCAGATGGAATTTGAAATCCATCATTAGAAGCTGACCTTGCTGGAAGAGACCAGAGCCGAGGACACGAGGCCGAGACGATTGAGGGCTTCGAGACACCTCCTCTGCTCCGCTATAAGCAGGAGAAGCATGTGCAGATGGAATTTGAAATCCATCATTAGAAGCTGACCTTGCTGGAAGAGACCAGAGCCGAGGACACGAGGCCGAGACGATTGAGGGCTTCGAGACACCTCCTCTGCTCCGCTATAAGCAGGAGAAGCATGTGCAGATGGAATTTGAAATCCATCATTAGAAGCTGACCTTGCTGGAAGAGACCAGAGCCGAGGACACGAGGCCGAGACGATTGAGGGCTTCGAGACACCTCCTCTGCTCTGCCAGCAGCAGCTTCTCCACCTCCGCCACTGCTGTGTGCATGCGCACCTGCATGCAGAGGAGAGGGAGGGGGAGTGAGCGATAGATATGAGGTTGAGAGACAGCGGAGGAGAGATGGATGGAAATGAATCCGCTTTGCTTTACAACAAGCAGCTTTTCCACCTCCGCCACTGCTGTGTGCATGCGCACCTGCATGCAGACGGGGAGGAGGAGTGGGAAACGAGGGAGGGGATGAGAGAGTGTTGTATGGATGGATGGGAGACAGTCTGGAACTGCATACCAACAGCACACAGCATTAAAAACCAAGCACAATTGCACATCATACCTTGATCACTTGCTCGGTGCGCTTGTGCATGTACTGGGCAACTTGTGGGTCATCATCTCCCCGGTACTCTATGAGCGATATGCCCAGCTTGTCCACCACCTCCTTTACCTTGGGCAGCTGGGCTGGTGACATGGAGAAGAAAGAAGAGCTAACTTCGAAGTTATTGAGGGGAATCGTTCTCGTTTGCAGCATGCCTATAGGCACTGATGGGTGATATGCCCAGCTTGTCCACCACCTCTTGCACCTTGGGCAGCTGGGCTGGTGGCATTGAGGAGGTAGAGGGGAGAGCAAGGGGAAATTGGTAGAGTTGACGGCACAGCATAGCAGGGCAGCGGTCCACGAGTGATATGCCCAGCTTGTCCACCACCTCTTGTACCTTGGGCAGCTGGGCTGGTGGCACGGAGAAGGGGGAGGGGAGAGAGGAAAGGGAAGAGGGGTAGAGTGGGGCGCAGTGGAGCTGTGCTGCATGACTGATATGCCCAGCTTGTTCCCCACCTCCTGTACCTTGGGTAGCTGGGCTGGAGACACGCAGGAGGGAGAGGGAACGGCAGGAAGAGTGGAGCACGGTGGAGCATGCTGCATGACTGATTTCCCAGCTTGCTCCTGGGAAGCTGCGCTGGTGGGTGGAAAGCAGCAGAACGAAGTAGCAGTGGTGGCAATTCCAGTGAGTTTCCAGTGCTGTGGACAGATAGTGCGAGACCCAGGACGAGGTGTAGTGGGGTTCTTAAGGAAACACCCCGGTCATTCATGAGAACGTGGATGAGAGAAAAGAGTCCAGGCAAGGAGATCAAACGAGGAGAGTGTGCATGGGGAACGCAAGGATGTACGTACATCCAGGAGTGGCGGTCAACGCAAGGACTCGAAACGCAACACCGGCTTTGTGGAGCTGCCATGAGGGAGAGCGGCAGCAGGAGATGCAGGGACAGGGAGCGACGGAGCAAGGGGGGGGGACAAGACAGGCAAAAAGAGAGATGAGAAGAAGAGGAAGCTGAGGCACAACGATGGAATGAGAATGAGATGAGAGAGATGCAAAAGAGAAACCAAGGATGCCCACGATGGAACGAGAGGAGCTGAGGGGAGCCCGATTGCACGATGCACATGATGAGAAGGATGCTCAACGGTTCCACTCCATCCCCCACCCACCCACTCATCCACTCACCAATCCCCCACCCCACCGCACACTCCCCTCATCGCACCTCCTCCACCACGCGTGCATACGCATAGTTGCCCACCAACAGTTTTGGGGACTTCAAACCCAGAAGTCCCCCCACCCCACCCCACCGCACACTCCCCTCATCTCACCTCCTTCACCACGCGTGCATACGCATAGTTGCCCGTGGCGCGGTGGGCCTCGTCCACCACCAGACACACTATGGCCTCACGCGGACAGGCAGCTGTGCATGGGGGCATCGGATAATGGAGCATGAGAGATTCTGGATAAGTTGTGACTTTTTTATTCAGGTCTTCAAACGTGTTGGGGCTTCATCCACCACCACCAGACACAACACACTGTATACAATACAACAACTAACTACCCAGACAAGCAGCTGCACATAAACAGGCGGAATCAACCCACTTGAAAAGTCAGTTCAGTCACAAGTTGCCTTGGCTTATCCACACCACATGCACCGTGTGCTGTATTGTGCGTCACCCCATTCCACTGTGAACGTGATTATGCACTGCAACAGTGCATACCGCAAAACGTCCTTTGCACCCCTCACCCCAGTGCACCATGTCCTTTGCACCAGTCACCACTCCGCACCACCACTCACCCCAATGCACCATGTCCTGCAGTAGAACCTGCCCCGTGACAAAGAACACGCGCCGCTCCTTCCAATGCTGCGCCCTCTGCTCCCTCGCCATCTGCCCCGTCATGTGCATTGTGTGCTCCTGGGGGGTGGTGGAGGGGGCAGTGAATGAGTATGCTCCTAGGAAAAAAACGGAAATGAGCACCTTTACTCCCTCCAGTGCTGCGCCCGCTGCTCCCGCGCCATCTGCCCCGTCATGTGCATCGAGTGCTCCTAAGAGAAAACGTGAGACGAGAAGGAAATCGAAGGATACAAATCAATGGTTCTGCTCCCTCCCGACCAGTGCTCCCCCAGGGCTTCTACCCCGTCATGTGCCTTGTGTGCTCCTGAACGGAAAATAGAAGTTTGCAGCAAGATAAGTGGAAGAGTAAACGGGGATGCACGAGGGAATGAGAAGCAAAAAACAGAGGACCTTGTCTCACATGCACATAGACTGGACTGGACTCACTGAATCACCTGAAGGTACCAAACTGACAATCTAGACTACAAACTCATCTTGCCTAAAGCTCGAGATTTAACTAATTAGAAAAATGGGAGGGATGGAGATGATCAGGTAAATGGCAATTCTTTTACAGCAACAAGCGGTCTTACCTGTGGGATGGCGACGACGTTATGACATGCTCGGATCTGCTGTAGCACCAGAGGACGCGTGGGAGCCATGAACACGATCTTGCCTGATGATGATGCAGCAGCGCATGCATGCATGCATGCATGCATCATAGCCACACGCACACACACATGCACCGAGACCACATGCGTGCAGTGCACACATGCACAAAGACCAGCATGCGTGGATGCAAACATATTGATGATGGAGGAATGAAAAGAAATGTGAGTGTAGCAACAATGTGATGCGCACTAAGAGAGAGCGAAACCGCCATGGTCACCACCACCATGAATGGAACGAAGAACACATCAGCCTCTAAACGCTGCTAAAAGAAATCATTTATAAATCCTGTCAGCCAGTAGTGTGTAGTGGTCAGAATGACTGACCATGCGGGAACCAGCAGTAGCAGTTGACCTTAACAACGGCGCAAATGAGGGTCGCTGTTCTTAAGCCTGATCAACTAGCTGCTGTGAAACGTGTGGTTCGGCAGTGATGCACCCACTGATCAGTGTATGATCTGACCGTGCGGGAACCAGTCTCAGTAATTGACCATGACAACGGCGGCAATGAGGTGAGAATTCAAAGCTGACGACACCAGTGGGTCAGCATAGGTAAACCGTAAACCCACTGACCATTGTGTGCATTTACTGACCGTGCGGGAACCAGCGTTAGTAATTGACTTTGGCACCGGCGGCATTGAGGGTTCAAAGCTGCTAAAAAGCCTAATCAACTAGCTGCTGTGAAACCTGTGGGTCAGCATTGATGCGTCCACTTATCAGTGTTTTCACTGACCGTGAGGGAACCAGCGGTAGTAATTGGCCATGACAACAGCGGCAATGAGGGTTCAAAGCTGCTATGACGCCTGATTATCTAGCTGATGTTAATGCACGGAAGCACTCACTAATCAGTGTATGTAATCACTGACCGTGCGGGAACCAGCGGTAGTAGTTGGCCATGACAACAGCGGCGATGAGGGTTTTCCCACGCCAGTGGGAAGGCAGACGAGGGTGTTGGCGAAGAGAGCTGCCTCCGCGATTTCGTACTGGTACTGGCGAAGCTCGCGATTGGCTGCGAGGGAGACAAGAAAAGAGTGTGAATTGCAATAGAGGAGGAAAAATGCTGGCTCGGAGATGTCGCTTTAGGATGACGAGGAAGATTAACAGACAAAAATTAGGGGTAATGGATAGTACAATGCTAACTTTCATGTAGACTGCAGAAGCCTGCTTGTTTACCAACCGCCTATCCCGTCGGCAAACCTACAAGGATAAATCCACGTGGCCGCTGCTCCTTCGTCCACGCAATGACTTGATTCTCTCGGACCCTGAGCCTCAAGCCGCTGCTTATTCTCTTCCTCGCCACCGAAAAATCTACCTCTTCCTCCACCTCCACCGCCTCCTCCTCCCATGCCGTTTCCTCCATCAAAACCCCTATCAATCGGCTCCGCAAACTCATTCTGATTCAAAGGGCATCCAGTAGTCGTAGCTTTCGCTGCGCCTAAGGGATATGAATACGACGGAACATCGTCATTGTGAGTTGAAAAGCCTCGAGTGAACACATTCCCATTGGCTCCGTGGCCATTAATATGCGACATAATACTCGCGTGGTTTCCGATCGCGACGCCGAGTGGAGGACCTTCACCTCACTCGCTCATAAATTCCAAATAGGTGGCATAACTAGGCCACGCGGAAGCTAATGCTTCAAGAGCTCTTCAAAAGTGAATCCTAATCGCCTACATGGTAAAAATAAAAGCGGATAAATTAGTCGTGTGGTGCGTTCATGAACTTCCGAAATCCTACAACACCTACCATCCTACCACTAGCAAGTCCTTCTCTGGCCTTTGCGTCAGGCTGACGCTGAGAGACGGCTTTGTGAAAGTGGGATGTGGATTTGTCGATAAAACTGAGGCCTCGGGAATTGTCGGAATAGCGGGTGTGCATGCATGTGGTTATCAGTCCCAATTGTTCACTGCAACCTTGTCAGATACCTGTACACACAGTTACAAAATACGTATCACGTTTATATGCTACCTTGCCAAGGCAAAACATTTCTATGGTATTTCTCTGCAGAACATTTGTAGCAGTCAATGGACACCCAGCATGGTAAAACAGTGAAGCACCACTTACATGTTCAATCCCGGATGCGAAGACATGACATGTTTAACATCAAAGCAACGCAAAAACAAGTACCCAGCAATGTCTGTTGTAAAGCGAATGGATGGCTAGTCTAATTTGCCATCCGCGTACGCTCAACCACAAGCAGCCAATCGTCAAAGCAAGGCACTCCCTCTAGCAGCAGCAAACAACCCGCTGTCCAAATAAAATGGTGTACAAACAGAGGGCAACTGTGCACTGTTAACCGTTTTCATGGAACCACCCCACCAGGTGATATGGTGCTGCAGATTCCCACCACCCGTGAGCACGCCTGCACTCCTCTTCATTAATGTGCACCAAGCGACTCTGAAGTGCTAACAAATCCATGGCTGTCGTATTGCATCGTCCAATCATCACCTCATCTTCTGACGCGCATGGCAGCCAGTCCGTCTGTGGTGCGCGCACCCAGCACTTGCACAGAGTCCCCCACAATCTCCAGAACCTATGGGTGGGTGGGTGGAGGAGGGTGGGAGGAATGGAAGAGGGGGCCCTGAGGTGCCGAGAAAATACCAAGGACGTGCATGTAAAGTCGGACGGCCAGCACTTGCACAGAGTCCCCCACAATCTCCAGAACCTATGGGCGGGTAGAGGTGGCAACAGGAAGGGGAAGGACCTGAATGCTGAGAAAAAAACAGAAGAGCATGCAAGTTGTTACGAGGAAGGCCATGAGGGATGCCAGGAGATTGGCAAGTTAAAGTGGGTGTGGGGTGCAGACGATGATGTGGGATGCAGACGATGATGTGTAATGCAGATGCATGGAGGAGGGTGCATACCTGGGGTGGGGCGTTGAGCATGCCTGATGACATGCCCACGTCGATGCGCCACACTCTACCCCCACACTCCCTACACGCACGAGAGGCGGGCGAGAAGACAAGGCAGCAAGAAAGGGATGGATAAGACAGGTTAACATACTGCACTAGTGTCAATCCGCTGGGACTCACTTGAAAGAAAGCGTACACATGCAGCAGGTGGGTGACCCATCCGCTCTTCAGAATAGAGAGTACAGACGTGTGGAAAAAGACAAGCAACTACTCACCCGTTAGCCCCGCCCACTTGCGGTGTGTGCCCCACAACAAGCCTCTTTGCCCCCACTGCGTCCAGCGAAGCAGCCAGCACAGTGCAGATCTGCATGGGCGCGGGAAGCGGGAATGGGGCACGGTTGAGGCAGTAAGAAATAGACAGAATGGTGCACTTGTGCATGTGAGGACAGGATAGGGAGAGCAGCCAGCACGGTGCAGGCAGATCTATGGCATCTTGTGCTCATCCTCACTTTGCTTCTACATGTCTGCACTGCACCTCACTTGGTACCAGTTATCACATCGCTTTAAACCCATCCTCACCTTGTACTTGTCCTCTCCAGACCCCAGGTATTCCTGTGAGTACAATCGAGTCCACACACACCACACTGTTGAAGCCTCGAGCCACTCTTGCACTTTGCTCTCACCTGCTTCTCCCTGCTTCAAATAACCCTGCACTCACTCACCGTTCACCCGTCCTCACTTTGTACTTATCCTCGAGTATTCCTGCGAGTACAGCCAAGCCCACAAGTGACTTTTGAGTCGACTCAAAAGTCACCTTCTTCCTGCGAGTACAGCCAAGCCCACAAGTGACTTTTGAGTCGATCAAAAGTCACCTTCTTCCTGCGAGTACAGCCAAGCCCACAAGTGACTTTTGAGTCGACTCAAAAGTCACCTTCTTCCTGCGAGTACAGCCAAGCCCACAAGTGACTTTTGAGTCGACTCAAAAGTCACCTTCTTCCTGCGAGTACAGCCAAGCCCACAAGTGACTTTTGAGTCGACTCAAAAGTCACCTTCTTCCTGCGAGTACAGCCAAGCCCACAAGTGACTTTTGAGTCGACTCAAAAGTCACCTTCTTCCTGCGAGTACAGCCAAGCCCACAAGTGACTTTTGAGTCGATCAAAAGTCACCTTCTTCCTGCGAGTACAGCCAAGCCCACAAGTGACTTTTGAGTCGACTCAAAAGTCACCTTCCTGCGAGTACAGCCAAGCCCACAAGTGACTTTTGAGTCGACTCAAAAGTCACCTTCCTGCAAGTACAGCCAAGCCCACAAGTGACTTTTGAGTCGACTCAAAAGTCACCTTCTTCCTGCGAGTACAGCCAAGCCCACACCTCACTGTTGAAGCCCCGCGTCACAACACAATGAACGGCATCGGGCTGCACCCTTTTGCACCCATACCGAGCGCTTCAACACCATGCACCCATACTCACCTTGTACTTGTCCTTTCCAGACCCCAGGTATTCCTGAGAGTACAGCCGAGTCCACACCACGCTGCTATAGCTCCTCGTCACGATGAACGGCGTCGGGCTGCGGCCCCCCTCGCCCCACACCTTTCTGAACCAACCGTTTCAACACTGTGCACTCACCTTGTACCAGTCTGCACCCATCATCACCTTGTACTTGTCCTCGCTAGAACCCAGGTACTCCTGGGAGTACAGGCGCGTCCACACGACGCTGTTAAAGCCCCTCGTCACAATGAAGCATCGGGCTGCACCCTTTTGCACCCATACCGAGCGCTTCAACACCATGCACCCATCCTCACCTTGTACTTGTCCTCCCCAGACCCCAGGTATTCCTGAGGGTACAGCCGAGTCCACACCACGCTGTTATAGCCCCTCGTCACAATGAACGGCATCGGGGTGCACCCTTCTGAACCCTCAGACCAGCCTGAACCAACCGTTTCCACACTATGCACTCACCTTGTACTTGCCCTCGCATCACTTTGCACCCATCCTCACCTTGTATTTGTCCTCTCCAGTCCCCAGGTATTCCTGAGAGTACAGCCGCGTCCACACCACGCTGTTATAGCCCCTCGTCACGATGAACGGCATCGGGGTGCGTCCCCCCTCGCCCCACACCTCCTCGCCGCGCATCCACTGCGACAGCTCCCGGTTCATGCGCGGCAGACCGTATTCCACTGGAGGGCGGAGGGGAACGGGGAGGGCGGGGCGAGGGAGTGGGTTGAAAGGCAAAGAAAGGGAAGTGTAAGCCTGTGACTCTTTCTCCCCTCGGCCCACACCTCCTCGCCTCTCGTCCACTGCGACAGCTCCCGGTTCATGCGCGGTCAACCATACTCCACTAGATGGGGGAGGAGGGAGAGGGTAGCAGGTGGAAAGGCAGAGGAAGGGAGATGTAAGCATGCGACTCTGTCCCCTTTCGCCCCACACCTCCTCGCCTCTCATCCACTGCGACAGCTCCCGGTTCATGCGAGGCAGACCATTTTTGAGACGTCTCAAAAATAACCTCTCTACACACAGCTCCCGGTTCATGCGAGGCAGACCATTTTTGAGACGTCTCAAAAATAACCTCTCTACATACAGCTCCCGGTTCATGCGAGGCAGACCATTTTTGAGACGTCTCAAAAATAACCTCTACACACAGCTCCCGGTTCATGCGAGGCAGACCATTTTTGAGACGTCTCAAAAATAACCTCTCTACACACAGCTCCCGGTTCATGCGAGGCAGACCATTTTTGAGACGTCTCAAAAATAACCTCTCTACACACAGCTCCCGGTTCATGCGAGGCAGACCGTACTCCACTGGGGGTGTAATGGGGGAGAGGCCGAAGGAGCTTGAAGGAGCGTCGAAGTGAGAGACAAAAGACTTGGTTGCAAGGTATTCCCTACCGTAGCATACCCTGTACCTGCATTCCACTCACCATGGTGAGGCAGGATGCCCCCGTGTGCAAACAGCGTGTCGTTGACCATCAGAGCAGCATTGTTCCTCGCCAGCTCTGCTGCCACACGCTGCCACACTAACGACCATCCACATCCACATGCACATCACCGCACCGCACCGCACTCCACTCACCATGGTGTGGCAGGATGCCCCCGTGTGCAAACAGAGTGTCGTTGACCATGAGAGCAGCATTGTTCCTCGCCAGCTCAGCTGCCATCGGCCCGCCCACCTCAAATAGTTCGTGCCGCTCCCGCACCTGCCGCTGACCCTGCAACGTGGGTGAGGGTGCAAGCAGGGGTGAAGGAAACCTGGGTAAGGAAGGGGTGATGTGTCACAAAGCCCAGCTCAAACAGCTCGTGCCACTCCCGCACCTGCCGCTGGCCCTGCAAAGGAAGAATAAGATTAAAGGGGAGAGCGGGCGGTTGAGCAAGTAAGGCGGTGCTTCACCGGTTTAAAGCCCACCTTAATCAGCTCGTGCCGCTCCCACACCTGTCGCTGGCCCTGGGAGGGGAGATGGGCGGGTTGAAGGGATGGGCGGCGACACTCACAAGTGTTGGCAATAACATTCCACTCGAACCCCACATCCACACACCCTCCTATCTCATCTGAACGAGGTTCCATCCGTTCCGCTCTCCCAGTCAGCCCCACCACCCTCCCAACCTGTACTCAGAACTCGCCCCAACACCACCACTCTACTCAACCATCACAACTACCACTTCGTCCTCCTGCCCTCCCTCCTACCTGAATGGGGTTCCATCCGTTCCACGGGCCTCTCCTTCTTCTCTTGGACGCCTTGAGCTCCTGACTCGCCTGCCACCACACGCGGAACGCGCTGTCCCAGTCGCCGCCGCACTCGGAGAGGCAGAAGGAGTAGAAGTCCTCACTCTCCTCGAAGCCCCCGTCCGACACGTACCGAAACTCCTCCGCCACGTTCATTGTCTCGTGATTGCCGTTCAGCTGGTAGGGGGGGGGGGGGGAGGAGGGGGGAAGGAGGGGGGAGGGGAGAGCAGAAGGAGGGAGGTGAGTGGAAAGTCCTCACTCTCCTCAAAGCCCCCATCCGACACGTACCGAAACTCCTCCGCCACGTTCATCGTCTCGTGGTTGCCGTTCAACTGATGGGGGGGAGGGGGGAAGGGGGGAAGGAGGGGGGAGGGGAGAGCAGAGAAGGGGGGGAGGTGAGTAGAAGTCCTCGCTCTCCTCGAAGCCCCCATCCGACACGTACCGAAACTCCTCCGCCACGTTCATTGTCTCGTGGTTGCCGTTCAGCTGGTAGGGGGGGGGGGGGGGAGGAGGGGGGAAGGAGGGGGGAGGGGAGAGCAGAAGGAGGGAGGTGAGTGGAAAGTCCTCACTCTCCTCGAAGCCCCCATCCGACACGTACCGAAACTCCTCCGCCACGTTCATCGTCTCGTGGTTGCCATTCAGCTGGGGGGGGGAGGGGGGTAAGGACGGACGGGCAGACGGGCACCGAATAAGCCCCTCCCATCCGACACGTACCGAAACTCCTCCGCCACGTTCATCGTCTCGTGATTGCCGTTCAGCTGGTGGGGAGGGGGGTGCGGGGAGGGGGAAAAGGGGGGGAGGAATGAAGGGATGGGAAGGGAGGGGAAGCAGTGAGAGGGTTAAAGTACCCTGCAGTCATCGGTGCGTTTTCCAAAAATGTGGTGCTGGTAAGATCATTTTGCAGTTCATCACACTCATTCGCGCACACCACACATGGTATTTTTTTCCCTGGCGGCTTCTTCTCCCACGCCATGTTTTTGTCCTGCATTCTTTCTTTTTTGTTTCACCCGCCACAGCGACGCCCGCCCCCTTCACACGAGCATCTTCCCCCTAGCACACACCTGTCTTCTCAATATATCACCCTCCTCCTCTGTTTCTCACCATGAGCACTCCTCCTCCTTCCCGCTGTGCCAGTCGGTCAAGGTGTCTGAGCAGCGAGAGAATGGCAATCTCATCGTCACCACGGTCCAACACGTCTCCCACCTGAACCAGCACCTGGGGGGAGGGACAAGCGGGGTAGGGTGCGCAGGGGGGGAAGGAGGGGAAGGGGCGCAAGGGTCAAGGTGTCTGAGCAGCGAGAGAATGGCAATCTCATCGTCACCACGGTCCAGCACGTCTCCCACCTGAACCAGCACCTGGGGGAAGGAGAGGGCGCACGGGAAGCAAAAATATCTCAAAACTGCTACTGCGAGGCGCAATCCCTTAGCAGGGGGCCAGACCAGGGGTGGGGAAGGGGACGGCCGAAAAGGCCAAGATGGACGAATCAGCGGTTTATTAGCCGAAGGTGTCGGCGAGAAGATTTGACCGTTGCCGGCAGCAACAGCCACTGCAGCCGGGATTTGACACGTCGCATACCTACCTCTAACCGTTTCCCTGTGTTGATGATCAAATTGAATGAACGTCTCAAACTTGTGATCAAACCCATTCACGCACGTGTGACATTAGTTCCTTGATGTATGTATCATACTTCTTTCATCCTCTCAACTAACCCCCACCTCATCGACCCTTCCCGTCTCACTTATCAGAGACGGACAGCCCAGAAGCCCACCCCTCGACTCACCGTGAACCCGTCCGTCCACATCTCGTCGTCGCTCACGCCGTCCTTCTCGTTCATCACACCAGCTAACCGAGGGGGCCCAGACCCCACCTTCCTCCCCTTCCCTCTTCCCCCTTCCCCTGTCTCCCCCTCTCCCCTCCTTCCCAACTCACCGTTGATCCGCCCGTCCACATCTCGTCGTCGCTCACGCCGTCCTTCTCGTTCAGCACGCCCGCCACGCGCAGCGCCGCTAGGGTCTGATCCCAGTCGCCATGAACGTCGCCGACTGGAACGGTGGGAAGAGAGGGGAGAGGGAAGGAGGGGTTGGATTGGGGGGTGGATCAGGGGTTGGATTGGAAGATGGCGTTCAACACGCCCGCCACGCGCAGCGCCGCTAGAGTCTGATCCCAGTCGCCGTGCACGTCGCCGACTGGGGGGGGGAGGGTAAGGAGTTTGGGTGGGGGACGATCTCAAATGAGACTCACAGAAGAACAAGAACTATCAGGACGCGAAACATGTATTCGTTACAGTAACTCACTCGCTACAATCCGCTGTCCCGGTGCCGCCACCTTAAACGGCGGCTCCACCATCTCCCGCGCTTCCGCCAGGCTCACCGCTTGCCACTCCCCCCTCCCCGCCGCAGCGTCTCCCCCGCGTACCCCTCCACACAGCCCCCGCCCGTTCCCGTTGCTGCTTCCGCGCGCCGCCCCGTTACCATTCTGAGGAACCCAATCGTCCCCAGCCAATGCCGCCGCGAACGTGTCAGCAACCGCCCCGTGTGCAACTGCCTCCCCCGCGACCGCCGCTCCCGCTACTTTCGCCGTTGTGAGGCGGCGGGAATCCCGCCGTTTCTCATGGCGCTTAGTCGTCGCACTCTTGCTCATCCTTCTCGCCGCCTCAAATCTGTCCGAATCGCTTACTGCGGCAGCAGCTGCGTCCTTTTCGTGCCACGTGGCGGGGCACGTGGGCAAGAGCGCGAGCGTGGAATTGGCGGAGGCGGAAGAACGACGGGAGGATGTCTGCGCGGATTGCGCAAGGGCGAGCGCGGAGACGGGTTGCAGCAGCGCGAGAACGGAGAAGAGCGACAATTGCGCCGCCAGAGCCACCGCGAACCGCGTCTGGCGGTGCGCGTGCGGGCTTAGGTCGAGAGGCGCCGCGAGATGCGGCACGGTAAGCCGAAGGGACGCCGAATAGGAGGCTTCAAGGGACGCTTGGAACGAGCCGGGAAACGGGGAAGGCATCGGTGAGGTGGTAGTGGTAGTGATTGCAGTGGTTGCGGAGGAGGTAGACAGATACGCAGAGGCCACTCCTGCGGCGGCGCCGGTGGCGACGGAAGGGGATGAGGTTACTTCAGCTGCGGATGGTGCTTTCTTTGACGGGGAGCGGTGAAGCGGTGACTGCGGAGGTGTGATTGGGTGGGCTCCGGATGGAGAGGAAAGAGCGGAGGTCGTTACTCGATTCGCAGGATCCTCCCCGCTCCGCCTCCCGTGGTTCAGCGAGGGATTGTTTCTGTCAACCCTAAACGCTGGCAGTTTTCCTTGAGAAGAAACGGGTGTTCTTTTGATGCTGTCACACTTCATACTGTCTCCGCCGTGTCTGCCCGACGAACTTGGACCTCCCGTTACTGTCACCCGAGTACGGCGATGTCCCGCACCGCCCACCGCAATGCTTCCAGCCCATCGCGACGTTGCACCCGTTCGCCACGAGTGCCACGTGGCAGCATGTGACACGTCAGCTTCCGACGAATTTGGGATCAACGAGCAGCAAGAGCTCAATTGGCGGTGGCTGAAGTACCTCCGGCTGGCAAGCTGCTGACGCGAAGGTTCCGCGAACGCTCCGCAGAAGCTGCTCGGCTCGGCGCGAAGCGAGGGAGTAGCAGGCGAGACTGCGGATGAGAGGATGGTGTGCGATGAGAGGGTGGTGGCAGTGGTAACTCCGTTGCTGCCTGCTGTGTCTAAACGTAAGGCAGGGAGGCCGCGCATCGGACAAGCCAGGGCTGCTGCTGCTGCTGCAGTCGCCATCACGAGTGAACGAGATTCGATGGGGGAGAAATAGGAGAGTCGAATAGAAATAGGACGGTATTGAAAGATGCGGAGAATGGATAGTTGGACACGAGCCTATGCTCCTGCCCTAGGAAAAATGGTGTGGCGAGCTTGACTCGTGAATTGAGGACGAAGCTCGTCACAACCAAGATGGATGGTGCAAAACCTGCAAGAATGAGCTGCCTCAGTCACAAGCAACCATGGATATGGTTGAATTGGGTGAGAATTGAAAGATGATGGAGAATGGATACGTTGCGGGTTGTATGGTGGTTGTGGGCTTATAGGAAACACTGCTCGCTTGCCAAGAATTCACGATACGAGCGAAAATATTCGTCAATCAGTCGTATTGCTACGTTACTACGTCGCACAGTTCGTCAGCCGTCAACACGCGCAGTATTTCGCAGGGGCATGTGCGTGAACTTCAACCCCAAGCCGCAACGCCCGAGGGGCGGCTTTTCACTGACGAGATTGCCACGTCCCCCTGGGACGCCGACGCCCCACCACATCTTCGCAGCCAAGCTGTGTCCACCACGTGTATTCCTGCAGATGAGCGTAATCTTTCCGGCCCTCTGGCGAAAAGGCACTGATTCACTGATCCGCCGCAAGATGAAATCCCAGAGGTCAGTCTGCCCGTTCGCCACGACGTTTGGTCGGCTGGAATCACTCGTCTCTCCGAGGCCACTCAAATCTGGACAGGCAGGGTACAGTTCAGCAACTCCAACCCCGATACAATACGCCCTCTTTCTAGAACTTCTCACCAGCGCAAAATTATCATCTCGCACATAAGAATGCTTCCCAAAGTTTGCTCTATTGCTGCCCTCCATCCGCGATTTTCGCACACACTATCTCACAAAAGCCCGAGCCACCACCTGTCAGTCATCGTTGCTCCCCCAACCCCAAGGAACCTCTCTCGATCTTCTCGCGCTGCTCAACTTCGAATTTCCCGCCAAGCCCATAGATCTTCGCAACAGAACCACCATAGTCCACGATGTCGCATAACGCGTGGTAACCACACAGAAACAAGGCACACTCGTCTCGCGCAAATCCATGAAGCACCTGGACTGGGATCAGGCTCAGGTCTAACTGCTTCTCGGTCTTGGCTTACCAGTTTAGCAGACTAATCTTAGTTAGGCGCTTGATTTAGTGGCGGGTATCTAGCTCCCCTAACGGCCAGATCATTGGGCGAAACAGATATTTTACATGTATCGGCCATTTCATAATTCACACTGACCACAAACATATTTATCTCTGCAGGAAGTTTTCACGGCTTAGCTAAGAACAACATGGCAGGAACTAGCGTTGCTACCGCCTCCCGGGTAGCCAGTTTGCATTCTTATTTCTCCTCGAATTATTCTCTTGCCTTAAAGCCTAGTAATTATCACTATGTCACTTACCATAACTCCGTTAGTGCTTTAATCCGTACGCGACAGCAAGGAGATAAGGGGCCACACGGCCAGAATCAGGCTCAGTCACCCACCATCGTTACCACCGCTGGCACCATTTTGAGGAAGTCCAGTTTTGTCGGGTTTCCACGGTTGTCACGAAGCGTTTTAACCTCTAACTATAATTCCAATTGCGCCTGTAGTAAGCTGCACAATGTTGGGCCAGCCAAGTTTCAAACTGAGGGTCCCACTCGGCGTTGTTGCGTGGCGGCCGCGTATTCCGCCGCCGATGGCGCGGATGGGGGAAGAGTCGGAGGCGGTGTTGTGACGGAAACGAACAATTCGACGGTTTCCGTTTACGAAGAGGGCGAGAATGGAGGAGACGAACCGTTTATGAGCCTTCCGATAAGTTATTACGAGGTACGAGATTAAAGTTTAATGTGTACCTGAATTTGGGTTCTGTGTTTATGGATGCCTGTAGTTGTTATCCGCTTGCACGTAGCCTGTACTGGAAATTTTATTTCACTGTGTTTGCTTTTCTGAAGATAGACTGTTTATTGACCCTGAAAGTCCGTTTTCCTACCCTGATAACGCCTACTGCAGCACTTACAGCATCACACGGCTGCGTACACTCATAGCCTTTACTATCGCCAACACGTTCTTGTTAAGTGGAAAAAACGATACCCAGCATGTTGCTTGCACCGCGTACAAACCTGCTACGTAGAGCACCTGTGCTGACCACATTCCGCAATCCCACCTTCCTCCCTCCCCCATGTACTGCTAGTCCACCCCGACACTCCCACAGCCACCATCGACTCATGCTTGACTCCATGCTCGCCTCCACTGCCCTTTCCCCCACCCCCCAAACCCCACGTCCCGCCCACCCCAGGTACTCCGAGTCCACCCGGACACTCCCACAGCCACCATCGACTCATGCTCGCCTGTCCCGTCCCTCTCATCACCTACCCAGTGCCTCCTTTTCCCCCACCCCCACCACCCTCCCGTCCACCCCAGGTTCTGAGAGTCCACCCCAAGACCCCCACAGCCACCATCGACCTCATGCTCCACTCCATGCTCGCCTCGCCTCTCATCACTTGCCCACCAACCCCTCCCCTCCCCCCCGCTCTCTCGCCCACCCCAGGTGCTGAGAGTCCACCCAGAGACCCCCACGGCCACCATCGACCTCATGCTCCACTCCATGCTCGCCTCGCCCCTCACCTTGTCTGTCCCCATTCGCTCCCTCATCCCTCCCTTCCAGGTGCTACGAGTCCACCCCGAGACCCCCACTGCCACCATCGACCTCATGCTTGACTCCATGCTCGCCTCGCCGCCCCAAGAAGGCTTCACCGTCTCTGCCCTCACGGTCAGGGCGGAAGTTTTGGAGGCTGCCCGGGACACGCTGCTGGACCTGGAGCTCCGGGCAGAGTATGATGAGGACCTGAAGGCAGCAGGAGTGGAGCAGCAGCAGGGGTTGGGAGGTGTGGGGAGGGGTGGAGGGGAGTATGGCGGCGAGACTGCGATCATGGTTGATGTTCCCATGAGCCGGGTGAGTTGTTGTTATTGGTGTTTGTTTGTCTTGCAGTTACTGCATCAGCCGCTCATACCCATTCCCCCACGCCCCCCCCCTGTTTCTCTTTGCTACTGCTAGCTTGTTCGTACAGCTTCTCACATCACGCAAAGCTTTGTATGTACATAAGCTCTAGATTAACTCATAGAGCTGTTCTATTATCTATTCATATTTCCCAGGTCCCTGGCGTGTTGTGCCTGTTACAAGAAGCCGGCCGCTCTGCTGACGTGGCAGAGGCGGGCCTCGACCTTCTCTCCCGCCCAGATGGCGACACAGCTTTCCGTGCTGACGTGGCACTCGCCACAGCGTTGGCGTACTCAGACCTATCGCGCGACGCCATGTCAGCAGACCCCCCTGCAGTGGCACAGGGCTGCGAGCTGCTGGAAGCTGCGCTGAAGCTTCTGCAGGTGAGTGTGTTTGAAGGTAGGGCTTTGACTCCTGGCTTGATTTGCGCAAAATACAATCGCAAGCTTTGCTTGCGAGGGTTTCAGGGTTTTGGTTTCAAATGGTGTGTGTCGGTTTGAGTCCACGACTGATTTTAGAACACCACCTTCGTATTGTCTGCTCATCTCTTTTCTCCGACACTTCCTCGTGGCCTTCCCTCTATCCGTCTTCTCATTCCTCACTTTCGTTCCGCCTCCACCTCTTTGTCTTCCTCCCGTCCTCGCCTCCTCACGACATCCCCCTTCTCCTTTGCTCAGGATGAAGGGGGCGCCCATGTCTGGCGACGTGTTTGCATTGCAGGGGGCGAGGAGGGAAGAGTCACTGGGTTGAAGCACTCTCCCCTAAACGTGTCGTGTGCCATGGTAACGAGGTGACTTTTGAGTCGACTCAAAAGTCACCTCATTGCAGGGGGCGAGGGAGGAGGGAAGAGTCACTGGGTTGAAGCACTCTCCCCTAAACCCTGAACAACCTCACAAGCCGCCTTTCCTTCCTTCCTGTCTGTTTCTCCCTGTCTCCCATCAGGACGAGGGGGGTCCAGGCCTGGCGCCGTCCCTGCAGGCGGCAATAGAGGACTCGCTGAGGGAGATGGGCCCCACATGCGTGCTGGAGCTGCTCGCACTGCCGCTGGACAAGGAGCACGAGGAGGCCCGGAGCGAGGGCATACAGGTAAGCGTGGGCGGGTAAATGGGTGACCGTGATTAGGTGAATGGGTGGCTAGGTGGGTGCGTTCTGTCCTTGGGCTCCTGGTAGAGCTGCTGGCGCTGCCCCTCGACAAGGAGCACGAGGAGGTCTGGAGCGAGGGCATACAGGTGGGCCGCGGGCGCATGGGTGGATGCGAATGGTGGGCCACCTGTAATCCCAAGGCGGCTTCTCCCACCACGTGTTCATGCGGGAGGCCTTCCTGCTCCTCACCACCTCGGAGCATGCCATCTTTTTTTCCGGTCACGTTCTCATCTTTTTCTCCTCTTGACTTTCCCCCCACCAGGCTATGAGCGACCTGCTCTGGTCGCAGACTTCATACAGCACACTCACAGTCTCCTCCCAGGGCGGCTTCTCCCGCCATGTGTTCATGCGGGAGGCCTTCCTGCGCCTCACCACCTCCGAGCTCATCGCCCACTTCGCTGCCGCCCCGCCGCACGTCGACGCCGGCATCCTCGAGGCCTACTGGGTCGCGCTCGCCTTCGCTTTCAAAGGGGTTCCAGCTCACCACTTTCCTCCCACCCCCCGCTCCCCCCTCCCTCCCTCCCAGGCAATGAGGGACCTGCTCTGGTCGCAGAACCCTGACGGAGCACTGTCCTTCTCTTCCCAGGGCGGTTTCTCCCGCCATGTGTTCATGCGGGAGGCCTTCCTCCGTCTCACCACCTCGGAGCTCATCGCCCACTTCGCCGCCGCCCCGCCGCACGTCGACGCCGGCATCCTCGAGGCCTACTGGGTGGCTCTCGCCTTTGCCGGCCGGGGCTTCTTCCTGCGCCGTCCGGCCGACATCGTCCAGTCTGACGCGCTGCTGAAAGAGTTAAACGAGTCCACCGCGTACCGGTTGTTGGTTAACGTGAGCACGGGTGGCGGGATGGTGGAGGCGGGCGGCGGAGTGGCGGGGACTGGTGGTGTGGCCGGATTGGCCGGTGCGGGAGAGGGTGGGGGAGCAGGCGAAGCAGGAGTGATTGCAGGAAGAGCAGGAGGAGGAGGAGCGGGGGCAGGAGCGGGAGATCGGGGGCAAGGGGGAGGAGCAGGGAGTGCAATGGCGATGGTGGCGGGGACGGACGTGCCAGCGGATCTGTCAGTAGAGAGGGCCATGTGCGCGCTGCTGCTGGGGCAGGTGGGCGCGTGCAAGCGATGGCTGGGCGTGCATGTGACCCCTCCCTGTGGCGACCTTGCTGTCGCCGAGTATATCTATGCCAACTCGCCTAACGCGCCACCGGTTGACTCGTGGTACGGCGGCAGCAGCATTGCAGGCAGTAGCACCAGCACAGGTAGCAGCACAGGTAGCAGCACAGCTCCCAGCATAATCACAACGGCTGCAGCCGGAGCAAAAGCGGCAGCAGCAGCGGGAGCAGGGGCAGGGGAGGAGGATGTACTGTTACCAGGGCTGTGTCGCTTGCTAGAGGTGTGGCTCAGGGAGGTCGTAGCCATGCGGTTCAGAGACACGTCCCACCTCCCTGTTGCTCTCTCTGAGTACTTTGATCATCCCGCTGTGGGGAGTTTCCTGGACGCGTGGGATCAGGCGCAGGGTGGGGGGGGAGGGGGAGGAGGGAAGGTGGGGGAGACTGGGAGAGGGGAGGGGGGCGGGATGCGGAATGCTGCTATGGAGGTGATTAGAGGGGTGTTTCCGTGGATGCAGGGAGGGGGTGATGCAGCAGGGGCAGCAGCAGCAGCAGCAGCAGCAGCAGCAGCAGCAGCAGGAGCCGCAGCTGAAAATCCTTTCATCTTATCCGCATCAGCCACCACCACCACCACCTCCTCCCCGTCCCCACCCTTGCCCACCGATTCGTTACAAGACGACTCGTTACAAGACCCGTCCTCGTCGCTCGCCCCAGCAGAGCTCGCGCGATCGCGCACCAGACGAGAGCTGTTCGGCCCCTCGCCCCTCCTCGACCCCCAAGGCTCGCCCATCCCCCTCCGCACCGCCCAACCGGAATCCCTCCCCACCTTGGGAATACCTGAAACCGAACCTGGGAGCACCAGCAGCAGCAGTGGCAGGGGTAGATTTGGTGGGAAGGTGGGGATGATGGTGGCGGGGGTGGTGGCGGCGGCGGTGGTGGCGGGGGGAGGGTTCATGGCATGGCGCATGCGGTCGGGCCGCTTTGGGCCGTCGCTGCTGGGAGTGGAAGCGGCGATGGTGGGACAGCAGGGCAAGGAGCAGGCTGCGGCTTCTGGTGAGTGCAGAGGCTGTTTCAGGCAAGGTGGTGGCGGGGGGAGGGTTCATGGCGTGGCGCATGCGATCGGGGCGGTTTGGACCGTCGCTGCTAGGCGTGGAAGCGGCGATGGTGGGGCAGCAGGCCAAGGAGCAGACGACTTCTGGTGAGTGAGGATGGTGTGTGAGTGGGGATGGTGGTGGCGGGGGGAGGGTTCATGGCGTGGCGCATGCGGTCGGGGCGGTTTGGGCCGTCGCTGCTGGGAGTGGAAGCGGCGATGGTGGGACAGAAGGATCAGGCTGCTTCTGGTGAGTGCAGATGGTGTGTGAGTGGCAGTGGTGGTGGCGGGGGGAGGGTTCATGGCTTGGCGCATGCGGTCGGGACGGTTTGGACCGTCGCTGCTGGGAGTGGAAGCGGCGATGGTGGGACAGAAGGAGCAGGCTGCTTCTGGTGAGTGCAGATGGTGTGTGAGTGGCAGTGGTGGTGGCGGGGGGAGGGTTCATGGCTTGGCGCATGCGGTCGGGACGGTTTGGACCGTCGCTGCTGGGAGTGGAAGCGGCGATGGTGGGGCAGCAGGGCAAGGAGCAGTCAGCTTCTGGTGAGTGGAGAGGTTGTTTCAGGCAAGGTGGTGTCTGAGACACGATGCTGTTTGAACCACACACAGTAGTGGCATGGCAGGGGGAGGGATCGTGGCGTGGCACATGCGGTCGGGGCGGTTTGGGCCTTTTCTGCTGGGAGTGGAAGGGGCCATGGTGGGGCAGCAGGGCAAGGAGCAGTCTTTTGCCTATGACGCACCATTCCCACCTCACTTCCTATCTCCCTTCCCCTCCTTCACCCCTCCCCACAACCCCTTGCGCTCCTTCCGTTGCTCCAGAAGCAGCAGCAGGCACGGACGAGTATTCGGAGGTGGAGGAGGTGCAGTGGGCGGTGCGTGTGGTGAGGCACTGGCAGGAGGTGAAGACAACAGCGCTGGGCCCGTCACAGCGCTCAAACCACACCCACTTATTGCTCTTCACTTTCCCCACTTTTTCCTCCTCGTGCTGCTATTGCTCACTCTATTCTTCCAGAAGCAACAGCAGGTGCAGAGGAGTACAGCGAGGTGGAGGAGGTGCAGTGGGCGGTGCGGGTGGTGAGGCACTGGCAGGAGGTGAAGGCGGCAGCACTGGGCCCGTCACACTGGGTGGACCGGTTGGGGGAGATCCTGGAGGGGCCGATGTTGGAGCTGTGGCGCAACAGAGCCAAGGAGGTGGAGAACAACGGGTGGTTCTGGGTGTACAGCTTCCTTAGTCTCAATGTGAGTAGTAGAGCTTCGTGTTGTGGGTTTGTGCCTTTTGTGTTGGCTCGAAACTCAATCCTGGAGGGTCCCATGCTGGAGCTGTGGCGCAACAGAGCCAAGGAGGTGGAGAACAACGGGTGGTTCTGGTCTGGGAGTACAGCTTCCTTAGCCTCAATGTGAGTCTGCATGTTCTTGATAGGAGTAGCCTCGGCCTCAATGTAAGTGCTGCAAATATAGTGTATTGCCTTTTGAGATGTGTGGGTTATCAGATTCAAACGTTAACTACTCATTGCTTTGCGTCAATGTAGGCATCCCGCTGAACCTACTCATAGCCCTCCCTCCCCTTCCACCCATCCCTCCCCCACAGGTGGAGATGGCAGCAGTGAGCAAGTGTCAAAAGAAGGCTGTGGTGGAAGCAGTGGTGCAGTAGGCAGCACGGCTGGTGGATGCAGCGGACCCGACCCATGGCCCTCCCACCCTCGCTCCCTTGTTCCCTTCCTCCCTTCCTCCCTCTCTGCTCTCCCACAGGTGGAGATGGCAGCAGTGAGCAAGTGTCAGAAGAAGGCCGTAGTAGAGGCGGTGGTGCAGGAGGCGGCACGGCTGGTGGATGCAGCAGACCCGACCCACAACGATGCGTACAGAAGCACGTACACGGCGCGGTACGAGCTGCTGCAGACCGGCACCTGCTGGAAGATTGTAGGCGGTACTGTGCTGCGGTAGTGGGCGCCGCTGGCTGCCGGTAGTGGGTGGGGATTGACAGGCTTTTTCTGCGGTAGTGCACGGGGATTTAGCGGTAGCGTGTGGAGGGAAGAGGGTAGAAGCAAGCAAGGCTGGTGGATGCAGCGGACCCCACCCACAACGATGCGTACAGAAGCACGTACACGGCGCGATACGAGCTGCTGCAGACCGGCACCTGCTGGAAGATCGTTGGTGGCACAGTGCTTCGGTAGTGAGTGGTGGGGATGGCGATTGAGCACCACAGCTCAGCCCGTCTGTGGGTCAGAAGCTTACAGCAGAAGCCTGTAACAGGGATGGATGGATGAATGAACACACAAGCTCCAGGCATCCATTCATCCATCCCTGCAGAGTTCTCACAGGAGCACCGCCTGGCAACCCAGTTACCCAGCTCACCCTTCAAAAAGCCTGTACCATTTCAAATCACAGTGGAATTTTCGCCGCTGCAGCACACCGCACAACACCAGCCTGGCCTGGCAGGTTCGGTTGCAGGAGTTTCTCAACCATAGCCGAGCTTAGCCGCGCTTAAATATCGGGCTTGGCAGGCAGTGGAATCCCGGAGCCGGCCGTGTGCGTTGCGGCAACCTGCCACTGGGTGCTAGATGTTTTATTAGTTATATTTCTCTTTGATTTTTGGGGTGGAAGTATTGGGCAATGTGCGGGGCGGTTTGAAACACAATAGGGTGTAGCGCCTGCTGCTGGTGTTTTTCCGGCCAATGAGGATAGGTGCACGGCAGTGACGGCACCTGCTACCTGTGTGTGTGCATGCATGCATTGCTCGCAGGATTGTGTCGTGTGGGGTTGATGCGTGCATGCATGATGCATGCAAAGTGGTATCTATGGTGCAAGAAGGGACATGCACTGACTCTAGTGTAGTGTCTAATGCACTAACGAAGGGAATGAGGGAGGAGTGGCGAACAGGGTAGTTCACGTAGTCAAATTTTGCAGGCTAATTAATATGTTCATCAAAAGCTATTTCTGAGCGAATAGGTTTGTGCTTTGAGTGGTTGATATAATGACATTTTATTTCCTAAGGTCAGTTTTTCTCGACAGTTATAATACCTTTGACGAGAAGCCTATGCCGCGTCCGTTCTCCATTCACCCTCGCCCGCTCCCGCAATTTCGATCCTCCCTTTTCCGCCTGCAGCACCTCTCCGAAATACCGCCACGTCAGCCCCTGTGATCATGACGTGTCATCACCTGCTGCGGTCGCCGCAGCACCTTCTCTCGCTCTCCCGCCTCTCTCCCGCGCCGTGCGGCGGATCACACGTCAGCGCATCCCTCACAGCCACGTGTCACGCTGGCATTGGCAGATCCGCTCTCTGGCGCGGAACCCCTATTTTCACAGACGAACGGTCAAGATTAAACCATCGGCGGCATCGCACTTCCGTCGTCCGAGCCGCGGCAGCAGCAGGAAATGATGACGTGTCTACCAGCTCAGTCACCAGTGGCGAGTCGAAGCGGCCGCATTCCGCCATTCGCGAGATTCAGGTCCCCTCTCGCAACCTCGACCTTGCAAAATAGAATCAGGGAGGGTTGAGGGGAGTAGGCGAGGGAAGGGGGGAAGCGAGTGGAGGGGGGAAGCGAGTGGAGGGGGGAAGCGAGTGGAGGGGGGAAGCGAGTGGAGGGGAGTAGGCGAGGGGGGGGAAGAAGCGAGTGGAGGGGGAGGGTGGGGGCGAGGCAAGGGTAGGCAAGGCCCGCATCATATATTGACCTTGCAATGTCAATGCAGCAAGGGGCGAGGGAGGCGGGAAGAGGGAAACGGGGATGGGAAGGGGGGAGAGGGTCGTTGACCATTAGGCAGGCGTCAACCCTCATTCAGTGTTGCTTGACCCTCCCCACTCTTCCCCCCCTGCCCCTCTTCTCCCCCTTCTTCCCCTTCTCCCTGTCGTTCTCTTCCCTCCTCTACCCGGGGCCTCCTTCCCCCCGTTTCGAGCCCTCATCTCTCAACCCCCTATGCCTCCCTCATGGCTTTTCCCAACCCCACTCCCTCAACCCCCTATTCCTCTCTTCCCGCAATTCGGCCACTTCACCCCACCACCAACCTCACTCCCCCAACCCCACACTGCCAACCAACCCCACCCCACCAACCGCGCAGCGCCAGCTGGCCAATGGCGAGCGGACAGCTGTCGGCGTGGCGGAGGAGTATCTGGAGCGGCTGGAGGCGCAGGAGGGCCAACTGAGAAGCTTCCTCCACACCGACAGGTAGTTTCCCCATACAGGGGCAGGAAGCTTCCTTCTGACGGGTATGTAGGACGGTACATTGGGTTCGCTGAGAAGCCAATGCAATCAAGTTGAGAGCTGTGTCAACTTGATTGATGGCAGTGCAAGTCGACCAAGGTCAGCTCTTGAGTCAACCAAAATATGCTGTACGATAAGGGGGCGCTAAACACTTTGAGACCTGAACCAGCTTCATTTCTAAACCTTGAACCCTGAACCCTTGGCAAGGTAGGCAGACCAGTTTCCCTTATGGTTGTTTCAGGTTCCCCACCTAACAGTAGGCAAGTTCCGTTCACTGAGATTGAGAGACTTTGTGATACCTGTGGAGGACTTTTGGCCCCCTTGACTCTTTCCACTCCACCTTTCTCCACCCATCTCCACCCTTCTCCCCAAAACGAAATCCCCTGCAGGGAGGCGGTGCTGCAGCAGGCACGGGAAGTTGATGCTGCCCTGGCGTCCCAGTCGGGCAGCGGAGAGAAAAGTTTGGGGCTGCTAACCGGAGTGCCCATGGGGGTGAAGGACAACCTGTGCACACGTGGCATGCCCTCCACCGCTGCCTCTAAGATCCTCAAGGTCTGACGTGGCATGCTGATGTGTCATCCTTTCAACAACGCTTGGTCATATTTCCACATCCATCGGTGGCCCTTTTTTTTAGATGCCTCAAAGCCTCAAAGTCCGCTACCCTGCTGCTCTGCTCCTGCTCAGAGAAAGAAACAACCACACAATAATGTGTGAAAAGCATTGCTGCCCTGCTGCTGAGTGTCTCATTCCCCTTTGCCGACTCAGCTTGTTGTGTGTATTTGTTCGTGTCCCCCACATCACACCACCGCAGGGCTACATGCCGCCGCCATACGATGCAACAGCGGTGGGGAGGGTGAAGGCAGAGGCGGAGTGGGGTAAGGAGAAAGACCAACAAGTGTGCGCATTGCCCATGTGTGTGTGTGTTTGTGTCAACCCCCTATGACGACCACCACAGGGTTACATGCCGCCATACGATGCAACAGCAGTGGGGAGGGTGAAGGCGGAGGGGGCGGTGGTGGTGGGGAAGACCAATATGGACGAGTTTGGCATGGGCAGCACCACTGAGGGCTCTGGTTACCAGGTAACGTCTGTGTGTGTGTGACTGCATGTGTGCATGAGTGCTTGTGTGCCATTTTTTTGCCGACAGTCAGGTGGTGGTGGCGGTGGGGTGAAGGCGGAGGGGGCAGTGGTGGTGGGGAAGACCAATATGGACGAGTTCGGCATGGGCAGCACCACTGAGGGCTCTGGTTACCAGGTAACGTCTGTGTGTGTGTGACTGCATGTGTGCATGAGTGCTTGTGTGCCATTTTTTTGCCGACAGTCAGGTGGTGGTGGCGGTGGGGTGAAGGCGGAGGGGGCAGTGGTGGTGGGGAAGACCAATATGGACGAGTTCGGCATGGGCAGCACCACTGAGGGCTCTGGTTACCAGGTAACGTCTGTGTGTGTGTGACTGCATGTGTGCATGAGTGCTTGTGTGCCATTTTTTTGCCGACAGTCAGGTGGTGGTGGCGGTGGGGTGAAGGCGGAGGGGGCAGTGGTGGTGGGGAAGACCAATATGGACGAGTTCGGCATGGGCAGCACCACTGAGGGCTCTGGTTACCAGGTAACGTCTGTGTGTGTGTGACTGCATGTGTGCATGAGTGCTTGTGTGCCATTTTTTTGCCGACAGTCAGGTGGTGGTGGCGGTGGGTTGAAGGCGGAGGGGGCAGTGGTGGTGGGGAAGACCAATATGGACGAGTTCGGCATGGGCAGCACCACTGAGGGCTCTGGTTACCAGGTAACGTCTGTGTGTGTGTGACTGCATGTGTGCATGAGTACTTGTGTGCCATTTTTTTGCCGACAGTCAGGTGGTGGTGGCGGTGGGGTGAAGGCGGAGGGGGCAGTGGTGGTGGGGAAGACCAATATGGACGAGTTCGGCATGGGCAGCACCACTGAGGGCTCTGGTTACCAGGTAACGTCTGTGTGTGTGTGACTGCATGTGTGCATGAGTGCTTGTGTGCCATTTTTTTGCCGACAGTCAGGTGGTGGTGGCGGTGGGGTGAAGGCGGAGGGGGCAGTGGTGGTGGGGAAGACCAATATGGACGAGTTCGGCATGGGCAGCACCACTGAGGGCTCTGGTTACCAGGTAACGTCTGTGTGTGTGTGACTGCATGTGTGCATGAGTGCTTGTGTGCCATTTTTTTGCCGACAGTCAGGTGGTGGTGGCGGTGGGGTGAAGGCGGAGGGGGCAGTGGTGGTGGGGAAGACCAATATGGACGAGTTCGGCATGGGCAGCACCACTGAGGGCTCTGGTTACCAGGTAACGTCTGTGTGTGTGTGACTGCATGTGTGCATGAGTGCTTGTGTGCCATTTTTTTGCCGACAGTCAGGTGGTGGTGGCGGTGGGGTGAAGGCGGAGGGGGCAGTGGTGGTGGGGAAGACCAATATGGACGAGTTCGGCATGGGCAGCACCACTGAGGGCTCTGGTTACCAGGTAACGTCTGTGTGTGTGTGACTGCATGTGTGCATGAGTGCTTGTGTGCCATTTTTTTGCCGACAGTCAGGTGGTGGTGGCGGTGGGGTGAAGGCGGAGGGGGCAGTGGTGGTGGGGAAGACCAATATGGACGAGTTCGGCATGGGCAGCACCACTGAGGGCTCTGGTTACCAGGTAACGTCTGTGTGTGTGTGACTGCATGTGTGCATGAGTGCTTGTGTGCCATTTTTTTGCCGACAGTCAGGTGGTGGTGGCGGTGGGGTGAAGGTGGAGGGGGCAGTGGTGGTGGGGAAGACCAATATGGACGAGTTCGGCATGGGCAGCACCACTGAGGGCTCTGGTTACCAGGTAACGTCTGTGTGTGTGTGACTGCATGTGTGCATGAGTGCTTGTGTGCCATTTTTTTGCCGACAGTCAGGTGGTGGTGGCGGTGGGGTGAAGGCGGAGGGGGCAGTGGTGGTGGGGAAGACCAATATGGACGAGTTCGGCATGGGCAGCACCACTGAGGGGTCGGGTTACCAGGTAACGTCTGTGTGTGTGTGCGCGCACGCATATGTGTGTCCGTGTGCGTGTCTGCGAGTACATGCCTGCACCAACATGGACGAGTTTGGCATGTGCAGCACCCCTGAGGGATCGGGTTACCCGGTAACGGGCGTCTATGCATGTGTCGATGTGTGGATGTTTGCATGTGTGCATGAGTGCATGAGCGCCTGTGTTTGGGTCATCCTGTCATTGTGTCGTGTGTCATTGTGACAGCCAACCCATGGGACCACTCGCGAGTACCAGGCGGCAGCTCAAGAGGCTCGGCTGCTGCTGTGTTTTGAGACCTCTCAAATCATACCACCACCCTTCCCGTTCCTTTCCCTCATTCCTCTCCGTTGCCCATCAGGTGACAGCCAACCCATGGGACCACTCACGAGTACCAGGCGGGCGGCAGCTCGAGAGGCTCGGCTGCTGATTTGTCATCCCCGAACACCCCCTCCCCTTTTCCTCCCCCTCCTCTCCCCCTATCAGATAACAGCCAACCCCTGGGACCACTCGCGAGTGCCAGGCGGCAGCTCAGGAGGCTCCGCTGCTGCTGTGGCGGCCGGGCAATGCGCCGTGGCTCTGGGCTCTGACACAGGTGAGCATGGGAAGGGCGAAGGGAAGAGGTCCGTGTGTGCATTTTTGTAAGGCGGTGTGAGAGCAACAAGGGCAGGGGAGGCTTCCAATCCTGTGCCGGCCAGGCAGTGCGCTGTGGCTTTGTGCTCAGACACAGGTGATTGGGGAGAGAGGGGAGGACGGAGGGGAGATGCGCGTGTGTGCAGTGCTGCAAGAGAGTGCGTGGAGCAAGGGCGGGGGAGGCTTCCAATCCTGTGCCGGCCAGGCAGTGCGCTGTGGCTTTGTGCTCAGACACAGGTGATTGGGGAGAGAGGGGAGGACGGAGGGGAGATGCGCGTGTGTGCAGTGCTGCAAGAGAGTGCGTGGAGCAAGGGCGGGGGAGGCTTCCAATCCTGTGCCGGCCAGGCAGTGCGCTGTGGCTTTGTGCTCAGACACAGGTGATTGGGGAGAGAGGGGAGGACGGAGGGGAGATGCGCGTGTGTGCAGTGCTGCAAGAGAGTGCGTGGAGCAAGGGCGGGGGAGGCTTCCAATCCTGTGCCGGCCAGGCAGTGCGCTGTGGCTTTGTGCTCAGACACAGGTGATTGGGGAGAGAGGGGAGGACGGAGGGGAGATGCGCGTGTGTGCAGTGCTGCAAGAGAGTGCGTGGAGCAAGGGCGGGGAGGCTTCCAATCCTGTGCCGGCCAGGCAGTGCGCTGTGGCTTTGTGCTCAGACACAGGTGATTGGGGAGAGAGGGGAGGACGGAGGGGAGATGCGCGTGTGTGCAGTGCTGCAAGAGAGTGCGTGGAGCAAGGGCGGGGGAGGCTTCCAATCCTGTGCCGGCCAGGCAGTGCGCTGTGGCTTTGTGCTCAGACACAGGTGATTGGGGAGAGAGGGGAGGACGGAGGGGAGATGCGCGTGTGTGCAGTGCTGCAAGAGAGTGCGTGGAGCAAGGGCGGGGGAGGCTTCCAATCCTGTGCCGGCCAGGCAGTGCGCTGTGGCTTTGTGCTCAGACACAGGTGATTGGGGAGAGAGGGGAGGACGGAGGGGAGATGCGCGTGTGTGCAGTGCTGCAAGAGAGTGCGTGGAGCAAGGGCGGGGGAGGCTTCCAATCCTGTGCCGGCCAGGCAGTGCGCTGTGGCTTTGTGCTCAGACACAGGTGATTGGGGAGAGAGGGGAGGACGGAGGGGAGATGCGCGTGTGTGCAGTGCTGCAAGAGAGTGCGTGGAGCAAGGGCGGGGGAGGCTTCCAATCCTGTGCCGGCCAGGCAGTGCGCTGTGGCTTTGTGCTCAGACACAGGTGATTGGGGAGAGAGGGGAGGACGGAGGGGAGATGCGCGTGTGTGCAGTGCTGCAAGAGAGTGCGTGGAGCAAGGGCGGGGGAGGCTTCCAATCCTGTGCCGGCCAGGCAGCGCGCTGTGGCTTTGTGCTCAGACACAGGTGATTGGGGAGAGAGGGGAGGACGGAGGGGAGATGCGCGTGTGTGCAGTGCTGCAAGAGAGTGCGTGGAGCAAGGGCGGGGGAGGCTTCCAATCCTGTGCCGGCCAGGCAGTGCGCTGTGGCTTTGTGCTCAGACACAGGTGATTGGGGAGAGAGGGGAGGACGGAGGGGAGATGCGCGTGTGTGCAGTGCTGCAAGAGAGTGCGTGGAGCAAGGGCGGGGGAGGCTTCCAATCCTGTGCCGGCCAGGCAGTGCGCTGTGGCTTTGTGCTCAGACACAGGTGATTGGGGAGAGAGGGGAGGACGGAGGGGAGATGCGTGTGTGTGCAGTGCTGCAAGAGAGTGCGTGGAGCAAGGGCGGGGGAGGCTTCCAATCCTGTGCCGGCCAGGCAGTGCGCTGTGGCTTTGTGCTCAGACACAGGTGATTGGGGAGAGAGGGGAGGACGGAGGGGAGATGCGCGTGTGTGCAGTGCTGCAAGAGAGTGCGTGGAGCAAGGGCGGGGGAGGCTTCCAATCCTGTGCCGGCCAGGCAGTGCGCTGTGGCTTTGTGCTCAGACACAGGTGATTGGGGAGAGAGGGGAGGACGGAGGGGAGATGCGCGTGTGTGCAGTGCTGCAAGAGAGTGCGTGGAGCAAGGGCGGGGGAGGCTTCCAATCCTGTGCCGGCCAGGCAGTGCGCTGTGGCTTTGTGCTCAGACACAGGTGATTGGGGAGAGAGGGGAGGACGGAGGGGAGATGCGCGTGTGTGCAGTGCTGCAAGAGAGTGCGTGGAGCAAGGGCGGGGGAGGCTTCCAATCCTGTGCCGGCCAGGCAGTGCGCTGTGGCTTTGTGCTCAGACACAGGTGATTGGGGAGAGAGGGGAGGACGGAGGGGAGATGCGCGTGTGTGCAGTGCTGCAAGAGAGTGCGTGGAGCAAGGGCGGGGGAGGCTTCCAATCCTGTGCCGGCCAGGCAGCGCGCTGTGGCTTTGTGCTCAGACACAGGTGATTGGGGAGAGAGGGGAGGACGGAGGGGAGATGCGCGTGTGTGCAGTGCTGCAAGAGAGTGCGTGGAGCAAGGGCGGGGGAGGCTTCCAATCCTGTGCCGGCCAGGCAGTGCGCTGTGGCTTTGTGCTCAGACACAGGTGATTGGGGAGAGAGGGGAGGACGGAGGGGAGATGCGCGTGTGTGCAGTGCTGCAAGAGAGTGCGTGGAGCAAGGGCGGGGGAGGCTTCCAATCCTGTGCCGGCCAGGCAGCGCGCTGTGGCTTTGTGCTCAGACACAGGTGATTGGGGAGAGAGGGGAGGACGGAGGGGAGATGCGCGTGTGTGCAGTGCTGCAAGAGAGTGCGTGGAGCAAGGGCGGGGGAGGCTTCCAATCCTGTGCCGGCCAGGCAGTGCGCTGTGGCTTTGTGCTCAGACACAGGTGATTGGGGAGAGAGGGGAGGACGGAGGGGAGATGCGCGTGTGTGCAGTGCTGCAAGAGAGTGCGTGGAGCAAGGGCGGGGGAGGCTTCCAATCCTGTGCCGGCCAGGCAGCGCGCTGTGGCTTTGTGCTCAGACACAGGTGATTGGGGAGAGAGGGGAGGACGGAGGGGAGATGCGCGTGTGTGCAGTGCTGCAAGAGAGTGCGTGGAGCAAGGGCGGGGGAGGCTTCCAATCCTGTGCCGGCCAGGCAGTGCGCTGTGGCTTTGTGCTCAGACACAGGTGATTGGGGAGAGAGGGGAGGACGGAGGGGAGATGCGCGTGTGTGCAGTGCTGCAAGAGAGTGCGTGGAGCAAGGGCGGGGGAGGCTTCCAATCCTGTGCCGGCCAGGCAGTGCGCTGTGGCTTTGTGCTCAGACACAGGTGATTGGGAAGAGAGGGGAGGACGGAGGGGAGATGCGCGTGTGTGCAGTGCTGCAAGAGAGTGCGTGGAGCAAGGGCGGGGGAGGCTTCCAATCCTGTGCCGGCCAGGCAGTGCGCTGTGGCTTTGTGCTCAGACACAGGTGATTGGGGAGAGAGGGGAGGACGGAGGGGAGATGCGCGTGTGTGCAGTGCTGCAAGAGAGTGCGTGGAGCAAGGGCGGGGGAGGCTTCCAATCCTGTGCCGGCCAGGCAGTGCGCTGTGGCTTTGTGCTCAGACACAGGTGATTGGGGAGAGAGGGGAGGACGGAGGGGAGATGCGCGTGTGTGCAGTGCTGCAAGAGAGTGCGTGGAGCAAGGGCGGGGGAGGCTTCCAATCCTGTGCCGGCCAGGCAGTGCGCTGTGGCTTTGTGCTCAGACACAGGTGATTGGGGAGAGAGGGGAGGACGGAGGGGAGATGCGCGTGTGTGCAGTGCTGCAAGAGAGTGCGTGGAGCAAGGGCGGGGGAGGCTTCCAATCCTGTGCCGGCCAGGCAGTGCGCTGTGGCTTTGTGCTCAGACACAGGTGATTGGGGAGAGAGGGGAGGACGGAGGGGAGATGCGCGTGTGTGCAGTGCTGCAAGAGAGTGCGTGGAGCAAGGGCGGGGGAGGCTTCCAATCCTGTGCCGGCCAGGCAGTGCGCTGTGGCTTTGTGCTCAGACACAGGTGATTGGGGAGAGAGGGGAGGACGGAGGGGAGATGCGCGTGTGTGCAGTGCTGCAAGAGAGTGCGTGGAGCAAGGGCGGGGGAGGCTTCCAATCCTGTGCCGGCCAGGCAGTGCGCTGTGGCTTTGTGCTCAGACACAGGTGATTGGGGAGAGAGGGGAGGACGGAGGGGAGATGCGCGTGTGTGCAGTGCTGCAAGAGAGTGCGTGGAGCAAGGGCGGGGGAGGCTTCCAATCCTGTGCCGGCCAGGCAGTGCGCTGTGGCTTTGTGCTCAGACACAGGTGATTGGGGAGAGAGGGGAGGACGGAGGGGAGATGCGCGTGTGTGCAGTGCTGCAAGAGAGTGCGTGGAGCAAGGGCGGGGGAGGCTTCCAATCCTGTGCCGGCCAGGCAGCGCGCTGTGGCTTTGTGCTCAGACACAGGTGATTGGGGAGAGAGGGGAGGACGGAGGGGAGATGCGCGTGTGTGCAGTGCTGCAAGAGAGTGCGTGGAGCAAGGGCGGGGGAGGCTTCCAATCCTGTGCCGGCCAGGCAGTGCGCTGTGGCTTTGTGCTCAGACACAGGTGATTGGGGAGAGAGGGGAGGACGGAGGGGAGATGCGCGTGTGTGCAGTGCTGCAAGAGAGTGCGTGGAGCAAGGGCGGGGGAGGCTTCCAATCCTGTGCCGGCCAGGCAGCGCGCTGTGGCTTTGTGCTCAGACACAGGTGATTGGGGAGAGAGGGGAGGACGGAGGGGAGATGCGCGTGTGTGCAGTGCTGCAAGAGAGTGCGTGGAGCAAGGGCGGGGGAGGCTTCCAATCCTGTGCCGGCCAGGCAGTGCGCTGTGGCTTTGTGCTCAGACACAGGTGATTGGGGAGAGAGGGGAGGACGGAGGGGAGATGCGCGTGTGTGCAGTGCTGCAAGAGAGTGCGTGGAGCAAGGGCGGGGGAGGCTTCCAATCCTGTGCCGGCCAGGCAGCGCGCTGTGGCTTTGTGCTCAGACACAGGTGATTGGGGAGAGAGGGGAGGACGGAGGGGAGATGCGCGTGTGTGCAGTGCTGCAAGAGAGTGCGTGGAGCAAGGGCGGGGGAGGCTTCCAATCCTGTGCCGGCCAGGCAGTGCGCTGTGGCTTTGTGCTCAGACACAGGTAATTGGGGAGAGAGGGGAGGACGGAGGGGAGATGCGCGTGTGTGCAGTGCTGCAAGAGAGTGCGTGGAGCAAGGGCGGGGGAGGCTTCCAATCCTGTGCCGGCCAGGCAGCGCGCTGTGGCTTTGTGCTCAGACACAGGTGATTGGGGAGAGAGGGGAGGACGGAGGGGAGATGCGCGTGTGTGCAGTGCTGCAAGAGAGTGCGTGGAGCAAGGGCGGGGGAGGCTTCCAATCCTGTGCCGGCCAGGCAGTGCGCTGTGGCTTTGTGCTCAGACACAGGTGATTGGGGAGAGAGGGGAGGACGGAGGGGAGATGCGCGTGTGTGCAGTGCTGCAAGAGAGTGCGTGGAGCAAGGGCGGGGGAGGCTTCCAATCCTGTGCCGGCCAGGCAGCGCGCTGTGGCTTTGTGCTCAGACACAGGTGATTGGGGAGAGAGGGGAGGACGGAGGGGAGATGCGCGTGTGTGCAGTGCTGCAAGAGAGTGCGTGGAGCAAGGGCGGGGGAGGCTTCCAATCCTGTGCCGGCCAGGCAGCGCGCTGTGGCTTTGTGCTCAGACACAGGTGATTGGGGAGAGAGGGGAGGACGGAGGGGAGATGCGCGTGTGTGCAGTGCTGCAAGAGAGTGCGTGGAGCAAGGGCGGGGGAGGCTTCCAATCCTGTGCCGGCCAGGCAGTGCGCTGTGGCTTTGTGCTCAGACACAGGTGATTGGGGAGAGAGGGGAGGACGGAGGGGAGATGCGCGTGTGTGCAGTGCTGCAAGAGAGTGCGTGGAGCAAGGGCGGGGGAGGCTTCCAATCCTGTGCCGGCCAGGCAGTGCGCTGTGGCTTTGTGCTCAGACACAGGTGATTGGGGAGAGAGGGGAGGACGGAGGGGAGATGCGCGTGTGTGCAGTGCTGCAAGAGAGTGCGTGGAGCAAGGGCGGGGGAGGCTTCCAATCCTGTGCCGGCCGGGCAGTGCGCTGTGGCTTTGTGCTCAGACACAGGTGAGGGGGCGGGAGAGAAGTGGAGGGGAAGACATGTGGCTATGTGCTGTGTTGTGTGTTGCGACAGGCTCACCCATTTGTGGGCTTTTTAAAGCGCCGCAGGAGAGGGTGGGATGGCGTGCGTGTGGTTATGTGTTGTTGTTGGGTAGCGTGCTGCCATGGGTTCACGGTTCACACACCCCATGGCTCTTCCCCGGGCGTTAGATCAGGAGGCTCTGCTACTTCTGTTGCGGCATTCGAGTGCCACTGCTGTGGCAGCATGTTGAGGGACTATTGGCTTGTACGCCAATGCCACCACGCCCCACACACACCCACCCATCCCCACCTCACTCCACCCTCCCTCATTCTTACCCGCTCCCATGGGGCAGCGTGTGCCTGCAGCCTTATTCTGCTGCATAGTTGGTTTAAAGCATTCCTTCAGGCGAGTCTCCAGCCTGGGCCTCATGGCTGGGTCTCCAGCCTGGGCCTCATGGCTCATCTCATGTTGAAATCCCTTTCGAGAATTCTTATAAGTGATTTCCTTACGGCCAATGTGCACTTCCCCACCATCTTTCAACAATCCCGCATTCCCCTTTTCCCCCCATCCCCTCATCTCCCAGGGGGCAGTGTGCGTCTCCCTGCATCATTCTGCGGCATAGTGGGTCTGAAGCCCTCGTATGAGAGGGTCTCCCGCCTGGGTCTCATGGCCTATGCGTCCAGCCTGGACTGCGTGGGCGTGCTTGGCTCATGGCGTGCATGCAAATGCCACCTCACACCCCCCCATCCCCACCCATCCCCACCGCACTCCAATTGCCTCCTCCATGTGTACTCTCTCTCTCCCAGGGGGCAGTCTTCGCCTGCCCACATCATTCTGCGGCATAGTGGGTCTGAAGCCCTCCTATGGGCGAGTGTCCCGCCTGGGCCTCATGGCCTATGCGTCCAGCCTGGACTGTGTGGGCGTGCTTGGTCTCATGCCATTCCCCTATGTCCCCCCATCCCCTCATCCCCTTGTTCCCCAGGGGGTAGTGTGCGTCTCCCTGCATCATTCTGCGGCATAGTGGGTCTGAAGCCCTCCTACGGCCGGGTGTCCCGCCTGGGCCTCATGGCCTATGCGTCCAGTCTCGACTGCGTGGGCGTGCTGGGTCGATCGGTGGAAGACACTGCGATCGTGCTGCAGGCGATGGCAGGGAGAGACGACGGGGACAGCACGTGCAGCAAGGAGGTGAGAAAGCGGAAGCAGGGATGCTGACTGTACACTGAGTTATCCATACGTAGCTGTGTGGCTGTGAATTGAAACTGGGGGTGCTTCCATTGACTGACTGATCCAGACGTGCCAGTGGGGGAGCCTGAATTTATAGCCCCCTGCCTCTACCTGCCTCTACCTCTTACCCCCCCCCCCCCTTCCCCTTCCCATGCCCTCCTCACCTTATCCCCTTTCCCCCAATCCCCAGCCTGTACCAAACTACACAGCCGGCCTCCTCCCCATCGCTGCACTCGCCTCCAAGCCGCTGACAGGTGTCCGCCTCGCATTGGTCCAGGAGACCATGGGCGCTGGCGTCGATGCTGACGTGGCACAGGCCGTCCGGGCGGCGGCGGCGCACTACGAGACGCTCGGAGCCACCGTGGAGGAGGTGTCCCTGCCATTCTTCGCCAGTGGCCTGCCAGCCTACTACATCCTCGCTCCCTCTGAGGCCTCTTCCAACCTCTCCCGATATGATGGCATCAGGTGCGTCCTGCTCTGTCCCCACTCCCCCGCTTTTCTCCTCCTCCTCCTCCTCCCGTCCTCTCCTCTCCGTCCCTCCTTCCCTTCCCTCCCGCTCCTTCTCTTGCCTGGAAGAACTGTGTGTGGTGTGGTGTCTCAAATATTGCACCACTGTGTGTGGTTTTGTGTGCGGATGCCTTTCACTCCACCTCACTCCACACTCCACTCCACTCCACTCCACTCCACTCCACTCCACTCCACTCCACTCCACTCCACTCCGCTCCACTCCACTCCACTCCACTCCACTCCACTCCACTCCACTCCACTCCACTCCACTCCACTCCACTCCACTCCACTCCGCTCCACTCCACTCCACTCCACTCCACTCCATTCCGAACCATCTTCTTGTGTAGGTTTGGCCCGCAGCAGCAAGGCTCGGACCTCACATCTCTCTACAGCAATACACGAGGCCAAGGCTTTGGCAAGGAGGTGAGCGGTTGGCAGAGAGGTGAGCATTTGGCAGAGAGGTGAGCATTTGGCAGAGAGGTGAGCATCTGAAAAGAAAGGGTGCTTTGAAAGGTGTCGATGAGTGATACCTTGAGAAAATCGTGAAATATTCAGTCGATTGAAAAGTGAGTGAGGGATGCAAGGGGTTTTCACATTCGCGCTTGCGCTCCTATTTACGTGCCTCCCATTCAGGTGACTTCTGAGTCGACTCAAAACTCTTCCCTATCTTACGGGGTTTTCACATCTTACGGGGTTTTCACATTTTCTTCACATCTCTTCTCTATCGCTCCTCCCTGTGTTGATGGGGCAGGTGAAGAGGCGCATTCTAATGGGCACGTACGCGCTCTCTGCAGGCTACTATGACGCCTACTACAAGAAGGCACAGCAGGTCAGATACTTCAGGTGCTTGCTCGGGTACTTGTTCAGATACATACCCCACATGCTGGTCAGTCAGTTGGCTCAGGTGCATCTTCAGGTGCATCTTCAGGTGCATCCTCAGTTGCATCCTCAGTTGCACCCTCAGGTGCATTTTCAGGTGGATAATACGATGGCACCTTGTGCAGTTTACGAGATCGCTTCAGTCACAGGTCTCCAATAACAGTCCCCTTTTCGCCCCACATTCCAAGCTCCCCTTCCCCACATACCTATCTACTACCCAAAATGATTTTGCATTTGGAGACAAGTACCACCATCATCCCCCACAATCTGCATCCCCCCTTCACCTCCTCCCTCCTTCACCTCCTTCCTTCTTCACCTCCTCCCCCCTTCACCTCCTCCCTCCTTCACCTCCTTCCTTCTTCACCTCCTCCCCCCTTCACCTCCTCCCCCCTTCACCTCCTTCCTTCTTCACCTCCTCCCCCCTTCACCTCCTCCCCCCTTCACCTCCTTCCTTCTTCACCTCCTCCCCCCTTCACCTCCTCCCCCCTTCACCTCCTCTGATCACAAGCGTGCACCATGATTCAGTAACATCATCATCCCCCACAATCTGACCCCCGACTTCCTCACCTCCCCATCCCATGGCTTGGCCGGTGCGCACCATGTCTCGACAGGAGTTTGATTTTGAGAATTCTCATTTTGTTTGAGAACCTCAAACAAAATGGCTTGGCAGGTGCGCACCATGTCTCGACAGGAGTTCCTGGCAGCTCTGAAGGGGCAGAACACACCCTTTCCTCACCTCCCCCTTTAACAGGTTTGCATGATGATTCAGCAGTTCCATCATCACAATCCCCCTCCTCCACAATCCACCCCCCCCGTGGCAGGTGCGCACGATGATTCGACGGGCGTTCCTGGCAGCCCTGGGGGGGCATGACGCCCCACTTCCTCACCTCCCCTTTTCCTGTCTGACTTTCCCCCGCCATCGCCTACCTCCCCATCCCATGCCGTGGCAGGTGCGCACGATGATTCGGCGGGAGTTCCTGGCAGCTCTGGAGGGCCATGACGCGCTCATCACCCCCACCGCTCCCACCACGGCTTACCGCATCGGTAACTGCAAAAGCATTGTACTTGCAACCACACAAGGGTTCCACCATTAACATGTTTACACACTAGGCTAGGGCAGATTTTCATGCAGCTCTAGGAGCGCACGCACGATGCCTCGAAATATGAGACGGCTAAAAAACAACTGTGCGCACTCCCATCGCTCCTACAACTACCGCCCACCGCATCGCAGCTTCAATGTTTGTTACAAGAGTAGGTCCACTGCATTCGTCAACATGGTTTTGTTCGTGTGGTAGCATTTGAGATAGTTGGTAAGAGCTCTGGCCACATTGGTGGAAGATTGGTGGAGAGGAGACCCCAGCGAACCACGTGGCCACATTCGTCAACATGGTTCGTTCTGTTCGATTCACGTTGGAGCTTCGCTGGTGAAAAGACATCAGACCCCCTCCCACATAAACTGCTGCCAAAACCCCTTTCTCCGTCTCCCGCCCATGCATGCATGCATGCAGGTGAGAAGACATCGGACCCCCTCGCCATGTATGTTGGAGACCTCATGACGGTGAGTGAGCCCTCTAAAACTCCTCCCAGACCTCTCCCATACTTCTCCTAGACTTCTCTTAGAAGTTTCTAACGTCAACGCTCTCCCATTTTTTAACCTCCCTTCCTCACTTACCCAGTTCACTTGCCCCAGACCCATGCGCATCAGCCTTGTGCTCATCCAGTTCACTTCGCCTCACCTCTCCCGCTCCTTCATCACCCTTCAACCCTCTCCACCACTCTATACCACTCTGTATTGCAGGTCAATGTGAACTTAGCCGGACTGCCGGCCATTTCCCTGCCCTGCGGGTTGGCCCCAGGTGGCCCCCATGGCCTGCCCATCGGCCTTCAGATTATCGGCGCTCCCTTTGCTGAGGTGAGCCGTGTGCTTGTGTGCTTCGGACTCACTATCCCCACCCACAACTTCTATTTTTCTGCCCTGCGGGTTGGCCCCAGGTGGCCCCCATGGCCTGCCCATCGGCCTTCAGATTATCGGCGCTCCTTTTGCTGAGGTGAGCCGTGTGTTTGTGCTGTTATTAGTAAACAGGTGGGCTGCGGAGGTCTGAGTCGCTTTTGCTGAGGTGAGCCGTGTGTTTGTGCTGTTATTAGTAAACAGGCGGGCTGCGGAGGTCTGAGTCGCTTTTGCTGAGGTGAGCCGTGTGTTTGTGCTGTTATTAGTAAACAGGTGGGCTGCGGAGGTCTGAGTCGCTTTTGCCGAGGTGAGCCGTGTGCTTGTGCTGATTAGATTGAGGCAAGATTTTTCGGGTTGTGTGCATTTCCGTTTGACAGACCCCATGAGCTGCCGCATGGTCTGCCCATCGGCCTTCAGATAATTGGTGCTCCCTTTGCTGATGTATTCCCACAAGCGGCCATGTGTTTGAGCAGATCAGTTGTCTTCGAGATGCCCTGCCACCCACCCCCACCACCCACCACCCACGACCCACCCCCACCACCCACCACCCACCCCCACCACCCACCGACCTCCCTCCTTCCATCCCTCCCTCCTTTCACAGGGCGGCCATTCCCAAGTAAATCCATGTGTTCGACTTTTGAGACGTCTCAAAAGCCATTCCCAAGCAAACCCATGTGTTGGAGAACACCATTTGACTTGCAAAGTGCCCTATCACCGTCTACCAACCACTTCCAATGCTCACCACCCCCACCATCCTCTCTCCCATCCCTCGTCCCTTTTCCACAGGTGGCCTTTCTCAAGTAGCATATAGCATATGTGGTTGAGCAGAACAGTCGTCTTTTAAGCTGCCCCACCCACTATCCACCACCATCCACCAACCCCTCCTCCCCTCCCTCCCCTACCTCTCCTCCCTCCCTCCCTCCCTCCCCTCCCTCCCCTCCCCTCCCTCCCCTCCCCTCCCTCCCTCCCCTCCCCGCCCTCCTCTCCCTCCCCTCCCTCCCTTCCCTCTCTCCTCTCCCTCTCCCCACTCCCTCCCCGCCCAGGCGGCAATTCTCAAGTACGCGCACGCGTTTGAGCAGACCACTCCTGCATGGCAATCAGGACTCGTTATTGCATCGCCTGTTACCGCTGCTGCTTCCACATAGCGGTTCTGATGGTACGGCATTATGGCACCAAGCACTGAAACTCATGCTGTTGCAATCGTGTTGCTGCAGCTCCCAAAATGATGCAAGAGGCATATCAAACATAACTTTTCTGTTGCTGCTTTCGCAACTTGTAGCAATACAACCACAACTATAAGCTTTACAAATTATGTGTTACATTAGAATTTGAAAAGTTCGGAGCATCTGTCATATCCCAGCTCCTCATACTGCTTCTTAGTGACTGCTTTGCGAGCAAATTCTCCCGACTTGACCAATGCAGAACCTCCCTTCCATGCACTCACCACTGGGCTGCAAAGCACACCACCACACACATGAAACACAGAGAGACCACGCAGCAAACGCGGAGGCATGCATGTCAATGGTAGCACGGTCGCAACAAACAACAACTCATGATTGACCTTCGGCAGCGATGTTGGTTCAGTCACGCACTTTTCACGCACACTACCAACGGCCATTTCATGCACTGATGGACCCATGCATACCCGCATGCATGAAGTGATGAAGGGAAATGATTCAGAAGAGTTTAGTTTACACCCACCTTTGGGAGAGAGAGATGTTAATGGGTAGTGAGTCGGGCACAAGGGGTCGCAGCTCCAACACCCTGCCGGAACCAACGAGGCACAGAGAGAGAGGGAAAAGGACGGAGGGGGGGAAGATGGGAAAAAAGGGGAGAGAAGGTTGGGATACTCGAGGCAGCTTATGTGATGCAGCTTATGTGATGTGAGAAGGTTGGGATACTCGAGGCAGCTTATGTGATGCAGCTTATGTGATGTGAGAAGGTTGGTATACTCGAGGCAGCTTATGTGATGCAGCTTATGTGATGTGAGAAGGTTGGGATACTCGAGGCAGCTTATGTGATGCAGCTTATGTGATGTGAGAAGGTTGGGATACTCGAGGCAGCTTATGTGATGCAGCTTATGTGATGTGAGAAGGTTGGGATACTCGAGGCAGCTTATGTGATAACAAACGTGACATACATTGGCATGATGCAGTGGGACACGTTGACAGCAGTAGCGCCAAATCATGGCGCGATCACGTCCAAAGTGGGGGAAAATACTTTTTTCAAAGCCAATAATGCACATATTATGCACTTGAAACTGAGTAATACTTGCAGTAAGAAATCTCGCAGAGATAAATCTTGCTGAGATAGGTTAGCAATACTTACAGCCGCTCTTTGAAGAATGGGAACTGACAGCTGCCGCCCACCAGTACAATGCTGCCACGTGGGGTCAATGGGGGGGGTGGGTGGGAGAGGTGAATTGAAGAGGTGATGCAACAGAAGAGAGACGAGAGAGGAGAGAAGAGAGGCAAAAGACGAGAGAAGAGAGCAAAGAGGAGACCAGAGAGAAAAGAAGGGAGATGAAAGGAGGAGAAAGTAGGAGCAACGAGAGCGGAGGAAAGAGGAGAGGAGAGAGAGGCGAGAGGCGAGAGGAGAGGGGGAAGGGCGTACTTTGAGTAGAGCAGGGGGTGGATGACTCGAGGAGCAGCGCTCACAGCCGCCACTATGGTCTCCGCCAGCCCTGCCTGGCTGACTCCTGGCAGCAGGAGAAGGAGGGCAGATGGGGTGGAGGGAAGGAGGGGGTGGATGTCCCGAGGAGCAGCAGTTACAGCCACCACTATTGTCTCCGCCAACCCTGCCTGGCTGAAACCTGGCGGATACGGACCATTCAGAGGAAGGGGGAGCGGAGGGGGGGGGGGAGGGGGATGGGGTGGCGGGTGACTCGAGGAGCAGCGCTCACAGCCGCTACTGTGGTCTCTGCGAGGCCTGCCTGGCTGACACCTGGCAGCAAGAGGAGGGCGGATGGGGCGGACGGAAGGAGGGGTTTGGATGACTCGAGGAGCAGCAGTCACAGCCGCCACTATGGTCTCTGCTAGCCCTGCCTGCCCCACTCTTGGTGACGTCAGATGCATATAGACCATTTTGGGGAGTGTGGAAGGGTGGGCCGGTGGGTGAGGGAGAAAGGGAGGGGGAGAGGCGGCCATCAGCACAAGGAGAAAGCAGCAGCAGCGAGCACGAGCAAGCAGCAAGCAGCAAGCAGCAAGCAGCGTCATACCCAGGTCGGAGGGGTGGAAGAGGCCCTCTGGCACCATGAAGCGCTCCGATGCCAGTGATAGCTCCTGGGGAAGGGAAAGGGGAGAGGGGAGAGAGTGGGGAAGAGAGGGAGAGAGTGGGGAAGAGAGGGGAAATACATTTGAGTGGAAGAGGAAGAGGCTACTGTGGAGAGGGAGAGGCCCTCTGGCACCATGAAGCGCTCTGATGCCAGTGATAGCTCCTGGAGGGGGCGCGGCAAGGGAAGGTGGAGGGAGAGGAGATGAGGGAAAAAAACGTTTGAGTGAAAGAGGAAGAGCCTATCTTGAGCCTCCTCAAGGAAGTGGATGAGGCCCAGGCCATGCTCTTTGCATGAAGCATGAAGCGTTGCAACGTCAGTGAGGGAAGGGAAGTTCCTGGTGGGGGCGAGGGAAGGGAAGTGAGAGTAGAGAGGGAAGGGGCGGGGGAAAAAAGAGGGGAGTGGAGGGCGGGTGAGAGGGGAGGGGAGGGAAAAAAGGAGAGGCACGAATTTTCAGGAGCAAGTAGCCGGCAAGGGAACCGATCAAGAAGGGAGGCAATGTGGCACGAAACGGCAGTACAAAATTATCTCTCCGTCCTCTGTGAATGGAAAAGGAGACGTCTTGAGGCTCCATTCTCTCTCCTGCCGGAATGACAACCATCCCCCCCTCCCCCGCTTCCACCACTGCACTCACCGGCTGCTCGCTGCTGCTTCCTCCATTCCTGTTGCCCGAACCACCACCGCCGCCACCAGTGCCTCTGCTGTTGGCTGGTGGTGGCCTCACAGCACTCTCCCCACCACCAGCGCCACCACTGATACCATCACCACTACCGGCAGCACCAGCACCACCCTTCGCCTTGCCTCGCCCTTTTCTCTCATCCCAATCCTCATCCTCCTCGTCGTCTTCCTCATCCTCATCATCCCCACCAGCAACCCCACCATCCCCATCCCTGCCGCCTTGCTGCTGGCCCCAACCTCCCTCCTCATCCCCCCGCTCCCCTTCCCACCCGCTTCTCCCTCTCTTCCTCCCCATCTCCCCGTCTTCCTCCCCTCTATCCACCACATCGCTTCCACGCCTCATCCTGCCCTCTACCAAAGCCCCACCTCGTTTCCTCCCTCTCGTTCCCCTTGCCTCCTCAACCTCCTCCACCTCCTCAGCCATATGTTGCTCCCACAGCTCCTCCTGGGCCTTCACTGCCCGCGTCGCTGCTGCACGGTCTTTCACCTGCCCGCGCAGAAGAGTCACCCCGTCGGGCAGCAAGTACTCTGCCCGGAATATGTTGCTGGCATCCCGTTTCCTGAAGCAAGAGCACGAGCACGGAGGGCAAAGGGGAGGAGGAGGAAGGGGAGGAGGGAGGAGAGGAGGGACCTCACCTCACCTGAGAATTCGCCAGGACAAGGGGAGGTGGCAATGAGGACGAGAAAGGCAAGACGTAGCTGCTTCTAGACATGGTCCATGATGAGTGCTTCGAAACTCGCCTTCTGAGAGGTCTCAAAGGAGCACACCTAGGCCAACCGCCCTGCCCACCTGAGACTCACCTGGCCAAGGGTAGGTGGCGTGTGGGGAAGAGCGAGACAAAGCAGAGCTGCTCCTTGGCATGATCCATGATGAGTGTCTCATCCATCATGTTCCATGCGAAGCATCTCAAGGCTTGCCTTCTGAGACGTCTCAAAGGAACTCACCTGGCTAAAGGCAGGTGGCGTGTGGGGAAGAGCGATACGAAGCAGAGCTGCTCCTTGGCATGATCCATGATGAGTGTCTCATCCATCATGTTCCATGCGAAGCATCTCAAGGCTTGCCTTCTGAGACGTCTCAAAGGAACTCACCTGGCTAAAGGCAGGTGGCGTGTGGGGAAGAGCGATACGAAGCAGAGCTGCTCCTTGGCATGATCCATGATGAGTGTCTCATCCATCATGTTCCATGCGAAGCATCTCAAGGCTTGCCTTCTGAGACGTCTCAAAGGAACTCACCTGGCTAAAGGCAGGTGGCGTGTGGGGAAGAGCGATACGAAGCAGAGCTGCTCCTTGGCATGATCCATGATGAGTGTCTCATCCATCATGTTCCATGCGAAGCATCTCAAGGCTTGCCTTCTGAGACGTCTCAAAGGAACTCACCTGGCTAAAGGCAGGTGGCGTGTGGGGAAGAGCGATACGAAGCAGAGCTGCTCCTTGGCATGATCCATGATGAGTGTCTCATCCATCATGTTCCATGCGAAGCATCTCAAGGCTTGCCTTCTGAGACGTCTCAAAGGAACTCACCTGGCTAAAGGCAGGTGGCGTGTGGGGAAGAGCGATACGAAGCAGAGCTGCTCCTTGGCATGATCCATGATGAGTGTCTCATCCATCATGTTCCATGCACGGTATGACACCGCCTCCTTTAGCACGTTCGTTAGCGCCTTGCCGCCCACGTTCATGCGCCTGAAGGGGGGAGGATGGTGTCACAGAATCTATTGGTAAGAACAATATATTCAGTTACGTACGCTAGTATGGTGTAGAGTGGTGTACAAGTGGGTTATGTAACATTGCCAGGGGGTTGTTAGGGTCCAGGGGAGTAACGCGAAGTTGGTAGCAGTGGGAATTGCGAAGTGCAGTAAGAGGAGCTCAGGGAGCCTCGAGGGACAGGAAATCGGCATTGGCCAATCCAAGGCCTCGGCGACTCGAACCTAACCCAGTCTGTCGAGCAAATCACGACTTGGGAAGGACAATAAGTAGCCTAGCCTAGCACAGACAAATCCGTTCTCTCGTTTGTTTGCCTACTATAGTGGATTTACTTCACCGTTCTAAGGCTATAAGCAGCTAGGTGATACGCCACTGAGGGCAGCCAGCTTGTGGGAGCAGGAATCTCTCACAAACGAGAGAAAAGGTGGCGATATGGATCGCCATGAGCTGCACTGGCAGCAGAGGTATTCGCAATGGGAACGTTCGCCGTCGCGAAGGAGGCGCTCAACAGAGCGCGGGAGATCACCGACGCGCTCGCCTTGTAGAGCGGCGCATCGTGCGGTTCTGGTGACGCCTACGGGCGAGCGACGTGAAGGTGGCGGATCGGATCCGCTGGTCAGATCGGAGCCCGGGAGGAGGCCCGCGAGCAGGGACCCGTGGAACCTGGCAGGAGGCCAGCACGGAGCGGATGTGCGGCGTCACGACGACGACGTGGAGATGGACTCGCCGGAATCAGCAAGGGAGGCTGACGACGAGGGAGATCGCGAAGGTACCCCAAATGCTCGGGGCGGCAGGGAGCGAGGCATAAGCGCGGACGAGGCAGATCTGCAGAATCGATGTGAAGAAGAGCGTGATGGCGACGCGGAAACGGATCGTGCAGCAGAAATGCGCGGGAATGGCGAAAGGCACCGCGGGAGCGCGGATGCGGATCGTTCTGCTGGCGAAATGCGCGGGAATGGCGAGAGACACCGCGGGAGCGCGGATGCGGATCGTTCTGCTGGCGAAATGCGCGGGAATGGCGAGAGACACCGCGGGAGCGCGGATGCGGGTCGTTCTGCTGGCGAAATGCGCGGGAGTGGCGAAAGGCACCGCGGGAGCGCAGATGCTTGTCGATCTGCTGACGAAATGCGCGGGAGTGGCGAAAGGCATGGTGGGAGCACGAATGCGGGTCGTTCTGCTGGCGAGATGCGCGGGATTGGCGTGAGACGCCGCGAGAGCGCGGGTGCAGCCGGTTCGAGGGGTGAGTTAAGCGGGAATGACGCGAGGCGCCGTGGGAGCGCGGATGCAGACAGTTCGGCGGGTGAAATGCCTGAGGATGACGCGAGGCGCTGCAGGAGCGCGGATGCAGATCGCTCGCCAGGCAGGTTGCGCGGAAGTAACGCAAGGAGCGGCGAAGGCAAGGAGGCTGAGCGCGCGCCAGAAGCCAGCCGTGAGGAAGAAAGGAGGCGAGACGTGCAGGCGGGAATGTATGGCTCGCCTGAGCCAAGACGCGGACATGAGCGCAGGGGGCGCATGGCGTTGGGCGGATGGCGATCGCCAGAGAAGCCGGGTGGAGAAGAAGGGGAGGATGACCGCGACAGGAGGCGAGCGCAGCGCTCGCCTGCACGACAGTGGAGGGGGAGGGGTGAAGTGCAGCGCAGGCGAAGGGGGAAAACACCAGAGTATGATACAGAGAGCGAGCTAGAGGTGGAATGGGGCGGTCAGGCATATCAGGACGAGAAGAGAAGCGAAAGGCTCAGGGAAGGAGAGTGCACTGGAAGAAGAGGAATCGGTGAGAAGGGGAGGAGGAAGGAGAAGAGGGAAGAGACGAGAAGGAAAGATGAGGAGCAGTGCGAAAAAAGTGGAAAGGACGCCTGAAGGGAGGACAGAAAGTGAAGAGGAGTATGAGTACGGGCGGGACCAGCTCCGACGCAATAAGCAGGAGGGGTGTGAGGAGGAATTATACCCTAATGGAAGAGAGGGGTACAAGGGAAGACAAGAGGAGCAAGGGAAGACTGACACAGAGGCACGAGAAGATCAGGACAAGAGAAGGCAAAGGAGGGCTGAGGAGCAGCGTAGGTTGCGGGAGATGGCGCATGAGTATGATACGGACAGCGAGGAAGAAGGGAGTGGCAGACTTGCACGCTACAGGTCGGGCCGAAGGGAGGGGCGCTGGGAAGAACGTTCCCCTGCAAGGAGGGAGGAGCAGAGGACAGAGTGGCAGAACAGGTCACCGTGGGAGGGCTCTGGGGGAGCAAGGGCAGCAAGAGAGGGCATAGAGCGCGTGCTGCACGGGATAGGGACACGAAACAGCGGAGTAAGGGAGCGGGTAAGGGAAGACAGCGGGAGAGGACAGGGAGGATTAGGAACGTGGGGGACCAAGAGATGGAATGCGGTAGAGCCACCGCGCGTGGAGGTACCTGTTCGTTTCACGGGAAGAGAAGAGTCAGGTACAAACCTGAAGAACTACCTAATGCAGATTGGGAGCGTCAAGTACCGCTGTGACAGATATGGGATGGACCCGATAGAGTTCTTCTTGAGTTTATCTAACACGCTAGGGGGAGAGGCCGAGACGCTGTACCGCATGAAGATGAGGGAACTGCTGCGGCGAGCGGAGGAGGACGGGGACGATCCCACAACGTTGTTTTTGGAGCGATTGAGGAAGCAGTTCCCGGGGCATACGGCAGCCCGCATCCGCGAATTTCAAGAGTTTAGGCGGGGTGAGATGGAATCACTACTCACCTACTTTGGGAGGCTGACCAATTTAGCGGAAGATGTGGCCTGCACGGACAATAGCATGCTGGTTAGCAAGTTTCTGAGCGGGTTGGATGAGGGACTGAGCGGTGGACTGAGGATGAGAGTGTACGAGCTAGGAGCAGAGGCGACTCTGGAAGAAGTGTTTGAACTCGCAGAGAAAGTGGAACTGGCGCAAAGGCGGTATGAAGTTTACCTACCAAGGGTGGCAGAGAGGAAGAGGCCTACGCGGGCAGCAGCAATGACACATGGGGTTGAGGGCAGGGAAGAGCAGCGGCAAGGTTGGCGGCCGGATACCCGTACGTGCCACAGGTGCGGGCAGAAAGGGCACATCAGGATAAACTGCAGAAACTGTGATGTGTGCGGGAAGCACGGACACCGTCGAAGCGATTGCCCGGAAAAGAGAGCAATGCAGCAGGGGGGCAGCAGGGGCAAAGAGAGTCCGAATCAGCTCAGAAATCGCCGAGTGCCCCCTCCCCTCCCTCCCGCCTTGGCATGGTCCATGATGAGTGTCTCATCCATCATGTTTCATGCACGGTACGACACCGCCTCCTTTAACACATTCGTTAACGCCCCCCCCCCCTCTCTTCATGCACCTGCACTGCAGGTCGTGCAAAGCAAAAAACGTGATGTTGTTTTCACCTGACAGCCTGCAGCAGCGGTCTGTTGTTCCAGATGGGAACGGCATGCGTGAAGGAGAAGCCGGCATCCACCACCACGCTACAGCCCGCCTCCAGCGCCATTGCTGAGCTGGCAGCAGCGGCTGATGACGTGGCAAGTAATGATGGAATTGGTGGTGCTGGTGGTGAGTCAAGGAGCACCGACGACTGCCCTGATGCAGCAGGACAGACAGAGGGGGTGAGACAGAGAGGAAAGCAGAGGAAAGACAGTGCATGGGAAAGACATGTTTGGGTGGATGGCATGAGAATGAGACGGCGAGAAAGGGGGAGGAATGGAAAGGAAAAAAAAGAGTGGGGAATGCACTTCAAGAGAAGAGAACATGCTGCAACGCACACACACACCCTCATGCCAGTACGCAAGCACAGTAGAATGGAGAGGAGCAAGAGCAAGAGGAACGCACACACACACCTCATGGCGGTACGCGAGCACAGGGGAGGGGACGTTTGAGCTTTGAGTCAACTCAAAAGTCACACCCTCATGCCAGCACGCAAGCACAGTGGGATGGAGAGGAGCAAGAGCAAGAGGAATACACACACCTCATGGCGATACGCGAGCACAGGGGAGGGGACGGGGAGGTAGGAGCGGACGGCAAAGTGCTCGAAGGCGAGTTCCGCCATGCTGCGCTGGATGCCCGGCAGGCTGAAGAGCGGCTCTGATACCAATAGGGACGCGCTGGACGGTTGCACCTGGGGGAGGTGGGGAGGGAGGGATGGGAGGAGGAGAGAGGAGTGAAGAGAGGAGGGATAGGGGTTGAAGAGAGAGGATGGGAGGTGTAGCGAGAAGTGGCGAGGTTGAAGAGAGGAGGACGCGAAATGAAGAATTGAGTTAGGAGGAATGGTGACGTTGGCTTGACGAGGCAAAATGTGGTTGCTTTCATGTAGTACCTTGAGAATACCGGAGAAGGCTCTGTCCCAGATGGTTCGCTGCAGGTTCCAGTTGACCACGTAGCCCCGGTCAACGGGCCTCAGCACGCCCAAACCCTAGAAAATGGTTGGAAAAAAGGCGGAATCAAGGCCAAACCCGCAACACGGGCGAAAGTAAACCCAAACAGCATTTCTTTGTAACAACAATGAAAACGCGGGAGGGTTGGCGAAAGCGCGAATAATGACTCATGTCAGCTGTGTGCCCTACTACCTTGATGTCGGGACACGTGTCGACTAGGTCAGCAACGAACGGCCGTTTCAAGCTCTTGGCCTTCGCCACGAAGTTAGGTATGACCTTCACCGGTTCCGCCTCCCCTCCGAAGCCTATCTTGCACGTGGCTCCTCCATTGTCCAACACAACCACTTTACCCTTTTCCATTGTTATACAAGCGGGAATCGCGGAAACATCTATGGGCTAGCAGCGAAGCCTCTGCATCCTGAATCCAAATGGCGCTGCTGATGGTTTTCGAAATGGCGAGTTGTATGGTTGGAGATGCTGCTTTTATAGAAGAGGCCATTATTGATTACCTACGTTTCAGATCATAATTATCGACGGGGTACATGCTATAACGACGATCTCTCAATCGCGTAAAAATGAACCAAGTTCCTCGCGAAGCCGCGTTCTCGGCACATGGCATCAGGCCGACGTGGACGTTGACACCTGCATCCGCAGGAAAGCCACCAACCGAACCTCCGCCAGATTCAGGCCCCCTAGATGTGGCAGGCAGTTTTACTCCAATTGCGAAGCGAACGCAATCCAAAACATTTGCACCGATTGGTCACAAGCAATTTTGTGCTTCGCGTGACGCTGACGCAGCATTGTTTCAGAACACCTTGAAGTTGACTGACCGACATCGTGATCTGGGCTAGGAATGCCATTTTCGGGATGGCTGCTCGTTTCTGATATTTTCTGCTAGGTTTTGCTCGGTTGTGGTCATTTTGGCACAGTGGTCATTTTGGCACAATGAACCTTGAATCCGCTCGGGGAAGAGTCTTGTTCATCAGCTCTCTCCAAAGGATTCATTTCTCTAAGTCCTGAACCTGGAATTGCCTTCACCGTTCCATCCGATTCCTCACCCTCACTCCTCCACACATATAACCCAACTCCATTCGTGAGTTCTAGTTCAAGCTTTCGAACTAGCTTCTTACAGCAGATAGCTCTTGACCTCAGTCCTCCATTGGGCGATTTCCGGACTGAGGAGAACCCGCTAAAGCAAGATTTGTATTCTTGTTTGCCGCATTGATCGCGCATTGAACCGCTATTCGCGACGCACTTTTACACTCAGTCGGACGGACCTTTAGCCATGGTGTGCGAGAGCTGCATCGCCACAATGTCTCACCTTCGGACGATGACCGCAGCTACCACAATGCTTAGAGTACAACCACATCCCACAATCGCCGCTCGGCCACTCTTCAGTGTCTCCCCACTGAAATCCCTTCGGCACCAAAGGCCAAACATATTTCGACCGAACCAATCACGAGTTGCGACGGCCCGAGCGGATTCTTCAGCACCTCCCGATACAACAAATGAATCGCCGTCATCAGCACGACCCAGTAGCGTGGCTACCAGCGTGCCGGGGATCGGAGGCGTGGCAGTAATGACGGACGCGACAGTTCCCGAGGGACACAAAGGGCTGCATGACTTCCTCTACGGCGAGGGAGGTACGTCAGGCCTCGCTAAAAACAGCGTCACGGCTAGTGGTGGATCAGTGATTGGCCACGTGGCAGTAATGTCGGACGCGACGGTTCCCGAGGGACAGAAGGGGCTGCATGATTTCCTCTACGGCGAGGGAGGTACGTCGGAATCGACGCCACGTGAGGCTTCGCTATCGCCAGAGGCCGCACCACGGCTGGTAGTGAAACAGGAGTCGGCCACGTGGCAATTATGACGGACGGGACGGTATCGGAGGGACACACGGGGCTTCAACATAGGTGAAAGCGGCAATAAAATAAACCACGTTACTGTCGACTCAATAGGCGACTCCAGGTTCACGTCTGCAGGGATAGCTCCGGTTCGTGTGGTAGGTGGGCGCACCCATACCCCCCAGTACGGCACGTGTAGCCCTTAGGGAGGAAGACCCCTTGGGGCCATCCCAGTCTCCACTTCCAGCAACGTCACCTTCAATCTCCCGACCCCCACTCCTCCCCCTCCGCAAAAACCTTCCCCCCTGCACATGCCCCCCGTCGCCCCCCGTCTCTCCCCTCCAAATTGCATCCCATCAGACGTGCACGAGGTCACGTCATCTGCATACACCGTTCGCCCAGGCGAGCACGACGGCACGCTGCTATCCCCTCATAGGCATCCACCCGTCACCATGCACCCTCTTTCCCCCTCCAAACTTCCTCATCAGACGTGCACGAGGACACGTCAACATCCGCATACACGGCTCGGCCAGGCGAGGACGACGACACGCTGCTGTCCCCTCACCCCCCCAAAAACATCTCCCCATCACCGTACCCGCTCCCTCAGACGTGCACGAGGCCACGTCAACATCCGCGTACACGGTGCGGCCAGGCGAGGACGACTTATGAGACGTCTCAAAAACCATCCCCATGCCCTCCCCTCCAAACCCCCATGCATCCCATCAGACGTGCACGAGGCCACGTCAACATCCGCGTACACGGTGCGGCCAGGCGAGGACGACGGCACGCTGCTGTCCCCTCACCCCCCCAAAAACATCTCCCCATCACCGTACCCGCTCCCTCAGACGTGCACGAGGCCACGTCAACATCCGCGTACACGGTGCGGCCAGGCGAGGACGACTTTTGAGACATCTCAAAAACCATCCCCATGCCCTCCCCTCCAAACCCCCATGCATCCCATCAGACGTGCACGAGGCCACGTCAACATCCGCGTACACGGTGCGGCCAGGCGAGGACGACTTCTGAGACGTCTCAAAAACCATCCCCATGCCCTCCCCTCCAAACCCCCATGCATCCCATCAGACGTGCACGAGGCCACGTCAACATCCGCGTACACCGTGCGGCCAGGCGAGGACGACGGCACACTGCTGTCAGCCGTGCAGGACTACGTTGCGGCGCGCGAGCTGCAGAAGCTCGCCGGGATCTACGCCGTGTATGACGGCGCTGGCGCGTTGCAGTACGTGGGGTACTCGCGCAACATCGTGGTCTCGCTTAAGGTGAGGCCGCCTAGAGGCTCTCATGAGGGCAGAGAGATGACCGTTGAGGGCAGAGAGATGACCGTTGAGGGCAGAGAGATGACCGTTGAGGGCAGAGAGATGGCCGTTGAGGGCAGAGAGATGGCCGTTGAGGGCAGAGAGATGACCGTTGAGGGCAGAGAGATGACCGTTGAGGGCAGAGAGATGGCCGTTGAGGGCAGAGAGATGGCCGTTGAGGGCAGAGAGATGGCCGTTGCGGGCAGAGAGATGGCCATTGAGGTTTCTCTCGGACTGTACTCGGGGAACCTCGTCGTGTCGCTCAAGGTGAGGTCGCCTAGAAGCTCGCATGCGCGCGAGCATCGAGGGGGGGAGGAGGGGCTACGCAGATGCGAGCCCCCACGGGCGCTGAGGGACCAAGGGGGTTCCCGCGGGGCCAACGGGCTGAGCGAGTGGGAGGTTAACAGGCGAAAGGCTGTGCGAATGTAAGCCGTTCCGAAGTTCGACATTGATTCGTTTCCCGCTTCTCAACCGTACTCTTTCCTGCTCTTGCTCCTCGTGTTCCTCCGCCTGACCCCCTAACCCTCGCAGGGCCACAGGGCGGCTATGGGCGAGGTGCTGTGCAGCTCAGTGAGGGTGCAAGTGTACCGGGCAGATTCAATGCTTTCCCGGGCAGTCCTGGACGGAGAGCGGAGGCGGTGGTTGCAGGAGCTCGGGCAGAGTGAAAGTTTCATGCAGACTAGCAGGTAAGAACAGGACGGGACGGGTATTCTCCTTCTTAGTGCTTCTCCCCGTTGGCTTTCTACTCTCACCCATTCCCAATACCTTTCTCTTCTCCCCACCATTGTAATCTATCTGCGTGACTTGCTCCCATCCCATTCCATCCCACCCCATCCATCTACCCCTTTCCACCAACTTCTCCTCCGCCTGACCTGATATCCCTCTCCCGTCTTCCACGATTCCCCCCGTCCCATCTCCCCGTTCAGTTTCGCCCAGTGGGAGGCGCAGGGCGCGCAGGTGGGCGCGGCAGCTGCGGCTGCGGCGGAGGGCGGGGAGCTGAGCGATGGGGAGCGGGCGGAGCAGGAGGAGCGGCGGCTGAGGATGCGCAAGGCGATGGGGGAGAACCTGATGGACGATGAGGAGTACAGGCGGAAGGTGGAGGGGGGGGAGACGGACGGGGAGAGCGAGAGGCGGAGGATGCAGCTGCTGCAGGTGAGGGGGGTTGGTGGGATGGAGGGATGGGGGGATGGAGGGATGGAGGGCTGCGTTGATGGGGAAATTGTGGGATAATGAGGTGTTCTGCTCGGGTGGTGGGGTGGGGCTGCATGGGAGAGAGGTTGTTGGGCACACTGGGGTGAGATACGGCAAGCGGGAGAGGGAGAGAGAGGGATAGGGGGCAGAGAAGGGAGGATGCGAAAGGCGATGGGGGAGAACCTGATGGGCGATGAGGAGTATCGGCGGAAGGTGGAGGGCGGGGAGACGGACGGGGAGAGCGAGAGGCGGAGGATGCAGCTGCTGCAGGTGAGGGGGGGATGGGTGGGTGGATGGGAGCACGGGGGAATGAATGGGGGGTAATGGTGCGATCAAAGGATGTGTGGAGGGCGGGGATGGAGGGAGGGGATGGATTGAGGGGGGGTAGTGGTGGGATGGAGGGATGGGTGATGGGGGTGTATTGGTGGGAGATGGGGAGATTTGGGAAGGGGAGGGAGATGGGGAGCGAGAGGCACAAACTGCAGCTGCCGCAGGTGACGAGGGCGACTTGTGGTTCGAGGGCGAGGTGGAGAGGGCGAGGTGGAGAGGGCGAGGTGGAGAGGGCGAGGTGGAGGGATGATGAATTGAGGGGTTGGGCGAGGTGGAGGGATGATGAAGTGAGGGGTTAGTGGGTGTTTGGTGAGAGAATTACAATGGAGGCTCCGATCATGCAAGGGGAGTGGCATGGCATGGCATGGCATGGCATGAAATGGCGTGGTGGCATCGCATCATCTGCTCTGTCCGTGCCTGAATGACCGGCTTGTTTGCTTGCAGGCCACTGAGGGCGACGACTGGAGCTCTGTGATTGACGGTCAGACACAGGAAACCGTTGCTGCTAGGGGAGGCTTTAACTGCCTGTTCTGCCCGTGCCTGAATTGACCGGCTTGTTGCTTGCAGGCCACTGAGGGCGACGACTGGAGCTCTGTGATTGACGGGCAGACGCAAGAAACCGTTGCTGCTAGAGGAGGCTCTAACGGGAAGCCTTCCAGAGCAGCGAAAGGAGAGGCGAGAGGAGCAACAGCAGCAGTAACAGCACCAGCAGCAGCAGCAGCACAGCAGGGCAGCGGGGTAACTGCATCGGCCACTGCTCCCCCTTCCGCAGCACCCATTGTTAGCCCGTTTGCACGCCCAGGTGCTGCAGGCACGGGGGCAGCAGGGGGGGTAGAGGAAGCGGAGGGGGAAATGGAGTTGACTGTTGAGTCGGCTGACCGGGTGCTGGATCGGGTGCGGCCGTACCTGGTGGCGGATGGGGGCAATGTGGAGGTGAAAGCAGTGGAGAATGGCGTCGTCATTCTGGAGCTGCAAGGTAAGGGCTTACATGTACAGATGCACACATGCACGCATGCACAGATGCACAGGGGAAGCGGAGGGGGAGATGGAGCTGAGTGTTGAGTCGGCTGACCGGGTGCTGGATCGGGTGCGGCCGTACCTGGTGGCGGATGGGGGCAATGTGGAGGTGAAAGCAGTGGAGAATGGCGTTGTCATCCTGGAGCTGCAAGGTATGGACAAGCACGCATGCACGCATACAAGCCACAGTTTGTTGGATCTCCACGCCTGTACCTGGTGGCTGATGGTGGCAATGCGGAGGTGAAGGCGGTGGAGAATGGTGTTGTTATCCTGGAGCTGCAAGGTAGGGACTCACATGCATGGATGCACATGCACACATGCACAGATGCAGAGGAAGCGGAGGGGGAGATGGAACTAACTGTTGAGTCGGCTGACCGGGTGCTGGATCGGGTGCGGCCGTACCTGGTGGCGGATGGGGGCAATGTGGAGGTGAAAGCGGTGGAGAATGGCGTTGTTATCCTGGAGCTGCAAGGTATGAACTTGCATACACGTACACACATGAACACGCATACATGCACCCATGCGCACATGCACGCCCAGGTGCTGCAGGCACAGGGGCAGCAGGGGGGGTAGAGGGAGCAGGGGAAGCGGAGGGGGAGATGGAGCTGAGTGTTGAGTCGGCTGACCGGGTGCTGGATCGGTTGCGGCCGTACCTGGTGGCGGATGGTGGGAATGTGGAGGTGAAAGCAGTGGAGAACGGCGTTGTTATCCTGGAGCTGCAAGGTATGGGCTCCCTCGCATGTACGCACATGCACACATACGCATGCACACTCACACATACGCATGCACACTCACACATACGTGGCCCAGGTAGCAAGCAGCAACGATGAAGATGGCAAATGAGATGGCCCTGCATGGTACATGTGAGTTGCCTCAACTGTCACCTCAATGCCCTGTTCCCTCTTCTCCCCTCAGGGGCCTGCAATACGTGCCCCAGCTCAGCAGCAACGATGAAGATGGGCATTGAGAGGGCCCATGTGCTTCATCCCTACCACATGCCTTTTGAGCCGAATCTGATGCCATGCTTTGTGTTCCCCACTATCACCCCCGCAGGTGCCTGCAACACGTGCCCCAGCTCAGCAGCAACGATGAATATGGGCATCGAGAGGGCCCTGCAGGATGCATGTGAGTCGCCTCGCCCCAACAGTCACCTCAATGTCCTGTCCCTCCTCTTCCAACCAGGTGCCTGCAACACGTGCCCCAGCTCGGCAGCCACGATGAAGATGGGCATCGAGAGGGCCCTGCAGGACGCATTTGGGGAGAAGCTGAAGGAGGTGATGCAGCTGGGTGGCGTTGACAACAGACTTACCCTCGCTGTAAGCACACACACAAACCCTTGAGCACACACCCTCTCTGTAAGCGCACACACAAACCCTTGAGCATACACCCTCGCTGTAAGCACACACACAAACAGTTGAGCACACACCCTCTCTGTAAGCACACACACAAACCCTTGAGCACGCACCCTCGCTGTAAGCACACACACATACCTTTGAGCACGCACCCTCGCTGTAAGCATGCACATGTACCCTTGCTGTAACAGATTCCAGGTAAATGAGCCATTCCTCCTCCTCGCTCATATTTTCACCCAATCTCCTTCTCCCCATTGTGTACACGGCAGTCTGAGTTAACGTTATAGCCGACTGAGAAAACATGCCCTTCCACCACCTGTCCCGTCTGCCTTGGCATCCTTTCCCCCTCTCTCCCTTGTGCAGGCTGTGGAGAATCATCTCTCACAGGTTCTCCAACCCACTCTGAGCAAGTACAGAGCGCATGTGTCAGCAGCCTGAGGTGATTTCTATAAATCCTAGCCAACTCATATTCATGCCTGTACCTCTGTGCCCTTCCGCCTTCTGCCCCGTCTGCCTTGGCACCCTTTCCCCTATTCCTGCTTGTGCAGGCTGTGGAGAATCACCTCTCACAGGTTCTCCAACCCACTCTGAGCAAGTACGGAGCGTCTGCATCTGCAGTCTCTCTTGACCTTGTGAAGGGCTTTTGTGAAGTGCGGTTTGAGGGTCCACCGCCGATGGCCATGGGAATCCAGGCTGCTTTGAAAGACAAGTTCCCTGAAATTCGGCTTGTCAAGTTGGTATCCTGAAGCCATTGTCATGGTACTCTGTTACTGTATGGAACGTGCTGTGTTTTTTTGCAATTGAGTCTGTATAGAACAAATTGTGTACTTATCTTATTACCGTACCTTTCTTAAAGCCGCGGTGCAACTTCTTAGAAACAGTAGCAGGACAAAACTCGCATGTGAGTAACTGGACTTCTATTGGTCGAAAACACTCGAAGTTTCACAACAGGACAAACCTCTCGCCTGTGAACTGCCTGGGTCAACCTCTTCCAAGCTCTAATACTTTGAAGTTGAAGCTGATAGTTGCACCGCGGCTTTAAGGGCAGGAAGGAACTTTCCATACCTACACCTCGTCAACCAATGCAATCATGCACTCGAGCCGTACACTTCCATGACACAATTTCGAGGTTTTGACACACGCTACAGAAACGCCAACTTCCACACTTTTGACGCGATAAACAGACACGCTGCTGGTGCAACTTGTGACACGACCCCTTCCAGTGGTTTCTGGAAGGAGAGCGCCTTCGGGACGGGAGCATTCATCACGAATTTATGTCCACCTATAGAAGAATGGAGCTGTTACTGTAGATGTCGCTGACAACCACGATCACTCCGATTCAGTGGTCGCGGGCTCAGATTTTGGTCTGCTGAAATGAGTGTAACACGTACATTCTTTGCACGACACAAAGGGTAGGGGAGGGGATGACCCTGTCAGAAACTGCGAATGAGCTTGTTTGTCCCTCCTTTTCACCTTTTTTTTCACGTCCTGATTTGTTGCGTTGCTGTGCGCAGTGGTGAAAAAGAAGGACGTGATACGTGTACCCTGAACCCACATTCTCGTTTTCACAGGACTGTTTGGTGTACAGTACACAACCACGTATGGGAGCCCCCTTTTGTGCATACGGAACGGGAACTGGTTCCCTGCCAGCTCTTGGAGGTTTGTGCGTGTATGCACTGCTGTGCCTGCAAGTCCCAACTGTATCTGGAGATTGGATTGGATTTTCTTAGCGTTACCGCGTAATTGCGTCTGTGCATGACGTCGCTAGCGACGAGAACGTCCTCGAAGAGTTGAGTGTGGTGGACAAAGATCCGTCGGTTATCGGCAAGGAAACCTTTCTTGGTTTTCCCACCAGTACACCCGTAGTTTTCGGCGACCTGATTCCGCTCCTGTCGACGACCCACAATTTGGGCTTCCTGGTGTTTCTACCGATGGTGTTTCTCGTCGAGTCTTCCTGTGTCTCTAAATGTTTTTCGTGAGTGAAGAAAACAAGTGCAGCAGCCTTCGTCCTTGATATTGAGCTGCATGGCATCCTTGATACAGTCAGGTTCAGGGATACCCATGTGGCCATCGGGCGTGATACAGTACACAAGCGCGTGAAAGCTACCGCGTTGGATAAGCTTGCCATCCATTCCACTGTCGATAACTAACGGCATTCGACCGCGCCGTTTTATATTTTGGCTCAGGGTGCCGACCTGTGCACCGGTTGTCTCTTCTATAGATCGTTGCCCTGACTAATTTTCCCAGGGATGGGTGCTCAGCATTATTGTTAATCATTTATCAAAACCATTCTCTAATTTCCAGAAAACATCATTCTGAAAAAAAACAAAAAGTCTGCCGGGTACACCACAAAATATTTTTCAACGAGGCCTTGCCATCCAACAAGGACGCCACTCACTCACTACGATCCTGAGAGGGCTATGGGGCGATCCTGCTGGAGGGCAGAATGCTGTAGGCCATCACATCCTAGTACACTCCAAAGAGCGGAAATGTATGTACACTGTCGGACAGAGTCTTCCGAGATTACTCGTGTTTTGCGAGCGCGCAATTCTGAGATCCGTTAAGTGTAGACGAATACCACACTCACAGATGGAAAGACTGCAATCTGCATCAGAGCATTGTTTAGTTAAAACGGTTACGAAACGCTGCTTATCTTTTACCCATCAAAGCAACACACCACACCAGCAGCAGCGAGAATCCATTTCCACTCATGGTCAAACTGCACTGTGTATTCTGAATGGCTCGTTTTCGGGCATCCCTCAGCAGAGCGTAGAATGCGAGCTGGTCCTTCAAGATGAGATCCCATCCCAACTGATTCTACACGTACAGAGCGGTGTACACCGCTGCATCTGCCTTCCTCCGAACCGAGCAAGCCTCCTCCTCAGCTCAGAAACAGTCTGGATGCGCGCGCAACGTTCTACACGACGAGGCATTCCTTCTTTTCACAAAACTCCAAAACTCAAATCGAGGCAGAGGCACGGCGCCAAATCATGTCCCACTGTGAACAGTGCACCCATCAACAGCGAACCCACTGGAATGCCTGCACTGGCTGAGTCTGAGTCAGCCTGTCTGTCCGACCTGGTCCCCCCATATCCTCTCCTTGGCTCGTTTCGTCTTCTCTTCCCTCCCTCTCAAGACAAGAACCAATGCCCCTTCCACATCAAGCCTCATCCACTCTTTCCAACACCCGCCCCCCCCCTCCCTCACACACAAACACCAAAACAGAACGTTCACCCTTCCCCCTTTCTATCCATCCCTCCCTCCCTCTCCCTCTCCCCTCATCCTCCTCACTTCCCTAGGCATAGGTGCTCCTTCTGCAGCAATATTCGGTGAAAATATCGCCGGCTTTTGTTGAACTTGAAAGACGAAACCATAGCTTCATTTTCTCTGATAAGCCGATCCGCGAGATACGTATTTCTACGCTTTTACGTGTCAGCCTGCAATCTGAGGTCGCGTATTCCAGCCTACCTCAACGAATCTCCGCGTGCGAGCGTGAAAAAATCCGTAACACGAGTCAACAAGAAGGTTCAAATCTCTTGTTACTAAGCAACCCGCCAGGCTACACTCCGAGTCGGAGCCACATTAGTGATGCTAGGAAGCACCGAGGCCGGCGGAAAGGCCGGCACGGAGGAGAAAGCCGCGTATCAGTGGAAAAAATACGGACAGAAATTTCTCGTCTCGCAGAACGCCAAAAGGTGATAACTTATTGTTGAAACTCGATGAACATCACCCGCGGTTTCACCAACTCCAGGATCGCCATCTTAGGATGCCAGTCGATCATGATCTCACAGGTTGCAAAGATAATTATTTGGAATAACACCATGTCAAGTCAACCCGCTGCGTCCGCGACATTTCCCTCGCTACTCCGTGCCTCGCGTCGTTTCTGTTCCTCCATCAAGCGTCTGTCCCGCGGCTGAGTCGCCAACGTTTCGCTAGCGAACGCGCGGAACGTTGTGAAGTCATTTTGGCGGAAACTTTTTCCTCCTTTCTGGTTTTTCCCCCCCTGCTCTACTGCCACACGTCACGACACGGACGCCGGACCCACTCCCGCCGCCGAACGTTCTGCTACCGCCGGTTCAAAACTCGTGAGACTTCACGGCCCATCATTAAACCCGCCTCCACCGCTCCTGCTCTCCTCCTTTTGCTCTTACTAACTGCAGGTTCTACTACCACTGCGCGGAGCGCGACACCACCGGCTGTCCCGCGAAACTCATTATCGACAAGGTCCCGAAAGAAGCTTCATCATCCAAAAACGTACCCATCATCTTCCGGGCCGGCGACGGCGACGGCGACGGCGGCGGCGGCGGCGGCGGCGGAGGCGGCGGCGGCGGCGGCAGTGCCGCTCCGGGATCCAACTCGCCGCCGTTAGTAGGCTCGCCGGCTGCGGCGGCAGCGGGTGACGAAGATGGCACTGGGGAAGGTTGCGGCGGCAGCGGGATGGACTGGAGGGAACACCAAGAGCTCCTTGACGCGCTTCCCGTGCTCGAGCGGCGCGGCCGCACGCTCATGCCGCGGCGCGTGTGGTGCCGGGAGAAGCACAACCACCCGCCGCCGCAGCAGATCCAGCTCCCTGCGGCGGCGGGAACGGGGGCAGCGGCGTCTCCGCCCCGCACGCAGCCGCAGCCGCCCCTGCAACAGCAGCAGCTGCCGCGGCCGCAGTCTGTGGCGCAGGGCCGAACTGAGAGCGCCAGCACTACTATTGGGGACAGAAAGATGGGTAGTGACGGTGCGTTTCCTTCACCATTCGGGAGCAATGCTACCAATCCCACCACTAGTACTACTAATTGTATTCCCAGCGGGAATCCTGTGATTCCAGGTCAAATGCCGCATCTACTACTAGTAGGTGGTGGCAATGGTGAGCGCCGGATGATGGAGCAGCGGAAAGGAGAGCCTGGGGTATTTAATTTCAACTTCTTGGAGGCATTGGGCAGTCAGCAGCAGCAGCAGCAGCAGCAGCAACAGCAGCAGCAGCAACAGCAGCAGCTCGTTTCCCCGTCGCCATTCGAAACGCCTCTACAGAAATCTCCAGTGCCGTTTGAGGGTCTTCAGAGATCTCCGTTTGAAGCGCTTCAGAAACCGCCGGTGGTGCCATTTGTGGCGCCGCCTAAGAACCCCCCGCCTCCGGAAGGTCTACTGCACCGTTTGCAATCACCCCTCTTTGGGAGCGTTCAGAAGCCCACGGTGCAGCAGCTGGGGGAGACTGACGCAAAATATTCCTCTGCACCCGCGTTTGCCCTTGGTCTTGGCAGTTTCAATGCTTTCACTAATGTTGGTGCGTGTGCTGCTGCCGCTGGTGGTGCTGCTGGTGGGCCGGCTGACGCAGCAGCCGCAATGCTGCCTGTGGCACGGGACAGCAGCGCTGCAGCATCGTCCACCAGTGCCGCCTCTGGCAGCGGCAGCGGCAGTGGCGCCGGTGGTGCCGCCGGCGGTGGCTGTCAGTCGCCCCGGCTGGGTCGATCGATTGCTCGCAAGCGATCCAAAACGATGATGGACTTCTGCTATGCTAATGCTTCTGCTTCTGCTGCTGCTGCCGCCACTGCTGCTCCTGCTTCTGCTGCTGCTGCTGCTGCTGCTGGTGCTCCCACCGCTGCTGCTGCTGCTGCTGTTGCTGGAGGCAAGCGGCCATACCTGTTCCTCGACGCAAGCACGAGCAGCAGCAGCTGGAGCCCCCAAGCCCTCCGCGGGGAGGACTCACCACAGCCGTTGCTTATGGGAGCAGCTGCAGGAGCAGCCGCAGCAGCAATGCCGCCCAGATCGGACCGATTCTTGAGCCGACTCCAGAGCAGCCCGCGTGCTCCCCGGGCGGCAGACTCGCCACTTCGGCCAGAAGCCGCGCCCAGACCTGATCTGTTTCTGAGCCGTCCCACAAGCAGCTGGTGTGCTCCCGCTCCCGTTCCCCAGTCGGGAGACTCGCCAATGCTGCTGGCGGGAGCAGCGAGCAGAGCGAGTCAGGGCGCGAGGGAGGGCGGTGGGGAATCTGGGATGAACACGATGCGCGGACAACACGTGGGTGAGGAGGATTTTGGTGCGTTGCGGTTGAACAAAAGTGTAGGATTGTCTGCTGATGCTGGTTTCCCTTCGGCAGCGCTTTCAGCGATTGCAGCAGCTGCTGCTGCGGCCGCTGCCGCTGCTGGTGGTGGTGCTCGTGCTGGTGGTGCTGGTGGTGCTGGTGGGCCTATGGGGCCAATGCACGCAGCCGCAGCTGCACAGGCAGCGGCAATGATGATGTTTGGTAAGCCCTCAACCGCATCGTCGTCTGTGTTGCAGCAGCAAGGAGGATCTGGAGGAGGAGGCGGGTGTGTAGCAGGAGGAGGAGGAGGAGCATCAGCAGGAGGGCCACTTTGCATTGAACGCATCAATCTGAACGCGGCTGCCACCGCTACAGCTGCTGCTGCTGCTACAGCTGCTACTGCTACAGCTGCCACTGGTGCTGCTGCTGGTGCAGCAGCTGCTGCTGAAGCGCCTGAGTTTCCTGTGCCGATGACAAATGAGAGGTCTAGCATGCTTCTGTCTTACCTTGCAGCGAGTGATGTCGCGGCAGCAGGAGCGTCGAGGAGTAGTGCCGCTGCTCAGAGCCAGCTGGTTAAGCAGATGCAAGAGCAGGCGCAGCAAGTGCTGCACCAGCAACAACTGCAGCAGCAACTGCAGCAACAACAGCTGCAGCAGCATTTGCAACAGCATTTGCAGCAGCAGCAGCAACAGCAACTGCAGCAACAGGTACAAGGACAAATGCTGCAGCAGCAGCTGGAAGAGAAATTGCAGCAACGTTTAAGACAGCAAGCGCAGCAAGCGCAGCAAGCGCAGCAAGCGCAGCAGGCGCAGCAGCAGCAGCAGCAGCAGCAACAGCAGCAACTACAACCGCAATCGCAGCAGCAGCAATTAGAGCAGTTACAGGCGCAATATCTGCAGTGGTACCAGCGGCAACAGCTCCAGCAACAGCAACAGCAACGGCAGCACCAGGAGCAGCAGCAGCAGCAGCAGCAGCAGCAGCAGCAGCAGCAGCAGCAGCAGCAGCAGCAGCAGCAGCAGCAGCAGCAGCAGCAGCAGCAGCAGCAGCAGCAGCAGCAGCAGCTTCACCAGCAGCAGCAGCAGCAGCAGCAGCAGCAGCTTCACCACCAGCAGCAGCAGCAGCAGCAGCACATGCCAGCTTCCCTTGGCGGTCCTGACCTGCTCTCTGCAGCTATGCTTGCTAACTTTCCAAATGCTTTACTCGGACTCAACACCCCAGCAACAGCTTCCGCACTGGCCTCTGCACTCGCCTCATCACCTGCCCTGCCTCCACCTAACCCAGTTGTACCTCCCCCACACGCCAACCAACCCAGAGACCAGCATGTGAAGCTGAATGCCAGTCCGGCAGACTATGAACCATATCAGCAGAGGCCAATGCCCTATGCTTCTCATATTCATAGAAGCTCCGCAACTGAGGTCCCACCTAACGCTGCTGCCTTCCCACCCTCAGCCATGAGTCACCCTGGAAATGCAACAGCACGCGCTGTCCTGGCAGGGGGCAAAGAAGGGGCTGCTGGTGAAGGGAAAACTGATTCTACTCTGCGTAGCACTCACCTGCCCGCTGCTGGGGGTATGGAGTTGGACCTGATTGGTCAGTTTGATGCCGCGGGTTCTAGCTGTAGACATGCCATTCCAGGCCCGCAATTCCCTTCCACAAAATTGCACTTGTAGTGTGCGTATTTTCTTTCTACTATACTGAAGTGTTGTTTCAGGTACGGTACATGTGTGATCGATGGACAGTGCATAGCTTCACCACACACACTACCCTCCGCAACAGTCTTGAAATAGCCATACGATGATGCCAGAAAGTGACGCGTTCAAATCGTCGATTCATGTGTATCGCTTTGGTTGTGCGACGTAGTTGAGCAGCGACTTTTTGTCACACTGTAGAGTTGGGTCCCACATATGTTCTTGAATACGTAATGCTCAAGTGCGCAAGCGCGTGCGCGCACATTCCCCCCCTCCTCCTCACCCCCCCCCCCACACACACACACGCACGCACGTTGCTGTGGCGATGGCGAGCAGGATTCAGTCGAAGGTGACGACTGACGGGGACAAAGGTTCGATCGAAATCAATGCCGTTCTTATGGTCGTAGCCGCACACCACCCATCGAGGCCTAAAGCGATCGATCGATTCAGCAGCTGCAGTTTTGACGCGGAACACTTTTGTTTTCAGAGAGGATGCGTCGCTGCAGTCGCCTTCGTTTCCGCCGCAGCAAGTCAATGTGGACTCTGGGGGTGGTAGTTCTTGAGGTGCTGACACAAAGGGGTCTGGCTCTGGGGGTGCCGCGGGCCCGTGACGTTCGTCGCGACTGCAGCAGCAGCAGCAGCAGCAGCAGCAGCAGCTGCGGACGCAGCAGTGGCAGCGGCCTCATCAGCAAAAGCAGCAGCAACCGCAGCAGCAGCAGTCGTCGCCGCGTGTGACTGCACTTCGCCTTCTTGGCCTTCCTTACCCTTCGACTGACCGCTCACCGTCTCTCCCTGTTTACGGTCCCACGTTTCCTCCCCTGGACTCGTCTCCGGCTCGTTCCCCTCCTCGTTCACGGCTGTCTCGTCCTCTCCTTCCTGACCTGTCTCTTGCCTCTTCCCCCTAGTTTTTTCGTCCCGCTAGTGCTCGCGACACGTCTTCCGTTGCCGGTATTCACTCTATGATCCTCCGTTCTCTCCCCCCTCGTGTTTTGCCGCCTCCTGTTCTCCCGTTACCTCCTCACTTGCCTCTTACTGTTTCTCCTCCTCCGTTATCTGACTTCCTCCGTGGTGCTCGCCCTACAGTCTCCCATGTCCTTTCCTCTCTCGTTACTGACCCTACTGCTTCTTCTTCGTCTGTCTCTGCTCTTGTCCCTGCTGCCGCTGACTTTGCCTCCACCCACCACCTTGACTTCGCCACTCAGGTTGTTTCTGCTTCTTTTTTTGGCAGTGACGTCTTGAAGGATAGGCAGTTTGAGATGGCTTTCCTTGCGATGCTCCTCATCTTTGTGCCATGGTGCTAGCCCCTGAGGGTGACCCATGCGCTTTTGGCATCCCGACCCCTCGCATCTACGCTGAGGCAGTGTCGGGACGCTGGTTCTCTCCAAGGATAGCATACATGGACGCAGAGATGGCATCTTAGAGGTCAACAAGCACCAACGTCGATGCAGTTACCCCTCCTGGGGTCTTCAAGGTGAAGCGGCCAGCTAGAGCGTCGTATGTCTTCAAGGCGCACTATGTGGCGAGAGTCTTTAGTCAGCGAGAGGGTGTTGACTTCTTTCAGACCTTCTCCTCCAGCCCGAAGATTACCATTCTTTGGGTACTACTGCACATCGCTACGCAGCGCGACGGCGAGCTCCACTCGCTTGACTTCTCCACTGCCGTTGTCCAGGGCAGCCTGCACGAGCACATCTTGCTCCGCCGTCCATCTGGCTTCACTGGGACCTTCCCTCTTGGGACCCAGTGGAGCCTCAAGCGGCCACTCTACGATCTGCGTGAGTCTCCTCGTGAGTGACACGACACTCTGCGCACTACTCTGGCTACGCTAAGTTTTTCTCCGTCTTCAACTGACCCTTCTTTTGCGTTTGCTCTGGCATGACTCCTTTCTACATCCTTGTCTATGTCGACGGCCTGGCTTTTGCTACTCCCGACGGGGTTGCACTAGCCTCAGTGAAGTCCGAGCTGCTGAGGAGACACACCTGCACTGACCTAGGTGAGCTGCGCCACTATCTTGGCTTGCATATCACTAGGGAGAGAGCAGCGCGCACCATGATTACGACCTAGTCACACATGGTGCAGCAGATCCTCGACCGCTTCAGCCTCCAGTTCCCTCCTGCACCGCCCACTCCTCTTGCTATCGACCATAAGCTCTCGGCTCCTGTCTCTGACGAGCCTGCTAAGGTTAGTGGTCCGTATGAAAGCTGGTGGGGTGCCTCGTGTACCTGATGACCTTGACTCGTCCATACCTTGCATATATTCTCATCATCCTTGCTCACTTTGTTGCGACTGAGAGACACCGACCCGTGCAGTGGTCGCCCGCTATGAGGGTATTGCGCTATCTGGCGAGTACATCAGGCATGGGGCCTGTGCTTGGAGGGTGACAGCTGGTTAATATCTGTATTTGTTTCTACCTTTATGTATATACTCATCGACTGACCTTGTGGTCGTTTGTCTAAGAGGCTGCGCTAGTAGTAGCGCCCTGACCTTGTGGTCGTTTGTCTCAGAGGCTGGGCTAGTAGTACCGCCCTTAATTGTACACTTTCTTGATTTTGCTGACTGGCCTTGTGGCCACTTGCCTCAGAGGCTGGACTAGTAGTGTCAACTTGATATGTCTCTCTTCCTCTTGGCACTGCCGCTTACCTAGCCAAGGGGGTGTGTCAAAGGACACACTTTTTGCATACTTTTGCTAGGCTAGGCTACACCATAGAGGGTACCGTTTTGCAAGTCCTCTTGTACTTTGCCCATTGAACTTCATTCTCCTTTCCTGACTCACCACAACAGGTGTAGCAACACTGTTCTACACTACAGGTAGTTATATAAAGCATAGATATATATTTCTGTCACTTGGGATTCAATTGCTTCCAAATCCCGACCCACAAGCGAGGAACATGAGTACTAGGAGTTTACACCTAGTTTGTGTTGATTTCATACCCCAAACCCTCGTTTATGTAATCAACCAATACGTTCTTTGGTTTGATGAGACAGACACCCTGAGAATAGGGGACAAGAAGAAGGCACCACTCACGAAACTCGCACTTTGTAGTCCGAGTGTGAGGGCGGATTGGCGCTGCCAATCCTGTTGCTTGTCGTTAGCTCGCGAGGGGAATGCGTGAATTTCCTCATGTTAATTCAAACACGCTGTTAACTACCCTCAAAGTCAACTTACCGTAGGTGAAAGTAGAGGAACTAAGTGTATTCCTAATTGAAGTACCCTGTAAGGAAATAACTTCTCCTTACTTCGCACCACAATGCATACCGCGTACAGCACTGTCCCCGCCAAAGCACCCAAACAGTATCCAGTTACCACCTCGCGACATTCGCCTCGGTACTGTTCCCGCCGTCACGACCACCGCGCCCAAACCACCCGGCTCGGCTGGTAACCCGCGACCCGGCCTAACGGCTGGATCTTTCCCAACCTCGGCGCTAGGCGCGTAAGGCACCCCTTCGCGAGCGCGTTAACCGTTACCATTTGCTTTCGCTATATATCAATTCGCTCTCATGCCGTCGCTCAGTGTATTGTTTTGCCTCGATAATGCAATATTCGTTCGCTCACTCAACTGCATTCATAACACTTGGTATTCAGAGCCACGCTCCTTTTCGGAACGTGCACACTTTCGCTTCCCAGCTTATCACATTTTTTTTGGGGGGGGGGGGGGGGGGGTGGAGTGAACGTCCCTCAACGCCCAGTGCCGCTGGTACCGTTATCATAAGCACATACAACCACGACAAAGATTGTTGCTAAGCTCGCCCGACATCTCTCGCAATGGACAAATGCATCACGCTCGACGGCTTTACCCAGGAGTGCCTTGACGAGCTCACCCGCCAATTACACGAATCTGCGATCCAAATCACGACATTGACGGCGGAACGGGAATCGCTCCAGTGGTCGACTGCACACGCTCCTGCACAAGCCCCGCCCGAGCCACCCATCACAGTCACCACTGGTACCGCTACGACATCACGAAACGACAGCGTGGGACAACGCTCTGTCGCAGCCAGTGATGGCACTGCTCAACAAATGCTGGGCATGGAGCAAGCCAAGGGGATTTTTGGGCACAAATGCGACGCGCAACAGCCGCCAACACATCACCATTGCGGCGGATTTTGGCCACGACAAAGTCGCACAGCCGATGCCGCTCAAGCCTCAACGCCCGCCCTGCTTTGATCCAAGCCAACGCGGGGGTCCGACGGTTCAATCGTGGATGATCACGATGAACGTCTTCTTCGACGCAAACTACGTGACGTCGGACGCAGCAAAGATTCGGTACGCTGTCTCTGCGCTACATGGGCCTGCCATGGACTGGTGGCGAATGATTGTCAGTTCCCGAGCGACTATGAGCCACTGCCACAAGGGTAAGGGCCTCCCAGGCCAGCTGTCACCTGGTGCGCGTCATTCTGCGAAGTCGCCCAATACCGCACGTGGGACGCGTGGTGTGCAGGGCTACGGGCGCGTTTTGAGCAGATTGCAGTTTCAATTTCGGGGCGTCAGAAGTTGTGCACAAAGCGACAGCTCGGATTGGTTCAAGACTACACCATCAGATTTCTTGCACTATGCGAACAAGTCGGCTATATGTATGAAGCGGGGCGAGTGGATTGCTACGTTGACGGTTTGAAGCCGGGAATCTCGCAAGAGATTCTCCTATGCGGGATATCGAATTTCAACAAAATCCTAGCGCTCGCTGAGAAAATCGACATCCTACGACGACCGAGGCCAGGGTCCTACCACTACGGACAACGTACCAGGGGAACCATCGACCACGCCACGGTTCACACCGTTATTACGCACGCAGCTGTTATGCCGTTTCAAGGACGCTGCTTAGCGTGTAATAGGTCGGGCCATCGTAAGATTGAGTGCACTGAGGCACAGAAGCGTAAGGGAGCCGAGCAGGGAAGGGAGTCTAGAAGGCAAGGAAACGCCAGCAGTTAGTAGAGTACGGGCCCACTACTGACGAGACACACTGCTCGCCCGAACCCACTAACCCTTA